AGAAGAAGGATCAGGAGTCCAAAAAATCGGCGCGTCACAGTAACGTGTCAGCAACTTCCGCCCAGGAGCCTCCGCGCTCCAACGGCCCATCCCGCAAAGCTCTCGCATCCGACGATACCTCCAAGTCGGTTTCCTCACACACTGCTGCCAAGGATGCGCAGCCCGCCAACCCAGCCCCGACCACGCAAACATCACATTCATCGGGAGCGACTCAACCCACCAAAAAGCGCAAAGCGACTTCCCTAGCACAAACATCATCAGCATCGGCGCCCGGCACAGGGGCATCGCGAAAAGCCGCGTCGGGCCCTTATGCTAGCTCCTACGCGGAGACGAACATGCTCACTTTCGAGACTTGCGGTGGCATCCCCCAGGATGGAAAGTTAGTGGCGGATGACGGTACCGTGCTAGCACCCAATGGTAAGACACCAACAAACCACACTCCCATCCTTGTGCGCACTTCATTTTTCGGAGGGTGGCATGCTGATCAGCATCACAGACAACGTCTATCTTGTGTGTGAGCCCCCAGGCGAGCCTTACTACCTGGGCCGCATCATGGAGTTTCTCCACACGCAAAATGACAACACCAAACCGGTGGATGCACTACGTATCAATTGGTTCTACAGACCCAAGGATATTGGCAAAAAAGTCAACGACACGCGACTGGTGTTTGCAACGATGCATTCCGACATTAGTCCTCTCACTGCGCTGCGAGGCAAGTGCCACATCAGGCACAAGGCCGAAATTCCCAACCTAGATGAGTATCGGAAGACGTCGGATTGCTTCTGGTATGAAAAGCTGTACGACCGCTACATCCAGAAAAATTACGACCTCATTCCCACATCGACCATCGTGAACGTCCCCGAGAAGGTGAAGAAAGTGTTGGACGAGCGCTGGAAATTCGTTATTGTGGAGCAGGGCCGCGGAAAAGAGTTCACTAGCGCCGTGAAGAGCTGCAAGCGATGCAGCGGCTACTGCGCAAGGTTGGTCCACCCAGTTGCCGTCCGAGAGAGGGAGAGCCGGGGTCGCTAACACCACAACAGCAATGACTCGGTTGATTGTGCTGTGTGTAAGAAGACATATCACATGAATTGTGTCAGGCCACCGCTGCTGAAAAAGCCGTCGAGAGGTTTCGCTTGGTCCTGCGCTGCATGCAGTCGCGCGCAGGAACGGAAGTTGGAGGCTAGGCACACGCCCAATTTGCTGGATCCCGCCGGCGACGACGACGACGATTTGTACGATGATGACGACGATGAAATGCAAATCGACACAGAGCGGACGAGCCTCGCCGGTGACAATGACGAGCATCGTACCGGTACCGCTGAGCAAATCTACCAGGCCAGTCTCTGGCCATGGCGGTATCTCGGGATGCATTGCAAGCCTGAGGATGCCTTGGATTACGATGATCGCATCTATCCACGTGCTAGCACCCGTATTGGACCGAAGCACCAAGCGAATGTACTTGCCTGGCCCGGTCAACCCGTACAGTATCAGAAGCCATTGGAGACCAAGAGACAGGGCAAGAAGGGCCCCAATCTGTCGAAGGAAGCGCAGGCAGCATTGGAGGCGGAGAAAATCCGACGCGAAAAGCGCCCGAAGTGGGTGCAGGACGAGCCTCCCGGTTATGTGGCAAGAGGGGAAGACTACGACAACGACGACCCGAACTCGACGGCTACGCGACTTTGGCAGCCGCCCGCAGATACCGACAAAAACCAGGCCTGGGAAGAAAAGCTTGACCGTTACATGGAGAAGGCCGAGGATCTAGCCCCAAAATTCGATCTGCCAAAGAACTCGACCAATCTGCACGATGTGGCTCTGGAAACATATTTCAACAGCAATTACAATACCGAGCGAGCTTTGAAGCGGTTTTCCGAAACCGAAAAGTCCGCTTTCAAAGAGCCCGACCTGACGCCCTTGGAGCAGAAAAAGTTTGAGGAGGGTGTGAGCAAGTACGGATCGGAGCTTTACCTGGTCAAGCGACACGTCAAAACAGTCCCGCCAGGTACGATTGTTCGTTACTATTACACGTGGAAGAAGACGCCGCAGGGCAAGCAGATTTGGGGCAATTTCCAGAACAGAAAAAGCAAGAAGGAGGCCAAGAAGGCGGAAGTGGCGGCGAGCAAATTGCAGGACGACATTGCAGACGATGGAGACGATTCAGCGTTCGATGCGGACAAGGCACAGAGCAAAAAGAAAGGCTTCATGTGTAAGTTCTGTCACACGAAATATTCCCGACAGTGGCGGAGAGCCCCAAACGCCTCAGGAACACCTGTCACCGAAGCCGGAGGGAAGAATTCGAACAAGGACAAGGGCGGACAGTACATTCAAGCACTTTGCCGCAGGTGCGCAGAGCTCTGGCGTCGCTATGCGATACAGTGGGAGGACGTCGATGAGGTGGCCAAGAAGATTGCACAAGCCGGTGGTAAAGCCTGGAAGAAACGTCAGGATGAGGAGCTACTCAAGGAGCTCGAGGCCGCGAAGGACATGCATACCTATTGGAACACACCCCCGCCCCTCAGCGCTCCCGAACCGCCGGCCGCGACGGCTACAGCCACGGCAACGGCTACCACCGCTGCTCCTTCTGGTGAACCACCTCGGAAGAAGCTCAAGGGAGCAGCCCCCGACCGAGATTCGGAACCTCTGGCCTCGGACTCGGCCCCCAGCCACCCGAAGAAGAAAGAGAAGGCTGTCGAAAAGTCTGCGCCCCCGCCAGCACCCGAGATTCCCAAGCCTCGGACTATGCCCTGCGCCATTTGCAACCAACTGGAGCCATTGGGAGATCAACATCTGTCTTGCAGAGAGTGTCGATTGACAGTACATCGCAACTGCTATGGAGTGGTTGACAACAGGAATCCTGGCAAGTGGACTTGCGACATGTGTGCCAACGACAAGAACCCTCAAATCTCAATTGTAAGTCAAGTGCTGCCATCTTTAGCTGCAACGGGGCTCAGAACTAACTGCATGCAGCAATACAAGTGTGTCTTGTGTCCAATTGAGCACACTGAACATGACTTTGTTGAGCCGCCCAAGGTCTCTTCTGCAAAGAAAAAGTCAGAAAAAGAGAAGGAGCGTGAAAGACTTGAGCGTGAACAGGCTCAAAAGGCTGCGGACTACTACAAGAAGAGGCAAGAGGAGACAAATCGTCCGGTCAATCCTCGTGAGCCTTTGAAGCGAACTGCCGACAACAACTGGGTACATGTTACCTGTGCAGTGTGGACGCCTGAAGTCAAATTTGGTAATGCCAAGGCCTTGAGTCCCTCAGAAGGCATTCCTTCTATTCCTCGGGTGAGGTATGATGAGGTCTGCAAAGCCTGTGGCCACAAAGGCGGCGCTTGTGTTGCCTGCCACAACTGTCGCAACCCTGGTATGTTGAGTTCCAGTGCCTTTCCTACACATCTGCTAATAACCGCCTCCAGTTCATGTCGAATGTGCTCGTCAACAGGGCTACCTCCTGGGATTTGACATCACACCTGTGAAGGGATCTCGCAGGGACCAGTTCAACCTTGTCACCATCAACGGCGAAAGCGGTGTCATGTCTGCAACAGTCTGGTGCAAAGAGCACGTCCCAACCAAGTCTGTTGTCCATCGGATGCATGACATTGTCAATGAAGATGGCTTGAACGCTTTACAACTCTACGTTCAAAGCTACAAGCAAGCAGATCTCACATTGACCGGCACAGTCAGAAAGGCCAACTTGATGACAAATGCTGCAAAGATGGGAGCTGTCCCTGTTACCCCAAGCGCCCGTCGTGCCTCGACCACAACCCTATCCCTCAACGGCGTACCAAACAGCGAAACAACACATAACCACCAGGCTGGTGAGAGGATTTGCATCACTTGTGGTATTGATGTCAGTCTCAAATGGTGGCCTATTGAGAATTCTGATGAGCGAGAGCTCACAAATGGCCATTACGGAAGTCTTGGGTCTGAGGCTCAGAAGTTTGTGGAGCAACGAAAGTTCCAGTGCCACAAGTGTCGAAAGGCCAAGCGGAAACCGAACCCTCATCCGCCAAAGGATCCGTCTCCTCTGGCAGACGCCGCGCGAGTGGTACCTCCTCCTCTTCCAATCGTTCCACCGCATCATGCCCTCGCCGCCCCCCCTCCGCCTCTAAGAAGTCCGCCAACAAGCGGCCCCGAGGCGAGGGCGCGCAGCCTGTCGTCATACGCCTGGGTGGCACCGGCACCAGCCCCCATTGCCCCCGTTGCCGCCGCTGCCGCTGCTGCGGTCCCAGTTGCGCCTCCGCCTGCCTCCGCTCCACAGCCTGCGGGACCTCCTCCGGCTGTTGCTACGGCACCCCCGCCGGTTCAAGCCCCGGCACCTCCGCCTATCCCTCCGCCTGCTGTTCATCAGGCTCCTGCCTCGTATGGCCCCCCTCCGGCGGCGAGATATGACTGGCACGGTCGCCCGCCCCCGCAACACAATTCGCCGCCAACAAGACCGCCTCCTTTCCAGCCTCTGGCCAACCTGCGGCCTCCGCCGATGGGGGTACCACCACCGCATCCTTCAATGCCGCCAGGTGTTACCAACGGACACATGGGCCAACCCACGCACAACGGAATGCCGCCCTCCCCTCTGATGGCAGGTCCTATGGCTCACGGGCCGCCGCCATACATACATACTTACCGACAAAGCCCTCATGCACCACCTCATGGTCTCCCCAACGGCGCGCCCCCCACGCGCGGTCCCGACGCATTCTCACAGGGTCTACTTCCCCAGAGAGCGCCGTACGGCAGCCCTTCTGCGCATGACGCCGCTGGCCCCTTGAGAACGCCCAGCATGCGGCCATCGAATGAGCCTCCCCGACCCGCAGGGGCTAGCACCAGTCCATCTTTACGAAACTTGCTCTCCTGAACGGAAGGCTATGAATAGCTTAGGTGGTATCATCAGGGCATGTCAAGATGAGAGAGAAACGAAAGACGAGGGCTGGGTTTTGAGCCGTGCCAGAGAGGTAGAGCGAGCACGCATGCATTGAGACTGCTTGGCTCATGTATCAACATGTCATTTAAAGCGCATAGTAGTTGAGCTTCTGTCGAAGCTGAAGCGTCATGGTAGCAAATCCCCCATGTTTGAGGGTCGTCGGATACACCATGCTACGCACGCATGGTTTGTTAGAGAAATGCCGTTGAATAGAAGCGGCAAACGATTTGAACATTGAGACCGTACTTGATACTCTTGACTTTTCAACTCCTCGTGATATGTTATTCTCTATGATTCCCGCGCCAAGACCATCGACCCGTCTACTCCTCGCCAATGTCCTCATTCCTGCGCCTATTAGTCTGACCCCAATCTCGTATATCAAAACATTAGAGGAAGTTGTCACTAACCAGACCTCGGGCTTCTCGGCGATGAAGTTATCCATGAGAGCCTTGCACTCGGCGTCGTCGACGACGACGACCTCGACACCGCGCTGCTTGAGATACTCCTCGCCGCCGAGGAACGTCTTGTTCTCCCCGATGACGACGCGGGAGATGCCATAGAGGAGACAGGCGCCGGTGCCTTGGATGGGGTCAGTGAGTGTCGGCTTTAAAGCGGCAGCACTTCGTCGAGAGATTCGACTCGGAGGCAGAGGAAAAGGGAGGGAAACTTACACATGTCGCAGGGCGAGAGGGTCGTGTACATTGTGCTACCTGTCACGGAGCGTCAGACTGTGAAGTTATGGGGGACTCTAGGATTTTCTTGGTGGATGGGTAGATAGATACCTTTGTACGCCTTGCCGGGGAGACGGCCGGAGTTGAAGAGGGCATCGGTCTCGCCCTTTGTGTCGTCTCGGTCAGTAGCGAGGAGGGATTTCTAGGGGAATGAAGACGTACGTGATGGATGGCGGAGCCCATCTGGACGCGGCGGTTGTGGCCGCGGCCGAGGAGCTTGCCGTCTGACGAGACGAGGGCGGCTCCGATCTTGGGTTTAGTTTAGTGAGTGTTCTTAGTTGTATACAGGTAATTGATGTGTTTGTTTATTCATTGTTGCTACTGGGTACTCACGGGAACACCGCCCTCGGAGGCGCCAATCTTGGCCTCCTCGATCGCGATGGCGAGACCCTCTGCGTCGTTCATTTTGGGGCGGAGGGGAGTTGAAGGCGGGGGCGGGGTCGAAGTTGGAGTTGGGGTCTCGTTGAGTTGAATCGAGGCTCAACGGGATGCCTTTCAAGAGCTATGCCGATGAGAAGAAGAACGCTCTGCAACGCTGTCGAAAAGGAGTCGGATCGTGCAAGGTTTTTGCTGGAGAATCGGATGATCGGGGACGGGTCTGGCTGGCGGAGATATGATGGGTGGCGATGGCGGTTCATCTGGGGATATCCTTATCGCGTGCTCCACCTTGGGTTTGGTGATGGGTTTTTGTCATCTTCATGGAACCATGAGATTGATGTCTTTCTAGATCAAAGATTTGAAGTTCTCTTTTTTTTTCATGATACCTTGGACTTACTCCGAGTTTGGAATATTCGAGCGGAGGTTTGCTTCTTGAATGGTGGTGACGGGGGAACATGACATCTGTCACATATCACTACTAAACCCTCAGAGGAGGCAGTTTGAGTGTCTTTGGAGGATTTTGATATATCCAACGATCGTGACTAAACTGTCTCTGGATGTGATTCTACCCGTGACCCGGCTTTTGTTTCGACGCTCTTTCCTTTGTTTTCCAGAGAGCTCTTTTCGTACAGGTACTGCAACGCTCCATTTGACCAAGGCAACTGCCGATTGTAATCCAGCCTCATGCCTACCTAAATCCGTAGAATTGGGAGGAGCCCTCCTTCCTTTGCAGGACTTCAGGTCTATCGCGCTTTCCCTGCGAAAACTCTGTTTAGGACGCAACTGCCTCGGCCTCTCTCAAAAATCGCGGCTCTTGAAAAACCAAGAGCTCGCCTTTTCAACTCGAACCCGTCAAGTTTCTCAAGTTCGTGTACGATTCTGTCCGTTTACCACTGTCGCCGCATCCTGTCATCGGTACCATTGACGTCTCTCCCGGAAGAGACAACTTCAGGTGAGTTGAACCAATTTCCATGAAGCGAAATCAAAGTTTCTGATGTGATTGTAGGATGGCGAGCAGTCATCAGCCGTCTCGGTTTACGGACCGGTGGGCATTTCTTGCTCTGACATGGGAAATCCTGGGCAATTCATACGCCATGAAAGGATTACTTACGAAGGAAGATCTAGACCTGATGGAAGCGTGCCGGATCGACTTCAACTGGTGCAGGCCCCTCACGTGGAAAGGCTCTCGATCAACCTCTGCGTCGATCATTGAAGCAAGTTACTCACGGTCTACGCTGAAGATCTGGAACTCTTTAGCCGCGGGCGAGAAGTACGATCAAGAACAGCTGAAAATCGCCATCAAGGAATGGCGAGCCAGCGCAGTCATAACCGTGCCCGAGTTACCTGAGGCGCGAGCTCTGCTAGAGAATAAGTGGGATGATAAAGAGCCGAATTCGAAGGAAGTCGCTAACTAGTGTAACAGCGGATCATCTCCCCAAGATGTGAGCAAGGGGAAACGACCTGCTGGATCTGAAAATGCCAACGAGAGGTCGGAGAAGCGTGCCAGAATTGGTGTTCAGGAGAACGCATCGGAGGACGGAACACACAAACAACCCAGCGTACAAATCAAGGGTATTCGCACGTTGATCACGCCCCAAATCATGGCGTCGATTGAGCCTTCTGCAGTCTCGATAGCCGAAGATCGGACGAAGAACCTGGGGTTTGTGTCGATCCAGACAGTGGCATCTATCGAACCGTCCGAGTACCCTGAGCCCGAAGTTCGGCCAACGGGCCAGAGCATGGCGCCAGAGTCCCAGTCATCAGACGAGCCGGCAGCAATTGAGAGGAATCTCGACACGTCAGAACAAAGTACTGTCACGGACATGTCAATTACTGGAAGTCAAACACACGCATCGCAGAGAGCAAGCGTGCCCGAGATGGAGGAATTGCGGTCTGAGTTTGTTGGAAGGTCTGATTTCGCTCAGATGCGCAAATCCCAGCGCAAAATGCTGAAGCAGATCTCAAAGGGGGTCTCGAAGGGATTTGGAAGCAGAAGTCGATGCGGGCCGACACGAAGAAGATGAAGAAAATTGTCAAGAAGTTGGCGAAGCTCGAGAAGACGGTCGGCAAGCTCAAGGGCTGAGGTTCACGATGAGGATCAGTTAGGTCCGATGGGTGGAGAAGGACCGTTGAAGATCAGCAGAGAATTAGGTACGATACGGTAGCAATGTCACTTTGGAACCAATTTCTCCCGAAGCTTGCATCGGCGTTTATCTAAAGTAAACTCGTATATCCAAAATTTTGGTGGGTCCCGTTTCGAGATCATCCCAAGGAGGAAAGACCTGGACATTTGGCGCGCTGGGCCGAAGATCAGCCCGATGTCGCCACGTGACAGCGCAGGTGATGGGACGTTTCTCTCTGAAGATGTTGTCGTCCAAGTGAGAGGGAGTGGAAATGTGTGACGGGTGACGGTGACGGTGACGGTGACGGCAGAAGCCAGGAGATGGCCAAGCGCCCAAAAATGCAGTGAAGGCAACCCCCTGTGCCCCCCTTCTCGACCGCCCGGGCATCTCTGCAGTGGGCCGTGCACGGTTCACAGTACCTTAGGTAAGTACCTACCTAGGTCGTCAGGCTGAGGCGCCAATAGGGGGGACGGAGGGCCAAGGCCGGGGTCCCACTCCCTCGTCCTGCCAGGAGCAGTGTAATTCCACTGTAAATAGCATCCCCATCATCACAGGTTCCGTCCAGCAGGCGAGATCCAGTGAGAGAAAGAGCCCCGTCCCCGCCGAGATGGGGGGCCCAATGAAAAAGCCCCAGCAAGCATTGATTGACGATGGGCGCCCTTTCCTTTTGGGCTCTGCTGCTCCGCTGGTTTTCCCCTCGTTGGACGGGGGGACGTGGAGGCATCATCATTCATCAGAAGCATGACGGCCTCATAATTTCGAGCGAGATCAAGATGCCGAAATCTCGTGTGTTCCCGTATCTGTAATGAGCACACATCGTCTTTGCCAGAATACGTCTCCGCCCGTCTCTGTACTTCGTACACCGTAAGATGTTATCGACGGTAACGAGCAGCCAGCGTCTCTGAAGAAACCGAAACAGTGCATATAGACGACGATCTCCGTATTAGCGCCCTACGGCAATGAGGAGTAAGGTAATTGGAATGCCTTCCTTGCACCGCACCCAGACCCAGGGGAGAAGATTCGTTTAAGCCCCAGGAGACCAGCAGGAGGAGACGTCCTCAACCTCCCACTCGCACTCCCGCTCCCGTTGTGCCTTGCCTTGCGTTGCCTCGCCTTGCCGCCCTACCTGCCTCTGCCTCTGCCTCTGCCTGCCTTACGCCGTGCCGTCCATACTTTTTTTATTTTAACATTACTTTCGACACGACCGCACAGCCAAGACACGGCGAGGCACAGCTCTTAGGTCGTGTACCGCGTCTATCAATACTTTTTGTTTTCTCCCAAACCTACGTTCGGTACGTAGCATCGACAGGTAAGGCACCTTAATTCTTTTTTTTCCCCCTCTGCCCCTCGCTCCCTCACCGTCCCCTCTCTTGCCCGTTCGAAGCAAAGTCCCTCCTCATCGGCGCCTACCTACCTTAAGTACCTATCACTGGGTAAGGAAGAAGGGTCCCTCGACGGCACCACTGTGCACAGCCGGGTTTGGGATTTGCCCAAGTTTTGGGTGCAGCCGATCGAGCCCACACTAAATCTCCCTACGGCCAGCAACGAACGCCTCACAACAAAACCATTCTCGCGCCTTCGCCCACACTCCTTTGATCGCCTCGACCCGGCCCCTTTTCCCCTTCCTCAGCTGGTGCTGTTTCTGGTTTTGGTTCTGCCTCTCGATCCAAGGTCCGACGTCCTACCTTACCTACCTAGGTCGAGGCACTGCACTTGTACTTGCACTTGCACTGAGCTGTACCTACCTGCCTTACTCCAATCCCTCCCCCGCGGCCTGACAAGACAACACACATCTGACTTGTCTCTACCTTACCCGTTCGTTTCGCTTCGCTTGTTTCCTGCTCCTGCCTTTACCAGCTCTTTTCTTACCTCGGGCTTTTTTTTTGAGGGCAGCTCCTTCCTCCCACCGTCTGCGTTGTGTTTCTTGCTCACTCACATATCGGTCGCTGTTCTCAGCTCCAGACAACGCCCCCTGCTCCACTACCACAAGCCAGCCCAGGTAAGGTACGGTACGGTACGGTACGCAGTACGCAGTACGAGTACCTCGCCTTGCCTTTGCTTTGCTTTGCCTTGCCTTGCCGCACACTGCGCTGCTGTACGCCGTACAACAACCACAACCTAACCTCGACGACCCCAACCCGGTCTCCATCCCCCGACCCTCACCACCTGCACCCACGCCCTCGCAGCCAGCAGGTGCCTCTCAGGTCGCCCTCACCCTTCACCCTGACCCGACCCCGACCCCGAGTGCCACTTCTCGACCGACTCACCTCCCGTCCCAGTTCAATCCCGACTACCACTCCCACTCTCCCACCTCCGCCATCTTTTTCTTCAGCCCGGTGCCCAGCGACGTCGCCTGCCGTCCTCCGCCAGTCACGCGAGTTACTGTCGACCATTCATTACCCGACTTATTTAGTATTGCTCAGCACCATACCGCCGCCGTGCGACGACGACCCGACCCTTCAATTCGACGCCCCAGTACATACTCATCTCCTCGAAACCCCGACCAATCCACGGGCCAGCTGATGCCGACCGATAATTTCCTCTCAATCCCCAACTCCGATACTCGAGGCTGACGGGCCGCATCTCAATCCAAGAAGCCCTACCGTTCGAGAGTAACCATCCGAACACACGATCAGACCAACGATACCGACAGACCACTGTTGCAAGCATGGCGTCGGATTACGATCACGGGGCGCCTGACGACCGCTTGCATGCCCATGCCCACCCCGCCCCTATCGAACCCGCCTACCCTGGCGATCGAGGTTGGCAGAACGGAGGAGGTAGAAGAACTCCCGACAACAGCAATTACCGCTCACAACATCACTCGCGTTCACCCGGTCCAAGAACGCCTGGCAGAGATGGCGACCCGAGGCGGAGCGGTGAACGCAATAGGTCCAAGGGAAGAGGTGGGCGGTCAGCCAGCGGTCAACAGAGAATCTGCAAGAAGTGTGGAGAGCCACTGACCGGCCAATTCGTGCGCGCACTGGACGGAACTTTTCATCTCGATTGCTTCAAGTGTAGGGTACGTGTTGAGACTAACCCCTATGCCCCCTTGGATCCTCTAACAATGATGCTCTATAGGACTGCGGCCAGATCGTAGCTTCGAAGTTCTTCCCCGTCGACGACGAGAATGGCGAGGGACAATACCCGCTTTGCGAGACGGACTATTTCCGCAGGCTTGGCCTTCTCTGCTTCCAATGTGGAGGGGCTCTGCGCGGCTCCTACATCACTGCGCTCGACCGCAAGTACCACGTCGACCATTTCACATGCTCGATGTGTCCCACCGTTTTCGGCGCCCAGGACAGTTACTACGAGCACGATGGCAACGTCTACTGCCACTACCATTACTCTACCCAGTTCGCGCAACGATGCAACGGCTGTCAGACTGCGATTCTAAAACAGTTCGTGGAGATTTTCAGAAATGGCCAGAACCAACACTGGCATCCTGAGTGCTACATGATTCACAAGTTCTGGAACGTACGACTTACACAGCCGAGCGATACCTCTGAGGTACCCCAAGAGACGGATGACCCCGCCACGCGCGAAATCATTAGAGAGGAGGAAGAGCGCATGGAGGAGAAGGTCTACCGCATCTGGAGTGTCCTGTCGACTTTCGAGGAGTCGTCTGCCGCGTGCATTTCGGACATGCTTCTGCATGTCAGCAACGGTGCCTATGTGGACGGTGTGCTCGTTGCCAAGAAGTTCATTTGGCACGTTGAGATTTTGTTCCAGTCCGCCGACCGACTCGACTTCTCCATGGATCAGTTGAAGCTCAAAGGTTTGTTCCAAAGGGTCGATAACTCTTGAGACGTACTAACTGGCCAGAAATAGGATTATCGTACGGACGTGAAGCCAAGCTTCTTTGCAAGAAGATAGTGTCTTTCTTTTCCCTGCTGTCCAAGACCCAGGACACGGGGGCTCGGAAGCTTGGCGTCACTCAGGAATTGCTGTCCCTCGTCACGGGTCTGGCTCACTACCTCAAGTTGCTCATCCGCATCTGTCTACAGGGTGCACTTCGCCTGGAAAAGGAGTCTAAGAGCTCCGAAGGCATTTACCAATTCCTGGATGATCTTGCCGAGCTAGACACGGTCAAGCCCGACGACAACACCCTGCAGGCGATCACCGGTAACTCCCGACTTTCAGCTAAGGACTCGGATCACTGTGCGCTCTGCAACAAGTCAGTCGAGGATGAGTGCGCAAAGAACACTGACAGACGGTGGCACATTGCTTGCGTGAACTGCTCGAATTGCAACAAGGAGCTCGGTCGCAGACTCGACGAGGCGCGCTACAATGCGTTTGACAAGACGATTTGGTGTAGTAACTGCCTCGGTGTGAACAGCGAGGGTATGCCCCCCTTCGAGCATGTCACCAAGTTGCAGCAGTACGTTTTCCTGTTGAAGGTAGCACTCGCGAGATTGTTGGACATTCTCCGCAGCAACGGTGCCCTGCCTCGGCAGAATGACGACCAGAACATGGATGGGTATGGTCCAGGCGAGGGACTCCGAGCTTTGGCCCCCGGGGAGGCACCCTACCTCAACTCGGACAACCGTTCCAAGTCATACGCTGGAGATCAACGGGAGCACAATCGCGAGTCTTCCTACGAGAACACACTGAATGATGTTCGCCGATTGAGAAGTACCCGACTCGACAAGCATTTGTCTTCCAGCTTCAGAAAGGCCAGGACTTCGCGCATCATGGACGGCCCCGAAGGACGTAGCGTCCGCCCAGGATCCGCCGGCGAGGACCCCGGTCGAGCCGACGGAGGCTTCTCGATTGTCGAAGACCGTGGCCCACACGACGAGGGCACCACGGACAAGATGTTTAACCACCAGGACGCCCTGACTTTGGACGACATTCCCAGAATCGTCGCGGCGGAGCAAGTCAAAGAGCAGCAGTATAAGCCACGCCAAGAGCTCTTCCGCTCCCCCGCGACCGACCCCGCGGGTCATCAGAGATCGCAGTCCGCCGGCAGGGAGAACGAAATCCGTGCCGGTGACCCCTTGCCGCAGCGACTTGGAAGGAAGTACTTTTCGGAGCTCTCGGGTCTAGAGTACTTTATTGTTCGACACTTGGCGGTCCTGAGTCTTCACCCCGCGGTCGAGAACGAATTCACTTTGGATGAGCTTTTGAGTTTCATTGAGTCGAGGAAGCAACCCACATTCTGGAAGAACCTCGGCAAGGCCTTCAAGAACGACAGGCCGAAAAACGCCAAGAAGAAGGGCATCTTTGGAGTTCCTCTTGAGATTATCATCGAGAAGGACGGAGCCGAGTCGACGGATGGAGTCGGACCTGGGGCCCTCAAGATCCCCGCCATCATCGATGATATCATCAGCTCGATGAGAAAGATGGATCTGTCAGTCGAGGGTGTGTTCAGAAAGAACGGCAACATCAAGAGGCTCACAGAGCTCGTGGAGAGGATCGACCGTGAGGGATGCGACAACATCAGCTTCATGGACCAACCCGTCGTTCAAGTTGCTGCTTTACTGAAGCGTTACCTACGCGAGCTTCCCGACCCCCTCATGACCTTCAAGCTGCAGCGCCTCTGGATCGTGGTCGCCAAGATTCAGGACGACGCAAAGCGAAAGCAGTACCTTCACCTCATCTGCTGCCTGTTGCCCAAGGCTCACAGGGACTCTCTGGAGATCTTATTCTGTTTCCTGAAGTGGGCTGGATCATTCCATCAAGTTGATGAGGAAGCTGGTTCCAGAATGGACATCAAGAACTTGGCAACAGTCATCGCACCCAACATTCTCTACAGCAGCAACAAAGCGGCTGTGTTGGACAGCGACCCTATGTTTGCCATTGTTGCTGTGCAGGACATGATCACATACATTGAAGAGATGTGTCTGGTAAGTCTATTGTTTGACAGCTCACAACCCTGCAACTGCTAACCAAGTGTCTCAGGTTCCTGATGAGCTGATGGATCTCGTGAACGATCCGTTTGTATTTGGCGCGAACAGTGCTGATCTGAGCACCAAGGACATCCTGAAGCGCTACCAGGACCGCATTGGCCAACGACCAGGATATGGCGAAGTCAATGAAGTCTTTAACAGACCGGACAACTCTACCCGTCCTCCTCCCCGACGGGTTGAGACTGACCCCGCTCTGTGGCAACAGCAGGAGAGCAGCGTCCGCCCCGTGCAGGAACCCCCCATGCCCCTGTACAACCAACCTCACCCTAACACACCACCCCAAAGATGGCGAGCACATGAAGAGAATGGCCACCCTTCGCCCTATGGCAGTCAATTTGAGCACTCAGATACCGAGGGCCCAACTGATGCTCAGAAGCGAGAGTGGCGCAACTCCGCCGCCTGGGGACGACAGAATGGTGGTGTTGGTGTCGGTGGAAACACATAGTCATACCGCGCCACCATGACGGCAGGCTCACTTACACGATGAAGAGTGATGCTCACCAGCTTCACACTCTTTCCTACGCATTCTATTGGGATTGCAATTTGGGCTTTGAGACACATATCCATGCATTGTTGGCGGCGTTCCCAACCCTTTTTCATCAAAAGGACAAAAAGATTTCCCTTTTGCTCGGTTACTTCTACTCACGACAAGGCGGCATGAATGAATTTTTTCCAAGTTTTGTTCTCTTCCAAAAACTTTTTTTTTCTTCAAACCCCTTTACTTCTTGGCTTCTCTCTGAGAGTAAAGCATTGGGCCACGAAATGGGGGATTCTGGTAGCCTACTGGTCTTTCACGACACGGTTGGTCGTTTTCAGGAAGGGGGAGGTTTGGCTTTGGTTTTGGGTTGGTTTGGAGTATGGCCCTAGGGCCCGTCGACTTGTCGATCGGGCATGACTGGCTGGAATTGTTTGATTCTCTCGAGCTACAAGTCTTGAAATCTTGGCTTGAGCGCGAGACCTATAGCTTCGCTTCTGTTTGTTGGGATGGGGAAGATGTCGGATTACATTTGAGGAGATATCGAGAGTTCAGAGAGGGCGACAGGTGTGAGGGAGTGGGAAGGGAAAAGTTGCCTGTTTCGCCTTGAGAAGTCAAGGCCGCGGAAGGCGAGAAGAAATCGTTTCGTGTAGCTCAAGACGGGGGTGAAAGAACCAGGTAGTTTCGCAAATGCGAACTGTACGGGCAAACAACGCCCGCGAATTTCCCTCTAGACTCTGATTACGTTCTCTCCCAATGTGGCTTACAACTATGACATGCAGTATGGAGAGTGTGTGCCTTCTTCATGACGTGGCTCACAGGCCGTTTATTAGTCCCTTCTACAGCAGGGAATATGTATGTGTATGTATATATACGAAAAAACCACTTTTCAACATGAAGCCCAGATTACGCGTACTACTCATCACAAAACCATGTCTCACAGTGACCTCTCATGCCTTGATGCTCACCTTGCCCGCCTTCTCCTGCTCGAGGAACCACGACACGCCCCTCTTGATGCCGGCGTCCAGGCTGACGATGGGGCGGTAGCCCAGGAGCCTCTTGGCCTTGTTGATGTTGTAGTAGCGCGTCATGCAGCTGTAGATGTTGCGCTGGCGGTTGAAGATGGGGGGCTTGCCGATGATGGTGAAGAAGACCTCGGAGCAGAAGCCGAGGACGATGCCGATCTCGCGGGGGATGATCCAGACGTGGGAGGTGCCCCTGTCGGAGCCGGCGGCGCGCCAGATGGCGCGCGCAAAGTCCCAGAAGTAGATGGGGGCGTCGTTGGTGACGAGGAAGGCCTCGCCGTCGACCTTTTCGTGGTCGAGGGGGATGATGCCGGCCTTGGCGGTCGCGAGGAGCAGGCGGGCGGCGAGCATGTGGGCGTGGGCGACGTTGCCGACGTAGGTGAAGTCGAAGAGATTGTCGTTGTCGCCGAGCTGGACGCCCGTCTTGCCCTCGCGGTAGATCTTGACGAGCTGGTGCGTGGCCATGGTGTCGCCCTCGCCGAAGATGCCGGCGGGTCGGATCGCGGCCGTGAGGAGGGGGTAGGGGTCTTGGCGGTTTGCTTGGAGGACTAGTTCTTCGGCGGCGGCCTTTTTTGGACGTCGTGTCAGCTTTAGTGTGAGAATAGAAGAACGTCACCTCTGCCTACCTTGGTCTCGGAGTAGTACTCCGACTGCTGCTCGCCGCGGATGACGGGCCACCTCTCGTCGGCGTTGATCAGGTCGCTGCTGTTGTCGCTGATGATGCTGGCGGAGGAGGTGTAGACGAGGGCCTTGACGCCGGCGGCCTGGCAGGCGGCGATGATGCTGGCGGTGCCGTCGACGTTGACGCGGCGGAAGAGGTCCTTGGCGACGGCGCCGTCGGCCTGGGGCGCGGGGGAGGCGGTGTGGATGACGACGTCGGGCTTGACGTCCTCGAGGATGGACTTGATCCTGTCGGCGTCGGTGATGTCGGCCTCGTGGTAGGAGGCGGCCGGGTTGCGGTTGTTGGCGCAGCGGAGGTCGATAACGGAGACGGACGTCGTGGACCAGCGGTCGCCGGCCAGGAGCTGGTTCACAACGTGGTGGCCCAGGAAGCCGTTGCCGCCGACCACGAGGACCTTGCCCAGGTCGACGGCCGCGGGGCGTTTTTCGGAGGACATCGTGACGGAGAGGATCGGGCTCGGTAAGGGGGGGAGGTTTTGATGTTGCAATTGGATGGCGGCGGAGGAACGCGGCGTCGACGATGGGAGGTTTTACGGAGCAGATTGTCTCTGTTGGTCGTACGTCCCTGATGAGTTGAGTAAGAATCTGGGGTAGGTACGGTAAGGAGAGAATGGGCCAATGTTTGCTACGGTTGGGTGGTGGTGGTTTTGAATCCTCGATTTGACAGCTTCGTACCGGGTACGTGTCCGTCATGCAGGGGGACGTCGAACGTTGCGGTAGAGTGACCTCGTTGAGCTCTGCAGCGCGCTAAATTGCATTCTAGGCTGCGGACCAGCACCCCCGGTCTCTCGATGCGACATGGGATACAGGGGACCTGAGGCGCCCCCACATCGAAGTGGCACTGACTTTGCGACCGCTTGGTGTCGAGTCGCGCTTTTTTGGCAAAGAGTCGCATCTCTCAAATCTGACGGCTGACGGATGCGGAACTCAATTTCGACAACTGTTGGGACATGGACCTTCAGGGTCAACCAGACTATGCGAGACTCTTAAATTTCATTCTTGGATTCGCTGCTATTGGAACGCCGTAAAATACTTATCTGTCTCTCTCTCCCTCTCTCATCCAGTCAGCTCATACATGAGATGCGCGTCTCTCATATAAACCCGTGGTCGTCGTCATGGAGACGAATGACAACATCGAGATCTTAGTGCACGTCGCAGCTCCGTGCAGGGCCGTTGACGATGCGCGATACAGGGCCCTGGCGCAGGCATATCTCAACTTTCAGCCGGGAGGCCGGACAAAGATATCAGGCGGACAACCACAAGGAGATGCAGACGCGACTATTCCCAGCTCACTGGCTGAGCCAGCACCCTCACCATACATACCGTTTCACGCACCGATTCCCAGCAGCGAGGCAACTCAACTCCCTTCGTCGCCACCTCAACCGCAGTATTATCCCCTGGGCCACTCTTTTGGAAGTGTACAACTTTCTTTCGGGAGCGTGTTAGACAACAGAAACTCTCCGGATCTCGGCGGGGCTGCGCGCGAGCAGGAGATAGTCCCTTCATCTCAGCTGCCAACACAGACACAAGTTGCGCAAGATAGTTGGGTTGCGCCACCGAGCGTCATTGATGACTCGCAGCCTGTCAATAACACCAGTCTTCTTGAGTTTTCCTCCCCAAGCCGGTTCTTTGAGCATTTGGCCGATCAGTTGGAGAGTAATAGGGACGGACGTTCCCAGCGGACGCCAGTGCAGAGTCAACGTCGGGCTTTGCACTTATTGGAGGAAGTAGAGGAAGAGCCTGAGGAGAGTCACAATGGAGATGAAGAAGAACATGAAGAAAGAGAAGAGGATGAGGACAAGGAAGAGAAAGACAACGGCCGCAAAGAAGAAGAAGAAGAGGAAGATGATGATGACGATGATGACGGACAAGTCGTCCTCACCACATCAAGCGACGCTCCAGCACCCGGCGACATCCCACCGCCGGCTCCATCCCCTCCAGCAGGAAACGTGGTCCTGGAAACCCCGTTCCCAGCTCGCAAATACCCACAGCTTCCGAGCTCCCCGTTCGACCAGATCATCCAGGACACGCCTTGCCAACCCTCAAAGAGACAGCGCCCATCCTCGCCATCTCGCGCGGCGACTAGCGATCCAGCCCCCTCTCCAAAACGACATAGGCGTTCCGCGCCAATATCGGAGTCCAGATCAATAATCCAAGCCGTCTCCATAACCGAGTCCGCAGACCACGGCGACGTCTATCACTTCATCCGGCCCCCGAACCAGCGTCACCTAAACTACCTCGACCGCCTCGAGATCCACCCCACGGGGCCCCCCGTCGGCAGCACCCGACTCACGCCGGACGACCTCCTGACCCCGCGGCTCAGGGACCTCGCGCGGCAGCTCAACATCTCGAAGCGCTACCGCCCCGCCGAGCAGGCGCGAGAGCTGCGGCCGTTCGAGAGGGGCCACTGGCTCCTGGACTGGACCACCTGGCGGCCGACGCTGCGCGAGCGCGCGTGGCACTTTCTGACCGACTACATCCTCGACGGCTTCGCGGGCTGGGGCGTCTGGTGCATGCGCGCCGCCGACTGGTCGTGGTTGAGGGTCTACTGCTGGGGCCACGTCGTCGGCCACGTCTACCTAGCCCTGTACCTCGCCAGCGAGAGGGCGTTGAAGACGGACTCGGCCCGCTGGGTGGACGGGGCCGGCGAGGTGGTCGTGATCACCAACGGCCACGAGAATTCCGAGTCCGGCGATAGTATGGAGGACGGGGCGGAATAGCGAGGCGTGCTTTCTTTGCCGGGACGGCATGGACGGCGTTTCTGTCTGGTTTCTGGGGCTAGCGAGGCGTTTTCTCTTTGGTTTTCTCACTTGGATGGCAGAGATTCAAACTTGGAAATGGCGCTCAGTGTTTGGCAACGATGTCACTAGCATTGCAACACTTGAATAGGGTATACTTGCACATAGAAAGCAAATGTGCGTCAAGTTCCTTCGCGGAGCCTGTCATTTGGTATCTGAACTCGACATGGGAACGCCGTCTCGTCTCGTCTCTGCGCGAATCGGACCAATAGTCACAAAATACCAAAAGCGAGTCTCCAGGCTGTACAGGTGGTGTGAGGAAAGCGATTACAGGCCCCTGCCACCAGACCCCTCCTCTTCACTTCTCGTTCGCAAACAATCCCGGGTAGAAACCATGGAGAACGTCTCTTTAAGCACCTTGACTTCAGCCGAGAAATGGCCAACGCATACGGCCATCTCCACAAAATGTAAAGCTGCACACTAAGCCCGTGTGTGTAAACCGCGGTTCAGCACGTCGCGGACTTCGCGCTCATACCGCTCTCGGTCAACCTTCGCTGTCGCCTCGTAGGGGGCCTTTTCGGATGGCGACATATTCTTCCATTCCTTAGAGATACTCGGTATCGCAAAAGTTGGACCCTGGCCGGCGAACTCGCCGCTGGCCCAGCGCGCTTTGACGAAGTTACCCCAGGCTCCGGTGGGCATCTTAGGCAGGCGGTCATCCCGGATAGGGGAGGGACGTCTGGGTGTGCCGCGCATCTTACGGATGCGCGCGCGAGCATTGTTCGCATCGACGACTTGCTGCGGCGTCAATGTCTTCACCCAAGCCTCGTACCTCGTCTTCTCGTCGAGCTTGATTCGTTCGGCTTCCTCCGCGAGACGCTGTGTGTGTGCAAAGGGATGTATCAGCTCCGCCGATCTTCTACGTCGAGAACAACATTACGGGACGCATTGCGTTGCTTACCTGCTGCTCGTACGACGAAAGGTTCTTGTATCCTTCGGAGAGTGTTTTCATGATCTCCGTCATTGCTTCGCTAGAAGTTCCAACTGCCTTCATGTTCTTCGAAACATACAAAGACCAGGGGGTGTTGGCCTTGTTCTTGGGCTCCTCCGCAAGCAGTGCCGCCTTCTTCCACACCCGCATGTTGAGCTTGTCCTGCTCCTCTGGGGACAGCTCCTTCTTGGGCTTCTTGACGGCAGGCTTCTTCTTGGGTGCCGCTTTTTTGGGTGCCGCTTTCTTCTTGGGCGCAGCCTTTTCGGCCGCAGCCTTCTTGGTAGCGGGCTTCTTCTGACCCTCCTTCGCCGCTGTCGTCGTCTTCTTCGTTTTGGTGGTTGGGGCGGTTGCCTTGGCCGGAAGACGCGCCCAGTGGGTGGTCGAGAGGGCGCGACCGGCGACGTGGGCGATGGGCTGAGACCGCGGGATGGTCAATGGCGCGGTGCGCAGAACCAGGCGCTGGGCGGCCACGCGACCGATCGCTGTCAACATGATGCGAGGATTTTGCTGCTGTGGGGTGTGTGGTGTGTGTTGTGGGTTGAGCTGAACCGAGCTACTGAGAGCGGTGTTTGGTTTTGGTCGGTGTAGTTGGATTGTCGTCGCGATAGGGCGGATCGATGGCGGGGTGTTGAGATTGACTCCGAGCGACGTTCCCGGCACAAACAGGCCGATTGTGAGGAGACGGAGTCGACGGGGGGAGGAGGTAATGGACAACTGCCGTCCGTGGTGTTGACGAAATAATAGACGGGGGGACTGAGAGCATGCGACCTGACCTTGGCCGGCCTCCTTGTTTGTTTTATCTTAACCCCTGGAGCTTCCTGTACCGAGTACTTGTCGACATACGAGCTCAATGAGTTTACCCAGGTAGCCGCTACCTTCCTCACCTTTCCACCACAACAGCTTTCCAAGCTGACCTTTTTCGGTAAGCCTACCTACACTACCTACCCAACTTGCAGCCCCATTTGTCAGGCACCACCCTGACGCAGCGGCAGCAGCTAGCAACCTAAGCAGCACCACAAGCACCTGGCAGCCGCCAGCAGAGGCATCCACGGGACGCGAAGCTCAGCAACCCCCAGCTACATCTACATACCGACCATCATCAACCCCAGTAACGACACCTTCCCGCGAACGAAAACAACGCCCGATTTTTCCATCTCGACCTCCGATTCCTTTTCAATTCACCTTTACACACCACCAGCAATCATGGATCACAGACCGCAAGCTTGGGGCCGTGTGAGCATCACCCTTCCCGTCCTCAGCCTCGCATCGTAGACTAACAAACCGAACCCCTCCCGCAGCCCAGAGACGACGTCTACGGAGCCTACAATGCCTCCTACATGAACCCCAACGGTCCCAACCAAGCGACACAAGCACCCATCGTCACGGGAACATCAGTCATCGCCATCAAGTACAGCGAAGGCGTCGTCATTGCCGCCGATAACCTGGGTACGCTCTAACCCACCTGCCACCCCTCCAGAACAATCCCTCAAAGAACGCAATCGCACCGATCACGAGACTAACCACACGTGTTCGAACAGCATCCTACGGCTCCCTCGCCCGCTTCACCGACGTCAAGCGTCTGCGCAGCTTTGCCGACTCCACCGTCGTCGGCTTCGGCGGCGACGTCTCCGACATGCAATTCCTCGACCGCCACCTCCAGTCCCTCGACATCGAGGAGTCCTACGACCTGTCCACGGACCAGCCCGCCCGCCTCAACGCCGCCAACCTGCACAAGTACCTCTCCAAGCTGATGTACAAGCGCCGCTCCGATTTCGACCCCCTGTGGAACCACCTGCTGGTCGCCGGCCTCGACGACGCCGGCAAGCCCTTCCTCGCCGCCGCCGACCTGCTCGGTACCACATTCACCTCCCCCTCTTTGGCTACGGGTTTCGGTTCTGCCCTGGCTCAGCCCATTATGCGTCGCTACGTCCCCGACGAGGAGGCTGCCGCCAAGCTCTCCAAGGAGCAGGCCATCGACGTCATCAAGGAGTGCATGAAGGTGCTCTTCTACCGTGATGCTCGCAGTCTGGACTCATACTCTATCGCCGTGGTCACCAAGGAGGGTGTTGATCTGAAGGAGAATGAGAAGTTGGAGAAGCAGAGCTGGAAGTTTGCGGAACGCATTCGTGGCTATGGCACGCAGGTCGTTTGAGGCGGAAATGGACAGACATGATGGGAATTAGAGGAATGAAATGACAAATACCGGTTAACTGGGACAGCCGCATACAATTGATCATGCGGGATTTCTAAACACGACTCTAGAGGACGAGGAGAGCACACCCCAGGGCGACCGACGACTTCCGTCACACGTGTCATCGACATCACGAGCGGGGGCTAAAAAGATGTGCGAGTGTAACACTAAATGAAATAGACAATATTGCTTTCATTGCTTGAGGCTATCCTTCTTGGACATTTGACCTCGAAAACACGCTCATTTATCTTGACAGGCCCTAAATCTACCATGCTGGACCATTCCCTCTTTTTCAAATACCCAGTAATACATCCGAGGGCCCTTCGTCTGTTTGCCTCCAATTGGCCCGCTGACATTAAGGGCCCCAGGGGCCAGCCTCCCTTTTGGCAACCCGACTCCTATGGCAAGAGAAGCGCCCGACAAAGAAAAAAAACTAATCCTTCACTGTACAAGTCGTTTACTCGACGGTAACGGACTTGGCCAGGTTACGAGGGAAGTCAACGTTCAGACCCTCCATAACAGCGAGCCAGTAGGCGATCAGCTGGAGGGGAATGACGTTGAGGATACCCTGGAGAACGTCGACGTTCTTGGGGATCTCAATCTTCTCCGCCTCGCTGGACTTGAACTCCTCATCGGCAGGGTTGCAGATGACGATGGGCTTGCCGCTACGAGCAATGACTACGAGATGAGTTAGCATTATACGCAATGATACCGGCTTCATCCAAACTTACCTTGTTGGTAGGCGTTGAGCGACTTCTTGAAGAGGTTGTCGCGAGTAAGAATCATGATGATAGGCAAGTTCTCGTCGACGAGGGCCAGAACACCGTGCTTCAGCTCACCGGACATGACAGCCTCGCAGTGAAGGTAGGAAATTTCCTTGATCTTCAGTGCACCCTCGAGGGCAGTAGAGAACTGACTGCCACGGCCGAGCAGCAGCAGGGACTTCTGGTTCTGGAAGGTCTTGGAGCAGAGCTCCTTGATAGACTGGTCCTGGGTAAGGATGTCCTTGATCTGCTCGGGGATCTTGGCGAGACCCTCCATAATCTCTTCACGGCGCTTCTGCTTGGAGGCGCGGTCCTCGCTAAGGGAGAGCGCAAACATGACCATGGCGATGAATTGCGAAGTGTAGGCCTTGGTGGATGCAACACCGATCTCAGGGCCGGCGTTGACGTGGACACCGCAGTGGGTAAGGAGGGAGATTGAAGAACCGACGACGTTGACGATACCAACTGTCAGGGCACCACGCTCCAAGCAGTAGCGGAGAGCCATGAGAGAGTCAGCAGTCTCACCGGACTGAGAGACGAAGACGCAAGTGTCGTCGCGGAAGACAGGAGCCTGTCTATCGAGGAAGTCGGAAGCCAACTCGACGGCGATAGGAATCTCGGCCAGCTCCTCAAACGCACCACGGACAGCCATGCATGAGTGATAACTAGTACCACACGCAATAAAAATGATTCTGCGGCACCGACGAATAGTGGAAATGTAAGAGCGCAGACCACCAAGAGTAACGGTCTTGTTGGCAATGTCGAGACGACCTCTCATGGTGTTGACGACGGACTCGGGCTGCTCGAAGATCTCCTTCTGCATGAAGTGGTCGAACTTGCCCTTCATGATCTCTTGGAGCTCGAGCTCCAAAGTCTGAATGGTGCGCACGTTGGAGCTGCCATCGGCCTTCTTAAGGCGGTGAATGTTCAGGGATCCCTCGTGGATGTGGGCAATGTCGTCGTCCTCGAGGTACATGACCTTCTTAGTGTGCTCGACAATAGCGGACGGGTCAGAAGACAGGAAGAACTCGGTGGGCATGGGCATGCCATCGTCGGTCATGAATGCACGCGACTGAGAGCGGTGCAGAAGAGACTTGTCCGGGGCGCCCAGCAGAGCATTGGGGTTCAAGAAGTTGTCCTGCTGCTTCTTGAGAGCATTGTTCTGAGAGGCGGCCTCAGCGGGGAGAGCAGACTGCTCGTCGGCGTACTCAACATCGACGAAGTCGACCTTCATGCGCTTCTGGGTCTTGACACCAATGACAAGGGGAGAACCCTTGCGAGCAGCGATGACCTCGTGGGGGTAGTGGACGGACTTGATGAGAAGACCGTAGGCACCCTCGAGCTCGTTGATGACAGCCTTGGCGAGGTCGGTGAAGCCGACCTTGGGGTGCTGGTCGTACAAGTACTTGGCGAGCTTAGCAATGCACTCGGTGTCGGTGTCGGTCTCGAACTTGAAGCCCTTGGCGCCCAAGAGCGTCTTCAGCTCCTTGTAGTTGGTGATGATACCATTGTGGACGACGGTGAACTCCCACGTAGGGTCGGACCTGTAGAAGAAAGGGGCTTTGTTAGTGGCCGAGTCATTGACGAAAAGGAGGCTTGAGAAAGTTTGCTGTTATTCTTCCTGGGCGCACGCGTACCTGTGGGGGTGGCAGTTCAGACGAGAAGGGGGGCCGTGAGTAGCCCAGCGAGTGTGGGCGATACCGGCGTGTGAGTCGAAGTACTTGGTCTCGTCGACCTTGGACTCGGCGATGAGCTGCTTGAGCTTGGCAACCTTGCCAACCTCCTTGAAGGCGAAAACCTCGTTCTTCTTGTCACCGTCGACAGCTAGGCCGGCGGAGTCATAGCCACGGTACTCGAGACGGGAGAGACCTGGGAGAGAAGAAAGGAGGACTCGTCAGCAAGAAGGACGTCAAGGAAGGATTGGGTGGAGCTGGTTGGGTGCAATTGGAGCTTCCAGGAGGCGGTGTACGCAGAACTCACCATTGATCAAGGTCTCGAGAATGAATTTCCTGTCCTTCTCCACCAGGTAGTTGACGTAGCCGAAAATGCCACTGTTGAGAGAAGAAGACTTGTGTCAGCTTATTGCTTACTGTGTTGCCAATGTCTTCCTGGGCGTATGCCTGGCCCCCTTTTTTCAGCTGGCAGAGAGCGCATGGAGGGGCCCAGGCTACTGGCAAGCTTTCAGGAGAGCGGGGGAGAGTTTGGAGAGACATACCACATGTTGATTTCAACGCAAAAGAAGAGCTAGAAAAAGACGTAAAGACCAATTCGCAGATAAGAGACCTAGGCGGGGAGATAGGTCTGGAGGAGGCGGTGAGGGGTATCAAGAAGAGCGAGAGAGACGGATAGTTGGATCGAGAGAGAATGAGCAGAGCAAAGCAGTGGAAAGGAGGCGGGAGCTGAGCTGCTTTATGTGTGCTAAACAACTGGAGAGAGGAGGGGAGGCGTGTATTGTGTACGTGGAGAGAGAGCACGCAGTAGCAGTAGCGCCTTGAGGTGTGGAGGTGGGCGGTGGGCGGGGTGGTGGCAGGGGCGTGCTCGTATTGATGGATGACGGAGGGGGAAGGGGGGGAGGGGGGGGGAGAGAGAGAGCACGGGTTGAGGTGAGAGGTATCCGTAGACGTCGGCTTATTATTACCTACGCTAAGGCAGGCCAGGTATGAGACGGGATGGAGGCAAGAAAGAAACAAGACAGCTCGTGATGAATTGATGTCCTGGGGAATGCAACCTGTGCGGCTGCGGCTGAGTTGGAGTCGTGGGTGAATTGTTTAGGCGTGGTAGGTGTCGAGACCGGGACTGGTCCGATGTCAAGCAAAGTCAGAGAGCTTAAATACATGTCTACGTCAAATGTTTGACCCGTGAAAATGAGGCTCGGCGAAGAAGCCGACGCAGATGTAATTCGGACGGCGAGACAGCAATGACCACAGCAGATGCAGGTCGTTTCTTGGGTTTGTATGATTGTCTTGCAAGCGGGCAAAGTAGCTCTGTTCTCGTTCCCGTTCCCGTTTGGATGTCTGGGCCTTTAGTCTGGGTGTATTTGCTCGCTTGCGTTGGATGTTTGGGATGTCAGCGAAATGCCAATGGAACCATCTCTACAGAGTATCCGTACACGGCAGAGCAACGTGTCTGACATATCTCGACCAGGATGGCATTGTCAGGATTCAACAGGCGCTGGGGCAACGAATGGATCTGGATTCGATGGAGCACGTCGGCAGCAGTGCGTAACAGAATACCTTAGCAGAAGAAGCCAGCAAGGCACAAGAACTGGACGACAGACACACTGGCGGGAGTGACAAGGTCTACCTAGGAAACAAGACGGCGGACCTGGCCAGCCAGTCGACAGCTGAGAAAGCACGAGTGAGGGGCAGCTCTGGAGAGCCCCACCTTACCGGCAACCGCACCTTCAGTGTACCACGACCACAGGTGCACACTCAGGCACAGGCACCTCACCTAAACAAACCCAACGTCTGAAAATGCATGCAAGACTCTGGAGAGTTGCAAGTCAGGTCTCCCCGACAAGGCTCAAGGAGTTCCAGCCACGCAGGAGCCACCCCAATTACCAACGGCAGCATTGTGGTTCTCCATGTGCCGTACCTTAACTTACATCCGCGACCAGAACTTGGGTCAAATGCCCATCCTCGACAGGAATATCCCAGGTCTGGGCTGAAGCCTGACAGTCTGTGCCTTGGTGGCCTCGCGGGACATGTCATGGGCAGTGACATGTTCAGAAAGTCCAGACGCAGGCTTGGACCGTGGCGCCATTCCCTGACTGGCTCAGCCATTCGGCTGCTACGAATACTCCGTACGGATACAGAGGAAGAGGATGCCAGAGATCGACCTCGGTACGTACCGCCAACAATATCGTGGAGCGGGAAGGTCTTTGCTTTTCATCTAACACGCTGTTACGGATACAGTGATGCACCAAGGACGATCTTCTCAGTGTCCCCTCAATGGCCGTTGGTTCATCTCATTCTCATGGGAATGTCATGTCGGCCACCTTGGAAAACAGCATGTCAATCCAATCATGGTCCGGGCCCGACTGACCTCTTCAGATTTAAGAGCATCGGATGCCACCATCGCCTGTTCCCGTCGTCTACATTCCAGCGGAAGCCGCTAGGAATTCTACAGCATCCGCCATGTCTGCATTTGCTACGATGCGCTTTCCAAATCGGAAAGCTTCCCAGGCACTTGTCTTACCAAACCAAGGTACCTTACCTTCAGCAGAAAACACCAACGAGACAGGCACAAGCTCTATCACGCTCTTTTCTCGGCCACTCTCACCAGTCTCAACATAACGACGAGACCGAGGCAGGTACGGTAGTCTTCTCTCGCCTCCTTCGTACCTGACGTGTCCCTACGATGCGGTAGGACTACCATACTAAGGGAGGTATGGACCACACGCCCCTATCGTCCCATGTGGCCCCCAATCCCGCCGTCCAATCCTCTCTCACCTCATTGCAAGACACCTCACCCAAAAGCACTTTGTTTTCCCTATTCGACTTACACACATTGACGAGGCGGACGACTTATTCGAGCCAACCCCGAGGAAAGCAAAAAAAGGGGGCATCTCGAAGATACAAAACCAAACAACCAAGTCCGCCGTTAACACCAACGTCCGTCTCCGTCCCCGTCATTGGCTCTCAATGCGGCAGTGAATGCCCTTTTCGTGTCGCCTCAGAAGCATCTTTCTCTTGGGGTTGATGCGGACGGCTACCTGCCTTCGTCATTCCCGACCCTACTCGTCCTCCCGCATCCGCTGGTTCAAAGGCCTTGGTGTACGCAGTACGAATATTTCGAGGGGTTCCATCGCCGACATCATCGCTCTTGACCCCGTCCCTTTCGTATTCCCTGGTCCCGGTCCCCAGTTCTCTGGGTGCAGACACCTTGTTTGTCCAACGCTAGAAAGAATCCAGTGGGGATCGTCGGCACTGCGACGCCTGTCGACAAGAATTCCTGATGTCGGGTCCCCTGATTTCTGCTGCTTGCTTGGCTCGGCTCGGTTGCTGGTTGCACCCATGGAGGGGAACCGGGGTGAACGAGGCCGAGGGTGGGGGGCGTCCAGGTACGAAAGAAAAAAAAGGAAGGGAACAGCACACTAAAAAAGGTACAGCCTCAATGGCAATCGTGAGAACGGACCAAAAAAGGGGGCGACCTGTCGTCCACTCCGAAGACCGTATAAAAATCTCCAAAAATAACATGCCGCACCGACGAGTGAACCCTGCTAGGTCGCTTCTCCTGCAAATCACCATCTGGCATCTCTCAATGCCACTGCCCATCGCAAAACTCCATCGATGTCGACCCAGATCTGGGAGCCTAGGGCGCGGCGGCAGACCAACACGGCCGAGCGAAGCTGCCAGGCGCTTGTCGCGCGCTGCCTGGGCCTCTGAAGACCGTTCTGATGTCAGATTCCAAGTGGATGCCATGTTCCACGGCCCCTGGAAATGGTAAGATGGACGACGAGGATGAGATGGTGCGGACCACATGGGGACAGGTGCACGACAGCTGCTGCTACCTACCATGACCGACTCCAAAACGATCAGACCAGCGCCATGCAAGGCGAGTCCAAGGTGCTGCTGTCATGATGAACGCCCGCGATGCGAGGACTTGACACGCCGTCCGCATAACACGTCCCGCATGCAGTCGCTCATCTCCAGTCTCGCGGCAATCCTCTCGCGTCGAAAACATGTGGCTGATCTTGATCTCTATTCGTTGCCGTGCGAGATCGACCATGACATGATGTGGTCTCAGCTAGAAACCCCCCCGGCCGCCGTCGTCCGCATGCAGCCAGCTCAACTCAAGCAGCCTCATCCTGCTACACATCCTTTTTTGCACGACGGTGATGGAATCGTCGAATGGCAGACGCGGGATCATGGCATTCTTTCTGATGCCCAGAGCTTACGGATGCAATGTGTGACCACCCACCCCCATTCCCCACCCGTTGGTCAGACAGGATCACTGGCATGTGGGATTTTGTCAGAGAGAAAGCGATCATGTAAGACTCGAGAGAGGCAGAGAGGCATTCAGAAGGAAGCTCTTCGTGCGCCTAACCACACCCCCTCAGCTGTGGATTCGTGGATTTGCGTCCGTCAGACGCTGTGGCTTGCCAAAAGAAATAACCACACATCATACGCCCCCTCTCGTCCAGCAATAATACCCCGTTTCTACCATAGTATGCGCTTCTTCCCCCCAGCCCTACACTGAACTCCGGGTCTTTCGTCCTCTGGGGGTCGGCCGTCGGTGGTGGTGGTGGTCGTCGTCGTCCAATACGGCTCCCTCCCACGTCGCCAGCCGCGGTGGGTTCGGTTCAACAGGAGCAGAAAGCTTGCTGCTGATGGACAGCGGCGGCACGTGGCGCCGGGTGAGCCTTTCTGCCCTGAGTGCTCGTCACATCCATCATGCCAGGACCCCAGCCCCAAGCCGAGGCTGTGCACCATCAATAGCTTCAAAAACGGAGCTTCAGCCGCAACCCTTACCCCAGCTTCGCCAATGCGAGAGGGAGCAGACCCAAAGATTGCCGGGGAACGTGGCAAGGGCGCGCAGAGATAAGAGGAAACGGTTTAGCCTGGGGGGTTACATTGCTGGACAATACGATATCCAAAGCGTCACTTCGCACTCCAGCCCATGCTGGTGATCATCGCAAGGGCGCGGGAGGGAGCTGGGAAACCCCATCAGGCCATCATAGGCCCTCGGTCACCATACGAACAAAAGGTCTCGCCGAGCACTTGGGGGACCGATTTGCTGCTGCCTCTATTGCATGCCGTACGTTTCTAGATCCCACCGCCAAACAACCCCAAACCTGTGACTCGGGTATTGTACACTGTTTAACACATTAAAAGACCTCGCCGAAGCAGCCAAGTAGGTGTTCATCCTAGCCGCCCCCTTCTGACGTCTTTTTGCCCTTCTTCGCCTGTCCCATCCCATGATCATCATCATGGCGACGACGGTTGTCGTCGCTTACAGCTTCTGGTACTCGAGCTTGCCCTCCAGCTTCTTGGACTCGGCAACCTTGCGTACTGCCTTGTTGAAGTCGTCCTGGTTGATCGCGTCCCTGTAGTCCTTGATGGCGAACAAGCCGCTGCAAAAGTCCTCGTGTTAGTGATTGTCAGGGATTCTACCACCGAGAAGGATGTGAACTCACGCTTCCGTAACGACGTTTCTCAAATCCGCACCGTTGAGACCGTCGCTCATCTTGACCACACTCTCAAAGTCGATCTCGCCCTCCGTTACGACGCCAGAGGCGTGGATCTTGAGAATCTCCAAACGGCCGACCTCGTTCGGCAGGGCGATCTCGATCTTGCGGTCCAGACGTCCGGCACGCAGCAGGGCGGGGTCGAGCGTGTCGGGCCTGTTGGTCGCCATGATGATCTTGGTCTTGCCGAGGTAGTCGAAGCCGTCGAGCTGGTTCAGCAGCTCCATCAACGTTCTCTGGATCTCACGATCCGCACTAGTTCCCTCGGAGAATCTGCGTCCACCGATGGCGTCAATCTCGTCCATGAAGATAATGCAGGGCTCGTGCTCCTTGGCGTATCCGAACATCTCACGAATCAGACGGGCTGACTCTCCGATATATTTGTCGACGATCGCTGACGAGACGACTGTTGCGCAGCTGTTAGCATGCTCCCTGCACCAAAACACTAGTAGACAATGTGTCGTTGTGGACTGAGCTTGTACACACCCTTCAGGAAGTTGGTCTCGAGACTGCTGGCAACGGCACGAGCCAGCAACGTCTTTCCCGTACCGGGAGGCCCGTAGAGAAGGACACCCTTGGGCGGCTTGATGCCCACGCGCAGGAAGAGCTCGGGGTTCTTGAGCGGCAGCTCGATGACCTCCCGCAGTTCACGGATCTGGTCATTAAGGCCACCGATACCGGCGAAGCTGACCTGGCCGGGATCCTCCAAGGACATGTTGTAGACGAGGGGGTCGACTTCGCGGGGGAGCATGCGCATAATGGTGAGTGTCGTCATGTCGAGGGCCACGCGGGTTCCCTGCTTGAGCTTGATCTTGTCGACCTTTGATCTGCACCCCACGACATATCTGGGACCAGAAGAGGCCTTTACGATAACTGCCATGAAAGAAGCGTTAGTTGCGGTTGCTTTGGCGAATCAATTCCCGTAAGGGCAGGTGCGTTCGGTGGTGGTGATGGTAATGGTAGCGGCGGTGGGGGGAGGGTTGATGGGACTCACATCTTTCGTCATCGAGCTGCTTCAGAACTTCGCCGATGATCTGACCGACACTCTGCAGGGCCTTGATGTTGTCCTCGGTCCGATCGTACTCTCTCTGCAAGTCCTTGATCTCGAGGCGGAGGGCCTTAAGCTTAGCTTCCCATTCCCGCGATTCGAGCAGCTTGCCCCGGTACGAGTCGAGAGCCTTCTGGCGTTCGTCGTCGGAAGACATCTCTGTGTTATGTGTGTTGTAGAAGGAAGAATAGCTTCGTTGTGTGGTCTCGTTCGGGGATGTAGAGGTGGCGTCGTCTCGATTTCGCTTCGGGCAAGAGGGTTGTTGGTTTGGTGACGGTGGTGGGTTGCGGATGGGTAGCTGTGGTGTATGTAATCGTTGTTTTCGGAGGTTTGACGTGTAGACGTACCTCCCGCTGCAGCCTTCTGCCTCCAGAGAGCACGGCTCAGCTCTAGCGCCTCATCCCTGCACTCGCCGAAGCTCTTACCGTGGGTGCTTATGATTGGCTAGAATGTACCGGGGCGGATAAACCGGAAATCCGACAAGACTCAATTCAGGTCCCGGCATGGCAGAATTTCATTTTCAATGAGGAATTGCACCCGATATGACGGCGTGTTTCTTAGCAGCAAGAGCTTTTGTGTTAGATCTGAGGAACTTCGTAAAGCAAGCTGAAGCTTCTCGTTGTTGCCATGCGTACCATTACGTCAAACCAGGAGCACATATCCCACAAATGAATCGCTAGGAATCAAGAATTCGATCAAATGTCAAGGTCAATTAGGAGGACGAACCTCCAAGTATGTACTTAGAATATTAAGAAACGACAGTCCTAACGCCTGTGTATCCCATATCGTCTTACACGATGATAGATCGACGTCTCATGCTTCAGTCTCCATCCTCCCGGGGTACTAAATATTGATGCGAATAAGTTGCGTAAAGCTGCAGATGCATATATGCGACGCGTGAAATGGGCAATCCTCCCGGGGTAAACGTGTAACAAATGAAAACCAATTTTGCCAGGAACTCCGGAAAAGACGGGTATTTGGGGGGCATCAATCATAAAGATGGTAGCCTGAGATTATGCATGTCCTTAGCCCTCCAGCTCGGACGTGATCTCTTCACGCACTTTGCGGCACCAAGCCATGACGGCGGTCTCCAAGTTAGTCCAGACCTCGGGACTGTTGTTGTAGACGATGCCTAAAGCGTCCACCTTGAGCAGGACCTCCCAACGCAGCTCTGCTGCCTTGGCCCAGTAGCGGATGTTATCGGCGCAGCGGTAGGGCTTCTCAGTGTCTGTATGAAAGGTGGTGATCAGGCCAAAACGGCGTTTCGATAGCTTGACTGCCGCGTTGTGAAGCTCAACAAGTCGAATTCCATTTTGTAGGCTTTGAAGGAATGGCGTGGGCAACTCGGTCGCCGAAGCTGCGGGCGTGTATTCCTCCCACTCAGCCTGGGGATCCAAAGAGGCCATGAAAGCGAGTTCCCTCTCGACTTCCTTGCCAGTCCAATCGCCCTTCATCCAGGTCCAGCGGCTGCGCTCCGCTTTCTCTGCCTCGACCATTTTCTCTTCCGTCTTGAGCATGCTGAAAAGTCCCTGAATCCAGGAGTTGAGGGTGGCGTACTCCTCATCCTTCATACCACCAGCCCACTTGCGGGTCGCCATCTGCTTCAACGTCTCCATAACGTTGAATAGCTCGGTACGGATCTCCTTCTCGGACTTGATTACGTCCAATCGCTCGGGCACCTCGTGAGCAGTGTAGTAGTTCTTGGCAGCACGAATAGCCAGTGTCATGACGTCGAGAATGTGCATGCCCTGAACCTCGAACCAGCCCATGGATCCCTTCTTTGGCGTGCTCTTTGCAGCTTCAGCAGCAGCCCTGGCGTTCTCCTCCTTGCTGTCCCTCGCTTTTTTCAGCGCAGTGCCCGCCTTCTCAAGAGATTCGGTAAGGTCGGTCTTCAACTCCTCAATGGTAGGCGGCTTGGGCACTGGCTTCTCCCTGTGAATGTAGGTGCTAGTAGTGGGCGGTAGCACGTTCGGATCAGGCTCGTCGAAATCGGAGTAGTAGTCATGGTCCTCGGTGGGGGATTCTACCATGGCACCGGCAAATTGATCGCCCGAAAGAAGAGGGCTGAGCGACGGGAAGGACTGTTCGCCGTCTGAACCCATGATTCTCGGTGAAGACATCCCAGAGCTGCTCACAGACGAAAGGTCCAGGCCGCCCTTCGCCTTATTCTTTCTCGCCAACTGGCCGCCCTTGCCGTCGAGGAGTCCAGTCCGCGCAAAGTAGTATTGCAAATGAGCAATGCTTCCCAAGCTCAGAACGCTCTCCCTGTGCCGAGCACTCGCAGCAAAGTCGGTGCCCTGCGGCCGAACGAAACCACGGCGGCGACTGGACTGGCGCTCCAAGCCGCCGCAGGTTGACTGGCGGGAGGAAGACACAAAGCTCAAGTCCGAGCGGCGACTGTAGTTCCCTGAGGATTGTCTGGACGTGCTGCTTCCCGTGCTTCCCAGAGACTCACGGTGGTTACCGCCATCGGTGGCGGAACCGTGAGAGACTGAAGATGCCGTTGATACACAGCGTGTGAGCTCGGGGCAAGCACCGATAGCCGGGGTTGGCGAAACTTCGGGCGAGGGAGAATCGCATCGCAGAGCAGGAGGCACCTCGTTTGCCGTGGCCATGGTTTCGGTAGTGTTACGGGGAAAGTCGAGTATTCGGCTAATCCTCAAGAAGCGGGGGGCAAATGTTGGCGGTGCCCTTGAGATTATAAAATGCGGTTAACGCTGTGGTAGCGATCGAGCGGAGGGTATGTTGATGTCTCGTCTTAGCTGTGTCGATGGTGTACTCGAGCCATGCGCCAGAGAACGTGACGGTGCACAGAACAATATCGCAGTATGGTATGTACAGAGCTAGGAAGGGAGCTGAAGGGCAGCGGTCGAGGTAACTGGGTGCACAGCAGCGTCCAGAAGGTGACGAAACGAGATCCTGACTGATAAACGTGTGCTGGTGATTCGATAGACGTGCGGCGTATTATTTCGTAAAGTGAGGTGAGGTAAGAGAAGACAAGGTAGGTTCAGGTAAAGAGTGAAGCGAGTTGGTCAACGGACAGTTTCCAAGCTGGAAGAAGCGGCGGCCAGAAAGTTTACTGGACTTATTCACTACCCCGGCCGGTAAACAGGCGGCAGCTGGTCGATTGGTAAACCGGTAGGGCAGGCGAAGGCGGACTGGAAAGACAAGACCAGGCCAGGATCCAACGGAAAGGTAAACCGGGCAAGGGAACGACAGGGTAAGGTTGTGCTGCGAGCTGTGACACGACGCGACTTTCCGGCGTCAGGGGTTTGTGTTGGGCTGTCGGCCACAGCGCAGGTAGGAAGTGCGGGTGCAGTGAGTGTTTTGTTCGTCAGGGCCGGCTTCTTTTTCCCAGATCCTTCCCGTGGCCAGCTGCGTCAGTGGAGACTCTCGGGCTTTCTGGGAGCTCTGGACTTCGTAGAATCTGGAGGGGAAAGGGGGTGAGAGCCAAATTGGAATTGATCTCTGTGATCAGTTCTCCAGCAGGCAAATTGGGGGTCCAATGGAGTGGCGCGTGGATCGCCAGGGAGGGACGGTTTAAATTGAACGTCGCGTCTTCTCCGAAGGTGGGGGGAGGAAGAAGAGGAGACGAAGGGATGGATGGATGGATCATGCAACGCGTGAAACGGGAGACGTTGTGCCTGCTTCCTTTTGCACGCAAGCCCGGTATCCGTTACCGCGGTATGGTCGAAATTCGGTATGACATACGGACACTTCTGATGAAGAAACCAACCAAGTCAGTACGGACAGTTATTACCGTCTGGACGCCAAGTTAGCGGAGGTCCAATATCAACAAAGCAATGCGGCGCCGCTCACTGGCTTGGAATTGCGAGAAATATTGGTCCTAAGTACCTAGCTTCCGCGCTGGGCTGTCGATAGAGCAATGTATAAAAATAATGGAACTCTGATACTGCACTTGGATGTGACGTGTATCCGTATTGTGTTGGTGGGTTGCTAGCGTCAGAGGCAAGATCCCTTCACAAGTTACGAGTAATATGTCAGTATTTCGATAAACCTCAAGTTTACCTTCTGTCACTAGCCAGCTAGAGGGGACGATCGTCTTCTTATGCAGTGTTCCGCCCTTGAGTCCGGCAGCATGCAGAGGGAACAGACCAATGAGATCGTGTACCCCAAGGAAGACAGGCATCTAGAGAACTCAGTCAAGGCGACACAGCAACGATATGCAGCCAAGTACTTGGACATTCAATGAAGACAACCAGCGAAGGTTTTTGCAGCGAATTCAACGACGTACCAACCACGATCGAATCCTCCTCGTCCTGTTGAGCCACGGTTCCCTTATTCCCGACCTCATTCTATCCGATTCCCGCGGCGATGGCATTCTCAGGGGCTCAAATTTTAAACCAAATCTCCAGCAGCTCGTCCAGGCAACAAGGCTCTTGTGGATAATCTCATTCCACCAGACGCCTCCGCTCCGCGTTTCCCGACATCGAGATTGGCACCCCTCGTCAATCCCAGACACGGGTTCACGGGTTGCCTCACAAGCCCTGAGCGGTTGATCGGCTAACAAGAGGTCTATTTCACGCCCACAAGATCGCGAGAACGAAGCGATACATGGGGAATGGTCAAGGAAGCATATCGAAGCGAAAACTTGGTGTTGATTGCGCACCTTCGGCCACATGGCGGCAAGGGTCGTAGTGCAATTGAAACCTGCCTTGACCTGCCCATCTTGCCTTACCCGCGGTCTCTCCCGTTAGGTCTCCAGATCATTGTTCCGTGCCGACCTTGTCACTACGTAGGTCGGAGTTGGGCATCCCCATATTGCCGACGGGCTGATATGGATGGCGTCGATCTGGTGGTAATTCCTCAAGGCAAGGGGCATTTTAACTCCGCAAGAGCTGGGTGGCAGCTTCTTGGGTAAATGGGAAAGTGCGTCACAACGTTCGAGTTCGACTCATGCATTTGACGCAAATACAATCCAAGAGGTAAGGGAATATGAAACTGATCGGCTGAACTGCTCGCCGGCTCAAATACCAAGGGCGGTTGTGAAAGCCGCTATTACCTGGGGACTCTGTTAAATGAACCTTCCTGGGATGTAAATGTGCAAACAGGAAACATTGTCAGAATTCGTGGTTGCTTGACGTCTCAATGACAGACAACGCCTATTGTTTTCTTTTCTCCCATCTCCTCTGTCAATGTTTAGTTCCGTATTCAGGCTCTAGTTTCTTGTCTCTTAAATGCAATAACTTACGATCGCTAACATTTTCCATATCCTTGTACCAATTCTGACCCCAGCCACGTTGACGGTAATGCAGGTGATATGCAAGCCATCATTACAAGCGAAGTTTGGTCGACTAACAATGATGTCTCCATCCACTTTGGTCCCAGTTATTAACTAGGACGAAACATGTTGGTCCTCGGCAGCGTTCACTAAATGCTAGACTACATGTTACCCATATCCTCCTGCAACAGACTGATGGAAACAGATAGAGCTGCGAGAGCTGCGAGAGCTGCGAACAATTATGCTGAAAGATACTGTACCCAAATGGTAACCAGCGGCAAGACGTCATATGTCGTCGGGAACTCGCCTGGCCCTTGCATAAGCCGGACAGCTTATGATGCAGAGCAATATGCATCGGTAGCATGCCACGGCTCAAGCCGCCCACTATCGAAAACCCGCATATTTCTATTTCATCGCTACGTTGCGTCACGCTCGGCCAGAGCAATGCAGCTTTTGTTCTGAAGCTGGCACACACGAGAAACATCAGGCACGCCTGGCTTGTGCGGTGCTTCTTTGAAACGCAGAGGAGACGTTGGGCCAATTGGCCAGCCAACCCGCAACCAATGCAACGGCGGCAGCCACCGCGTGTCGCCCGCCTGTGGCCGAAGAACACATGTCCAACTCTCTGGGAATGCGAGCTGCAGGGAAGAGGGAAGACGGCCCACGGGCCCCGATCCGCCGTCCCAAGAAGCAGGGTCACCCCAGCTCGTCTAATCTTCCATCAACCTCCGAACTTGCCAGGGCTCCTGAGCTGGCGGCGGATCACCAGTCCGGAACTGGGAACACCTTCTTCACGGTTGGGCAGAGGGTCAGACGAGAGAGAAGGCGTGGAGGAGAGGCTTCAAATGCCACGACGGTGACACTGCGTTGCGACGTTGTAACTTGCGGGAAATATATCCAGGGTTCGGGAAGGCTGTCTTTGAAAAGGTGGTGTCCCACCTACCGGCTTCTAGGGTCACCAGGATCACGAACCACGAGTTCGTGAGCGACGAGGACGGACGGGAGAAATCGCTGGCTCATTTATGTGATGGCTTGGGCTTCATTGGCTCGGGGTAGATGAGTTAGTGCATCTTGCTGAGCGACTATTGAGTCATGGTTGGCTGCTTTGAAAAACCAGCCAGAAGCAGCATCTCGGCTTGAGATGATGATGACCAACAGGCGGAGGTTATGAGCGGTTCGAATAAGACACAATCAATGAGATATGTCCGTTATGATTCGCCCTCAGACAAAGTGAAATCTGGCCGAGGGAAGATCCAGGAGTTATCTGTGAACGTATTGGTTATGTCAATGTCGTCGCAATAAGTCTCGACATAACTCTCTGATTGGCTGTGGTTTAATGTAAAGCACGAGGAAATTATCAACGTCGCAGAAACTCATTCCCTTCCCCGTGTTTGTCGGAAAGATGGTACGGATACGTAAGAGTCGCACGCACGACAAGCCGAGGGTTCGGTAGGCGTTTCATCACTCGTCGTAAGAGATGGAGCTTCCACAGCGACTGGATGGGGAAGTTTCGCCCTGTTCCGTTAAAGTTGACAGGCGGGCTTCTTCAGCGCCCGTGGTAGATTCAGAGATGCAGAGTCTGGATGAAGACCGTGTATATTACCTCAAGCTCTCGAGCCTGGTTGCTGTTGATGGTAATGATGCACCGTGTCTAGCGAGAAGAGAAAGGTTGATGGAGTATCCCAAGCCCGATTCAGCGTGTGCTTGACTCGGATTCGTTCTTGAACTGGAGTCTATCTCGGCCGGACCATACTGAGTTAAGGACTCCGTGTAACATTGACGATGGAGAAGTCGGAGGTGAGGTAGCCTCGTATGCACCGTGGTATTTGTGGTTTTGTGACTAAATCAATAAAGCGCTGCGGGAATCCGTGGTAGAAGATTGAAGAGAAAAGATTGCGAGGTTTTGTTTGTGCCTTGTGCATGCCTCCGACTCCGAGGTCCTTGTCCCGTCGCAGCCCATTCCAACGAGCCCCAACTTGGGTTGGATTCCAGTCTAAGTCAATCTAGGTGGTTCAATTGGGAAGGCAATCTATCCCGTCTTCTTTCCCTCTCTTGCTCTTTCCTTCTTCCATCTAGACCAGCGCCTTCTTTCCTTCTCTTTTCGTCCTGTTGCATCTTTTTGGCTCTTGCCCTTCTTCGTCGCTCCCTCACATACCGTTACCGTTGCAGTTACAGCTTGTTTGCTGCCATTACCTTCCATTACCCACCTACCTTACTTCATATTCTTTTTCTTGGCTTGTATTATTCTGCTTCATTACGGCTTTATTCACCACCAGACAGACATCTTGGGAAGCATCTCCCCGTCAATCGCTCTCTACCTCTCGTTTCCTTCCGTACTTTCTTACAACTACCCTTTTCTACGTTTGCGCTTGAGCAGGGACCAACCCAGCATCTTCGCCAGCAGCCGGATCCAAGCAATGAGAACCAATTAAGGTCGCGATCGACTGACATTCCGCCGGCTGCGAGTCGATCCGCCGCCACGTTCTTCCTTACGCTTCTGGCCTCCAACTTCCAACGCATTACTGTCCGTTTATCTCACCTCAGTGCTCACTCATACCGAACGAACCGACTCGTACATACCATACCGACGCTTTCCCACCCTAGACAAGGCCGGACGGTCCGATCGACGTCGCCCTCCTGTTCTCTGCCTTACCTGACCTACTAAGAGGCTGCGCCGCTGCATCCCAACCCAAACGCGTGGTCGCCCAAAGAACGACGCCAGCGAACCACGGGCGTCGCGCAATCCCATTCTGCTGCAGCGCACGCGCTCCTACGCCAATAACCATTGCATTCCCGTCATTCGGCTCCTCGACAGTCCCTGTCACCAGCTCGCCCTCTTCCAATCTCTCTACATCGTTCATCTCCCCTGTAACTGCATTCGCCGATCCCCACCGACCAAGGCATTGACAACAGTGCCCTTGAGAAGTTCGCCCAGGCATCCAGCATTCCCAGCATTCCAGCGCCGCTCCTCGTTCCCTCTCTTTCGGCGGCCTGCGGCTAAACCGACTGAACCCGGCGAGAATCAGTCAACACGACCCAGTTATCACTCAAGCTCAGGACCACCGGACCCAGCCAACCCACGACCCAGCGCTCCGTCCTTGTCGTCCGTCCTGACTGGACACGTACAGTATTGTCTCTACGGAGGCACGCGGGGTCGGCCGCCTTAGGTTCAAGCAGGACCGTGGTCGGCGACTCGGATGAAGCTTCCCTTGTCAAGGAATAATAGCAACGCACGAATAAATGTCGGCTGGGGGAGCGTCTGTGGGAGAGGCAGAGGCGGAGGCCAACTGCAGCAGTACCGCCATAACCGCTGACGCCGCCAATGCCGACGCCAACATCTCCCACCAACTACAGCACCCACAGCACCCCGGGGTCCAAACACAGGCCCCGACAGTGGACCTGGACCTGGACCTGGGCTTCGCTGACGTCTCTAGCCCCGAACTTTTCCAGCTGCAAGCCCCATTCGATGTCGTAAACAACAACAATACCATCGCCAACACCGAAAACAATCCCTCCAGTTCGCCCGCAAGCACTACCCGCAGCAAATCGACATCTTCGCACCTTGCCACTTCATCACCTTCTGGCTCACCCAACGCAAACAAATCAACACAACCGCGCAAACCTTCGCCTGGTCTAGCTGCACGTCTCAAAGCACTTGGTTTGGCCACTCACAAGAAATCAGCAGATTCGTCGCCCAACCAACAAGACAACATTGGCCGACTGCCCGAAGATCAAATTCGCCAGCTCGACGAGAAACTTAAGACGAACTCGATCGAGTCCATTATTCATCGCCGCGGTCGTCCGTGGAAGGGCATCGTACATCACAAGCCTTCCGAAGCTTCTAAAACACCATCCGTAACCTCAACAGACGAGCACGGCACTGAGGTGTTGCTTTCCACTGCAGACGTTGCCCTAGGCGCGTCTCTCGTCCTACCCGAGATCACAACAACAGCACCGCTGGACATGGAGACACACAAATACCGCCTGCCCGACCACACCAATGGAAATGGCACAAAAGTACAGCTTGAAACACGACGAGAACACCTGGAGCGAAGCGCCTCTCAGAATGACTCCGACTTACCACCCCCTCCGCCCCCGAAGGACACGCCGCCCGTCCCGCAAGCCGAGTTTACGCCTGATCTAGCCTCGTACTTCAACCCCAGTCACCAGCGTCCCGGATCCATCTACACATTATCGCGCGCATCATTTGCCAATCAGCTAGCCCAGCTGACGTCGCTCCAACTCCCGGACGCCGAGTCCCTCTCTAGTAAAGTTTCCGCTATCCCGACCGCGCAGGTTGCCTCGAAGGCCCTCATCAATGCTGCCGAGCAGATTAGAAGTTGGATAAATAAGGCGTCCGAGGTTATCAGTGGATTGGACAGCGACGATGACGTCGAGTGGGCCTCCGCAGGCGGTCGCGAAGGCCTGGAAGAGGTCGAACTTGCCATCCATCGCTTCGAGGATTTGATCAAAGTTTACGTTAGTGCCATTGAGGAGCTACAGGTCCGCGAAGATATCGCCAACGTTCCGCCCGAGGACCTCCTCCGCGCCGTCTCTCAAATGGAGTCCATCATCGAAGAGTGGGCCAATATCAAAGCGACGCTGAACACAGTCAAGGGCCAGGTTGAACTTGCCATGGAATGGGAGGAACTCTGGAATTCTGTTCTTGGGGACATTCAGACGGAAATGGACGAGCTAAGCCGCCTTGTCTTCGAGATGGAGGAGCGTCGCCACAAGTCTCTCATAGCCGCCACGTCCGGCGACGGCGTCGACATTGGTGATCTTGAGAACATTGTGGAAGACACCCCCGCGCCAGTAGTAAAGGCGCAGACGCAAAACCGGTTCAGTCTGCCAGGCCTGGCTCTGAGCCCTGGGTCGACGTCTCCTGGAACGCCTACCTTGTCGCAAGATGATTCGAGTCTTCTGGCTCTTTTCGCCCGAATGCAGCCCCTGCGCGCATCGCTAGACTTCCTTCCCATGAGACTCGCGGTGTTCGCTGCCAGAGCCGAGAAGTCATTTCCCACAGCTTGCGAAGAGTTGGAGATGCGACGTGAAGGGCTGGACGGCAGCTACAAGAAATTGGAGAAGGACGCCGAATCCTTGCGCAAAGAACTGGGCGAAGACCGATGGGTGTTGGTTTTCCGTGGTGCCGGACGGCAAGCCCAGAAGATGATCGAATCCGTCGAAAGATCCATGACTAAGTTGAGGGAGGCTATTGATACCGGCGTTCATCTGAGCAGCCCACCGACGATGATCAAGAAAATCGAAGGCTACGACGCAAAAAAGACGCACTATGGCCCTGCCATCGAACGAGTTCTGGCCATCATTGACAAAGGCGTCAAAGATCGCCTCACGGTGAACGGCGAGATCCTCCGGCTTCATGCGGAAATGCAATCTAAGTGGGAGTTGATCAAGGACGAGATGAGGGAAATGGACGTAGTTGTTGACGAAGTCCAAGCGGACAACCGGGGCCAGCAGTTGAGAGACTCTATCTCGAGCATGTTATCGAATGATCGCTCAACTATAGGAAGCGGTCGCGAGACCCCGGGCAGCTCACCTCCTTCTTCGGTCATCATGTCGAGCCTCGGATTCGACCCAATGACCCCGACGCCCAAGGCGGCAAGGAACCGTTCAGCGAGTAACCGTTCAGCAAGCAGCAGTCACCTGGCACAGCCTGCAGGCCATCGACAATCATCGTTACCGACACCGTCTGCGCGCAAGACTTTAAGCTCTCGACTGTCGAACATGACATCCAGGCTTGCCACGCCATCTGCTAGCAACGCTGGCAGCAGTACTCACTCTCAGTCAGCGGTGCCCAATCGTCCAAGATGGAACGGCTCAACGAACACTACGGACGTCGGCATTGGCCACAACTTCAAGCCTCTTAGCCTAACATCGCCAAGCCCTTATGCCAAGAAGACATCTCCCGCTCCCCGCCCGGGCTCTTCATTGACGCCACGATCCTCTTCGCCTGGTGGCACCAAGCTGCCTACGATTCGCGGTCCTTTCAATCGAGAGTCATCAGCATCACCGATGCCCGAAGATACGCCAACTAAGAGGGCGCCTTCTAAGCTTTCGTTTCGTGAGCGACTCGCCTCGCCGGGCCCATATTCTCAGCACACGCTGTCAAAGCCGCGTCTGTCGTCGTCATTATCCACGTCTGGACTAGAGTCCCAGTCTACTCGACGCGCCTCTCTGCAACCAGCTCGATCCCACCTGACGGTCAATGATGGGATCCCAAGTCGCCCTGCCAGCTCTCTCGCCTCAACTCGGCGAACCAGCTTGCTGCCACAACCGAAAGGGTTGGGTACAAGTGGTAGAGAAACTTCACTGGGTCTGACCCCTCGAAACGCCACCCGCAAAACCCTTCCCGAGCTATCTAAGAGCACTTCGGCTGCGAACAACAAGCCCCGATGGAGGGGTTAGGAATCCGTTCTGACGAGGCAGAGGAGAGCATCTGGCCCTCCAATAGTTCGCAAAGACCTAGGCATAAAGGTGGAAGGCAAGCCCCGCTGGCGGACTTGACGCTACATTATGACCTGGTCAGAAACATACGTTACGGCACTACCTGGGCTGATCGGGTCCCAAAACAACATCGTCACGCACGATACCAAAACTGTACATATACACATTCAACTACGCTCCTTGATGGCTTGACGACATTGCCATTCGGACGACTCTACTTCTTTTGCTTTACGGCACGGCGTTCTCACTGGGGAGAAAGACTTCTCCAGCGGCCTTTGGAAGGTTATCAGTATTATACCCGGAAGGTGGGCTGGAGTCTGGTCTTGGACGAGTAGGAGAGCAAGGAAAGCTCCCGGACCAGTCGTGTGTGCGAAGGACAAGAGAAGAAGAGCCTAAGCCTAAGGGTCCCCATCTCGTAAGGGACGCGGAGGTCGACAACGCACACGGAATCGACACACCACCATCGGGGGAGAAAAGAGAGAAGTAAAGAGAGAATCAATCCATTTTTTGTTTTCGACACGACGTATGTATTGAAACCCCCGACGAGACTTATACCCCATATCGACACTGGCATCTCGGGGAACTGGGCAGAGAGTATTCACAGTAGTTGGGAGAGTGGCCATCGCAGGGGAAAAGGGGAGTTTAGCTAGTTTAGGTGGAAGATGCAAAAATTGATACTTCGCAAACCTCACGATCCTCGTCGAAGCCTCTCATGTCCGTTGTGAACCCCAACCGACATCTGCAAATCACACGTAACGGCAGGAAGATACCCGGTGCAAAGATGACAATCCCGTGATGGGGAAAATTTTTAGTCATTGTCAACATAAAAATGCCAGATGTGCCTGCGCTGCGCCGGAAGAAAATGCGCTGGACTAAAAACTAAACCACCCAAGTCGACGCCTTCGCCGTGCCAAACCGATATCATGGGTTACAACGCCGCTCGGTGCCATGACTCCCTCCTCCCCTCGCGCCCCGTGATGCAATGTCATGAGAAGAGCCTCTTCGCTCCCAGAATATCTTTAGCCATGCCTGTCGTTTCCTTTCATTCCTCGCTTCAATAAGGCATCATCCCGATGCTGCCGCCACCACCACCACCACTTCCTCCGCCTTTCTTGCCACCCCTGCCGAAGTAGCTCGTCACCGTCGAGTTCTTGGAGCCAGAAGCCGATGCCGCGCCACTGCTTCTTCTGCTTGTTCCCCCAGTGGCCTTCCTCTTGGCGACACCTCCTCCCTTCTTGTAGCCCGTGCCCGCGCCCGAGCTCTTTCGAGAACCAAATTTCTTGCCGCCGCCTCGATAACTCCCTCGTCCCCGTGTTGACGTGCTCGATGAGCCTCGGGTTGCGGGGGCCGTCTCGAGCTCACTCAGCCTCATTTGCTCGTTCCATGCTTGTACCTCAGGTCTCAGGGCCGGTGGCGGGCCACCAAAGTACTTTGAGGCCTCCTCTTCCTCTCCATCGTTGTCGTCTTCCATGTCCTCGTCGTCCGAACTAATTAAGTCGACTACGTCGTCCGGGACGTCGTCTGAAGGGCCAGCGTCCTCCATCTCAGCGGTGTCGTTGGCCATCATCTCGTTGTACTGGTGCTGGAAGTTGCGGATCAGAGGGATGAACTTGTTTCCAAATTTATCGACCCTCTCTTTCTCGATACCTGGGATGCGGCGCATCTGGGGCAATGTAGTGGTCCATCGAATGGCCATTTCCCGTAAGCTCCGCTCCGAGAAGAGCGGTTTTCGGAGACTCTGCGCATTGCGCAGCTCCTCTTCGAGCTTCTTTGCTTCTTGGACAAAGCTGTGTACGACATCTTGGTGCAAGTCATCAATTTCGCCCAGCCGACTGTCTCCTTCGATGCGAGGACCAATATCTCGGGAAGCATTGCCTCGCGCACGAATCTGGGGCATAGGCTCGAAAGCATCGTCATCGTCATCCGACATGACGAAACCATCCTTTGCGTAACCATTTGCGTGCAGTGACAAGTCCTGCTCCTCCATCTGCTGTAGCAGCATCTCCTGTTCTTCTTCTTCGTCCGTGTCGAAGACAGTTGCCACGGACTTGCCCTTCTTCTTGGTTTGGACCCTGACTTGCGCAGGGGACGACACATTTGTTGAAGGTGGAAGATGCCTGGATGTCCTGTTGTCGACGTCTTCCTCTTCATCATTGTTCTTCTTCGTTCGCTTTCTCGGCTTAGGTACCGAAGGTTCCCTATTCCTATCGGAAACCTGTACCGACAACAACAGCTTGCGGCGTCCCGTTTCAAAAAGATGCGCATTACGGCCGACCTAGCACTGGGTTAGTTGATGAGTTAGAATAAAGGTGAGGAAAGCAACTTACAATGAGGTATGATATGGCAATATTGGCCCTTTTATTTACCACGTTTTCCTCCTCGAGGGCTTCCTCAGCGGTGAGCCTATCGAGAATACGCTCAATCTCATGTTTCTTCATCTTCTTGGCGATGCCGTGGGGATCTTCGGGGTGCTGGGTAAGGTTCGCTTGGTATTTCTTCCCGGCGAGAATTTCACAGCACTGATTGATAGTCAGTTTCGAATGGTTACCAATAGTCTGGATAGCGGCGATGGCAATGTCGGAGAAGTCTTGCTGTTCGAAGACGGCCCCTGCTCGACAGTTGTCGCAAGTCTTGTTGCACTCGTCCTTATTGAAGACCTCGCCGAAGTAGCGGAGAATTTCAACTCCGCGGCAGCTTTCCCGGTTATCACAGAACGCAGAGACTCGATTGAGCATCGTCCTTTGCCGCTCCTTCTGTGCTTCGTTGCCTTCGCCATCTGCTATCATCTTCCTTAACGTCACAACATCTCCATAACCGTAATATAGAATACAATCGGATGGATTGCCGTCTCTGCCAGCTCGACCCGTTTCTTGGTAGTAGCCCTCCAAACTTTTCGGGACCGAGTGGTGGATGACGAAACGAACGTCAGGCTTATCGATGCCCATGCCAAAAGCAATGGTTGCCACAACGACATGGATTTTATCCTTCTGCCATTGTCTTTGAACTTTGATTCTGTCCTCGGGTGACATTTGGGCGTGGTAATGATGTGCCCGGACCCCCCATTTGTCTCGTAGCTTCTCTGCCACTTGTTCTGATGTCTTTCTCGACAACGTGTAGATAATTCCACATTGCCCGTTGTACTTCGTCTGGATGAGATCGGCGATCTTGGTGACCAAATCTTTCTCCTTCATGCGGACTTCATACGTCAGGTTTGGTCTGTTGAAGCTCTGACAGAAAACCTGGCAATTCTCCATTCCCAGATTGTGCTTGATATCGACGATGACGTTTTGGGTTGCCGTTGCCGTAAGTGCAATGATGGGTACCGTGGGGAAATGGTTGCGAAGCTTGCCTAAAGCTTTGTAATCTGGTCGGAAATCGTGACCCCACTGACTGACACAATGAGCTTCGTCAATGACAATCCGTGCTAGCCGTTTTCCTGAGTAGAGTGTTGATAACGCCTTCATGAAGGATGGACTGTTGTTGAGCATTTCAGGCGTGACGTAAAGCAGCTGAACGAAGAGCTCAGGACTCCTCTCCTTGAACGATGTAAAGATATGTTGTCGTTTTTGACTAGGAGTCTCTCCGTTGAGCGAGACCGCTTGAATATTGATTGCCGACATGTGATCGACTTGGTCTTGCATTAAACTGAGCAGGGGAGAGACGACAATAGTGATGCCTTTCGTCTTCCCACTGTTGATAACAGCTGGAAGCTGGTAGCAGAGAGATTTTCCTCCGCCTGTCGGCATCAACACAAAAGCGTCTTTGCCGGCCAGGGTGGCGTTGATAGCCTCAAGCTGATTAGGTCGAAACCCTCTCATCCTGAACCTGTCTTTCAGAGCTCGGCCAACATCTGGAGACCACGGGTGCTTCATCAACTCGGGTGGAATCGACAGCTTTGATTTGGAGACCTCTCTTTTCTTGGGAGGCTCAGCAGGCTTTGGACGTTGTGCGGCATTGCCAGACGTCGCAGTCAAGACGGGCCTCCGCTGACTAGTGTCCTCGGCGGACGAAGAATGCCGTGACTCAAAGTCTTGTGCAAGAGCGAGCATATCCGCATCTGCTTCATCGCCGTAATCGCTGGACATATCCATGACCCGAGAGCGTGATGCTTTGGCAGGGGTTCTGCGACTCGGCGCCGACCTAGAAACTGGAGGTAAAGGATTAAATGTGCCAAAGTCATCTTCGATTTCGTCCAAATAGTTGTCTTCAAAGTCATCTCTTCGACTGGTTTTAGTCACCAGAGGAGTAGACTTCTTTGCGCTCTTGGGTAGTTGTGGCCCGCTTCGTGGGAACGGTGGCGGGGAGCGATCTCTCGGGTCTGTAAGTCTCGAAGACCCGGGAAATTGTGTTTGATGAATGACCTGATTGTCGCTCTCGAACGACTCTGTAGCTCTGGATGGCCCGGATGGAGCCTTGTTCGGTTGAGTGCTCATGACAACAGACTTTGACCTGCGATAGTCTTCAATGAAGGCGTCGCCATCGATACCGACCTTGGGTAGATACCGCTCGATTGACTGCTCCAAGTCCCTTCTTTTTTCTGCAAGCTCATCCGAGCGGACTTCGTCCTGCTCAGTATCCCCGTCCTCGTCATAAACTTTGAGGATGTGTTGCACAAGGGCCTCGTGCTCATCTTGAATCTTGACGTAAGACTTCAGAAGATCAGTCGCATCCTTCAGGGAAGATTGTTGCTTCATGAGCGATTCCTTCTCGCTCTTGTGCTTGATACGGTCTTCCTTGGAGCCTTCTCGTAGAGCATTACGCATGTTCTCCGAGTTTTGCTTGAGCTTTGCCATGATCAATTTCTCTTGAACGTCCATTGCGTCTGGGTGGGCCAAGATGAACTTGAGCACTTCAGACTTCTGTCCCTGTGACGAAGGTGTTGGCTGCGATAATGTGTTTGTTGAGTCATCCTGACCGGCCTCTGGCTCGAAGCTCACGAAAGAGTCATCTGGCAATAGTGTTGCAGTCTGAGGCTTGGAAGGTGTATCCGGAGCAACAAGTTCGTCGGACAACTCTGCATTCCCCAGCGGCACCGATGTTGGTCGTGGACGACTAGCAGAAGCTGGCATAAACGTGCTTCGACTCGGTGTGGCAAGGAGGTCGGCATCGAGGTCACCCTCGTCGAACTCGTCGTCTGAATCTTGAATGACGCGAGGCCTGGCTCGGTGCTGTGTCGATTGCACAACGGCTGGCTTCGCCCTGGTATTCGACTCGGGACTCGACGATATCCGCAGGGCCTTGCTGGGAGTCCGTCCAAGGGCTTGCTGAGCTCCTAGTGGCATCGGAATTCGACGCGGTGTCCCATCCTCATGCGAATCGTCCGTCATCTTGTACGTCCGTTGTGTCCGACTGATCGTTTGCGTAACTGTTCGCTCCTCGACAAAACCTTGATCTGTGTTCGCCCTACGGACGCTTGACGGTATAATTTTGTTGGCTTTCACTGACCGACTACTCTTAGGAGCCGGCGTGCCCAACGTCTTGTAAATATCCGGGAACTCGTCGGAATCCGAGTCGACACTGTCTGCCTTGCTCATTTCCGTGCTTTTTCTCTTCTGTCCTCGCTTTGGCAGTGGCTCCGGCCTTGAAGCCTGCGTTTCGTTCCATATCGTGACTCCCTCGTCGAATGCAACCGAGTCTGATGACAAAACTGTATCATCACCGGTCAGGTCCAGAATTTCGTCATCGTCGTCGAGTAAATCCGGTGTGGCGGGAGGCGGCGGCTTAGGCCGTCTATCTTGTGAAGACGACGGTGCAGGTCGATTTCGAGCATTATCGGCGTCTATTTCTCAGTCAGCACCTCGTAACAGCGGCGATACACATACAAAACCAACCTTGTTGCTGAAGCTGGGCCGTAATAGCTTGCTGGAAACGCCCACCACTAGTGGTCGAAGACGGTGTCAACAACTGCTGCTGTTTGACCGCCAACGAGGGTTTCCTAGTCCTCGAGGTTGAGGTCAATCGCGCCATGGAGCCAGATTCTCCCGCTGTCGCCACCCTTGAATCCCGCGTCTGCTCGTCCACCGCGTCCAAGGCATGGAGAGCCGGTCTGGCATTCGTACGACCGAGATTCGATTGGGATGAGGGCCTGCTCGGAAGCTCCTGCTGGGAGCCAAAGCCTCCGAATCGAGACTGTTGAGATTGCGAAGATTCGGTTCCGGAGGGATCGCGCGCCGGAGGAAACGAGAGCTCGGTTGGGATGGAGATAGAGATATTGCCAAGCAGCCAGGAGAGTTGATCCCCGAGGTTATTTCGAGTCATTTATCCGACTACAAGAGAAACACCTGGGGAAGCGTTGGGCATCATCGGGAACGGATTGGAGGCGTAATTGAGGTTCTTGGGTGGTCGTCTGCAAGGTTGGTCGTGGTGTTTACGCCGAGCTCTGCACGCTGCGGGTTGAGCGCGTTTGGCCCCCCACCCACTTTAGCTAGCGTGTAGGTAGCGCGCGTCTTCGCATTCTTAGTCAGCAAGTCAGAAACTCAACCTCACGTGAACTGGCGCTTTCCTTCGGTTCGCTCGGCAAAATTTCGGCGGGTCTTATCATCACCGGCAGCAGTCCTTCTTATCAGATTGACCTCACCTTCACTCTCCTGCAAAAGTCTGGTGAGTGTGTGTTTGTCAGCTCGTCATTCTCGGGTTGGAAGATTAAGTAACAGGCGCTCTCCTAGTCCGATGATACAGTTGATTGCATTGTTTCATCTGGTTTCTGATTGATGTGATAGGGGTTTTTCCTACTTGGTGGCTAGCAACAGGTCTTGACTGCAAGCTTGTATGGTCATCTTGTGTGTCTTGCTGGTGAAGCCTGGCATGGATGTTGCAACATCGTCAATACCCCCGACTGTCTAACTTGCGCTGATCCCTTAAGTAAGGCGATAAGCTTACCATACAGCCGGATCTCATGCTCCTTAGCGCTGAACTTCCCCGGATTGTACTTTTGTCTACTTTGTTTCTTATCTGCACAGAAAGAGTAGCGTGGTGGAGGCGGGACAGAAGGTGGATTATGTGGGCGGAGCGGCCGCACGTCCGGGTAGATGCCGAAGCAGATGCGTAGATAAGGCGGCATTTAGGGTCTGGGGATCGTTGAGGGTGTCGACCGTGGTGGACGTCCGTTGGTCTATCTTTCGTTCATTTTGCACTCAGTCGTTGTCCGGTTTATCATCATGAGAGTCTGATGCGATCATTGGCAGGCGTTTTCAACTAAGAGAAATGCAGCTTTGCTCACTTCAAATTGTAACATATTGTCTTCAGTTCTAACCCTTGGATATCATAAAATTCCTGACCCCTTACTCCAAACATTGCATCCTGTGTATGTCCCTGTCTTATCCAGCCTGGGACCATTAAACAATAATGAGAAAATCATAACTTTTATCATTAGGCTCCCACGTCACACCTAGTGGCGTTGGGCTTTAGGCAGAGGGTGGATCCAAGAAACAGCCAGGTTCAGGCCGATTTGGATGCATCCAATGACCCAGAAGCCCTTGGCGTAGTTGGTGCCGTTGTCCATGAAGCGGAAGATGATGGCGAAGATGACACCGCCAAAGTTACCACCAGCACCGGTGACACCAGAGACGATACCGTTTGCGTGGCCATGGACGTGAGGAATGAGACCGAAGTTGGCACCGTTACCTGCCTCGTGGAAGACAGCCATCAGGAAAACCAAGCCGAACATGGTAGCCTCCTTGTGGGGATTGAGCTGGCCGATGAGGATCAAAAGAGCGCCGGTGAGAACACCGCAGACGGTAATCCATCCTTTCTTTAGCCAGAGGTTCTGGCCGCCGTAACGGTAGAGAAGGTCAGAGACGACACCGCCGGCAGGGCGTGTAATGACGTTGAGAAAGCCGAACATGGCCGCCCAGTTGCTAGCACCAGTCTGGCCAAGAGAGGGGAAGTTCTTCAGGTAGTATGAGGAGAGAACAGCGTTGATGGCAAGTTCACCACCGAAGGAGCAGGCGTAGGTGGCGACGTGGAAGATGGTCTGCGGGGAGAAGATGACTTGCATGGCCTCCTTGAAGGTGGGGTTGACAACAGTGTCGCCCTGAGCAGTCTCGAGCATCTCGGATGGGCTGAGAGGGGCCTCGTTGTCGCTGAGCACACCATTCTTGCTATGATTGCTACGTTTCTCCTCATCAGAAGCCATGGAGCCTTCTTTGCGGTCGGCAATGCCGCCAGGAACATCAACAAAGTCGGATTGGACGACGGCATCAACTCCATGAGAGTGCAGGTTCTCCTGGGCGTGCAAGTGGCGGTCAGCCCACTTGCCAGTAGGAGTATCTTCGCACAACAGAAGAAGACCCAGTCCGCAGGCGAAGAGGCAGACGACAGGAACGATGAAGGTTAAGCGCCAAGCCTGGCCAGGTGTGTAACCTCGAGCGTGAACGAAGGAGTCGTAGACAGCAGGCATGACGAAGTAGGTGATACCACCACCCGCGTTTCCCCAACCACCAGCCAAAGCATTGGCAGTGCCGACGACGTTCTTATCGAAGAAGCCAGTGCACCACACCTGGCAAGGGACGAATGTTGCGCCGAGAACACCGATGAAGAAGCGGCTGATGTAGAGACCAGTGGCGTTCTTGACAAGGGGGGCAAGACCGATGGGAATGGTACCGATGAGAAGTAAAGAACCGAAGACGATGCGAGAGCCAAATCGATCGCATGCGGGGCCGGCAATGAGACGCATGAACAGTGTCGCAACGAGGGAGACGATATTAGAGTTGGCAACTTGAGCGGTGGTCAAGTTAAGATCCTTCTTGATGGTGACCGTCAACAGGGGTGGAAATGTGTACCAAGCCCAGAACTAGATAGATGCAAAGTTAGCGAGGCACGGTTTTACAACTCTCATCAGGAGCAAATACGTACGGCAATCATGAAGCCCAGCCATGAGAAATGAAAGGCTCGTGCGTATACGTTGAAAATGTTCAAAACCGGGATGCTGCGGGCCTTGCGGTTGATAGGGTTCACCTCGGGTGCCCTCCAGAGTATAGAAAGTTCCATGCTCATAGCTTCTGGTTTTGTCCGTGTTTGGGTGTATATGATCCTAGACGAAGGTGGGTTTTTTGTCGCCTAAGTCGTCGTCGATAATGAATTGGGATTTGATCGAGAGTTCCAAGGCAAACCTTGTCAGGAATCGGGATCTTACGGTTGCCGTCGAATGCTTTGGATGCTGATGGTTATGAAGAGAGCTTGAGAGAGGTCCTCGTTCGAGAGTCTTATATGACTGCTCTCTTTCGAGTTACGTAGGGTTTCTCAATGTTGAAGGCGGTTGAAGCATCTCCGGAGAGATACCACGCTAAACCGAATCGACGTCTGCCGCGAACACTCCCTTGCTCTCTCTGTGGGGATACAAGGGAGATGGGGTGTGGGAAAAGGAGAGTGATGGAGGCACGCTGATGGGATGGGAGGCGGGCCAAACTGCGTCTAGGAGACAGGCCGGACCAACAGTGTGGTAGCCTTAAGAGCGGGCTCGCTTGTCGATCTTCCTGATAAGAAGCTGTGGCCGGGAAGAGGGCGGAAATGACAGAATTGATCCTGCAGCGTATCCGTAGGTGGTTTGAGGCACTGGGAGGGTGTCTTGGACAAGAGTGCCCGTCCTGCAAGTTGAATCCCAAACCAACCGGCCTTTGGACGTCTAAAACCAAGTCGGCGCCCGAGTGACTGACAAATCTACTCGGTAGCACGTCTTAGGCCGCAGGTCAGGGTTTGGACGCCGAACGACACGATTCTCTGTACCGTAGCTGCGCTAAGATGAGGCCCGTGGTGTCTTCCGTTGAACCGTTGGTGGTGATGCTGATTGTGGGAGTATTTCTCCAGCTGGTTCCCTTAACTTGATGACGTATAATCCGGAAGGAATGGAGGCGAGGGACGAGGTAATGCGTAGACGTTGCTGTTACGAGTCTAAACATCGAGATGATGAGGGCTCGAGTGAGCTTGTGGGCAAAGTACGATGGTTTTTGGCACTAGGATCATGCCTTATCTCGACGGTCTTTGCCTGTGGATGGTGGTCAGTAAAGTGCTTTCCAGGAGAAATGATTGGGCAGAGTAGGAAGAGACGGGGAACAATACGACGAAACAGAGGCTTGCGAGCTTATTGCTTATCTCTGGAGAATTGAAGAGGCGTTCGATATGCAGTTCGGGACGGGCGAGCCAGGCCCCACCCCTGGCATCCAAGAGATAAGGACACAGACTCTGATAGCTGACTGGTGAGTGCTTGAATCGCTGGCGTCGATCCCCGCGGCTGACGTTGAACGTGGCATGTGTCTTGAAACCCAGCAGTAGATGATACCTGGTATGAGTTGAGGCTTCGAACCTTTGCTTCTGGTGAGTTGAGCTGCGGCATGAGTTGCAGTTAAGAGTGGTGATGCAATCCGGCGAAGTCCCGGCCAGCAACAATTTAACTTTCAAGCACTGGCTTGGCTTCCAGCAAAAGTAGACTACTGCATATGGCGGAATCTTGATAAAGGTAGGGGGCGCAATGGAAGCATGGCAGTGCATGGCAGGTCCTTGATTCCAGTCTTGTCTGCGCTAGCAATCGGTCAAGATCTGGCGTGCCCGATATGGTACGAAAAGAGACTCTCGTTGTTATTCTTTGACCTCGCAAAGAATTGGCACAGCGTTGACGCGAATCCTGGCCTAGTTTGCCATGTAGCGTCCAGCGTCCTTCGGCAGTCGGCCGGGAAAGGATTCGTAGTGCGAACTTGGTGTAATCGGAATGGCTATTATTGGGCAACGTTGTGGTCCCATCCTGCTGCTTCTCTATCCACGCTGCAGCTTCCCCTGGGTATTCAGCTGTATAGGTAACATGGGGAGGGCCAAACGAGATGCGGACAGGATGAAAAATTGGGATGACTGGGAGTTCTGCATTCGGGGGAGAGGTTGAGATAAGATAAAGAGATAGCGGAGCCAAGGAAGCCCCCGGCCGCAAGGTACCCACCTGCAGGGGTCGTGACATCCTGGCGTCAACTCATCCGATTATGTCAGCCAAGGTCCCCCACGCAAAGAATCCGCTTGTCTGGTTCTGGCCTCCTCTCTCCAGTGTCCCGTCACGGCGTGCATCCCCGGCTTCCCGACCGGTTGTCCCTGGATTGCCCCGTGCCGTGATGGGGTCTAGACTTCTCCAACTCGATTGACTACATTTCTCCATGTCTTTCGCCTCAAACTACATGAGGGAATATCAACGCCAAATCGAAGGCGCTTGTACGCACTACGGGTTCCCGTCTTGATGGATCCGGCAGACCGACCGTGGGTTGCGGGCGTTTTGAACTGGCCTTTCAGCCTCCACCTCAACGCGGCGTTGCGGACCCTTTTTGCCTTTTCGCACGTGTAAGTTGACCTCCGCGGAGATGCTTCATTCGAGACAACGGCAAGACAGCCGCAGTCTCGAACCGCCAGATGGCCCATGCGTCATGCGAGATATCTTCAACGTTCATGGGTATCATTTGGTCTTTGATATGGGAGATACTGACAGGCTTAAATCCAGGTTCTACAAAAGACGCAAAAAGAGGCGGGTTCGGGGCTGCGTGATGGTGTCGCGACGTGGACTATGAGGGTCATTTGTAGATTTTGACGACGAGACGACTTCACTCGAGGCTCAAGAGAAGACCCCCTGAAAACTTGCCTCCGGCTACCTTATCTACCTACCCCTGGACGATGGGTTCTACATTTCAGAAGGGCCTTTTCACTCACCACTGGCCCTCTCTTCCCCGGGCGATTCCATTTACGGCGGCATGTTCAGAGCTTACAGCGCATTTGACAAACACTTGGCTCGCTAAGTACTAACCCGTCGCCTGCTGAGAGAGGAAGAGTCTAATCACGCCGAGCATCATCAGCCCTCAAGATCAGCATTGGCGCCGCTAGTCATCGTTCGATAGATCAAAGTCATCCAGTTGAATCAGTTCAGCTAGTCGCTATCTGGCGCCACCGGTGCCGAGACAATTGAAGTCTTGAGCGCGTCACGAAATCCAATGCGCAGCAGCCAGCGTGGGGCATAGCACCTGGTCCTGAAGCCTACAAAATATCTGAGATATCGCATATGCTGCCTCGTATGATCAGGTGGATCGGATTTTGCATCTCCGGATCTCCTGAACTTGATATCTCTGCCCAACAGGAAGGTTCTGCGCCCGAATTCAACCCATGGGTGTAGAGATATCAAGAAACTCTGCAGGCAACCTCATCACAGTTCCATTGATTTATCGAGCTGATTTAAGATCGGAATTACCTGAGCTCATATGCTCAGCATTCCAGATATCGTGTGGCGTCAACTGCCAGCACGTCGAGCAAGTTCCAGATCTGACACTGACGCACCAGGAACCTGCCTCCTTTACAGCATTCATCCCTCGTATCTAAGGTACCCGTGTTATCATACCACAAATCTGAAAACCGAAACTGTGCCCCTTATGACCTTGCGTGGATTGACCTCTTACGATATATGATAAGGCAATACTATGCTTAGAGTGCACTTCGAGTCGTCTATGACAGGAGGATCACCAATTAGTAGTCTCCGAATCGGCATACGCTTAACGTGTCCAGCTGGAAGGATTATCTCATCCTTGTCTCGTTTTCGATGTTTTGGTGATTGTTGTTGCTCTTTCCGCCATATCGTTTCTGTCGAGATAAAGGGGCCATCTACTGAAGCCCACGCTGTCCGACCTGCGACCTTGTTTTTTCCCTCTCCTTCCAACATGCCTTCTCAATGAGATATTTTGGCTCAACTTATATCTTTACATGACGTGAAAAGTCTCTCAAGCCCCTGAAGCCCACTGACAACTTTCATAGCAAGAAGGCATCCGCCAACGAATATCGATAACGATACCTCCTCCATGATTCATCGAACACCGAATCTGCATCGATACAATACCACGGTGCTCACCAGCCCCGGGACCTTTTGATGTGTGACAGATACGTTCGACAGGTTCATCCCGTCACGTAACATCAGCCTTTCCCGTTGCCTTTAGGATACATCAACATCCCACGTCTCTTACCACACCGGGGACGAACATTGTCATACGGCAGCGGAGTGATCCTCGACGACCATCCCGACTCCTTCAAGCCATACGGCGAGGGGCTGCCAACCCTCTCATATTGGCTTCATCCTACTGATCTTGACGATTCGAATCATTACCAAACACGACCAGAAAAAAGTCCTTTCACGCTCTATGCAGATACACCTTTTACGACAGCTCTTGTCTTGACGGTAAGGCACTCACGTGCTCCATCCAGCACTATCGACGCAGTCTGCGTTCTGTTGTGTGCGGCAGTAACATGTTGGTAAAATCAACAACCCCTATTCGAGCTCAAAACTTGCGCCTCAGCATGGTTCAGACACGTAGGATTCTGCGGCCATTTTCTTCCATGCTTGGCGATGTCACGAGCGTTTTCATCGATGCACCGTCTCCTTTGCTCTTCAGGATTACTGTTCCCAGTCAATCTTTGATCTGACACAAAATGCCTCCCCATGTTCCCGTGGCCCACATGATGAGTACCAATTCAAGTTGACTTCCGTTTGCTTGGTCAATGGTGATCGCCAATTGTCTCAAGTCTAGTGACTGCGAAAGGGAAACCAAAGCATGATTCAAAATATAAGTTCATAGCTCTGTTTCCATTTGCTTTCTTCTGGTTTTTTGCTGTTCTGCCATACTTAGTCCTTCTGCCAATGTTTACCATAAGATACACGTACAGGCCCATCGAAACAATGTACTCCCAGAGGCCGACCTCAAATTATCACGACTAAGGAATACCACATTCAATTACTTACATCTTTGGTATCTAGTGGACGATTTGGTTTCTATTGAACCCAGCTGTCAGCACATCAACAAGGTCAAAAACATACTGAACTCATTCTCTGAAGTGAAGGACGAGGGCCTTCCATCCCGACCAGTCCCAGATGAATTATGCTTCACTAGAAAATGCACACCTAGTGTGTCAAGTCTGATTTAAACGAGTTGGTGTTCGACCACTGATATCTAATATCCCAAGTTACTTCGCTAAGTTTTTACGCCTTACCACCTGGTGCGTTGGGAGGATACGCATGCTATGTCATTGCCCGGTGTAGTCTCCTTCTCAACTAAAACATATGGTCAGCAAGTACTTCGGGTTCAAAAGCTCTCGCAAATTCAATTATAAGTCTGCGAGCTCAGCAATTCTAGTGCAACTGAATCGTTCTTGATACATCAGATTCGCGGTAATGCCAGGTACGTCTTGTCCACCCACGATTCATCCCAGCTATCAGGGACTGACTCACGCCGTTCTCATAGAAGATTTGATAGCCCATTTGTTGTACATGAGGATGAAATGTCGTTTGTTAGACACGGAACATGTACTTCGTTTCACCAGACTCTATGCTTCCTTCAGCAATGGCGTTTCCCGCCACACGTTCCCATAGTAGTCAAAATCACCTGCACTCACGCCCGACACAACCCATCTTCGAGGGGACAATAAGCTGACAACTTCCAGCTCAGAACAGAACCTCACACGGACCTCGCCAACATGACCATGCGAACCGGGTAATCAACCACCGGCCTCAGACCAGTCCGAGGCCACCCGGCCGGGCCCAGGAGGACCCGCTTAACGCTGCAGAACCCACCACCCACACACCGACCATCCATAGCACCAAAATTCGCCGCCATCCTCAACAACTAGCAAGCTGGGTTCAGTCGCCCGGCTAGCTCAATCGGTAGAGCGTGAGACTCTTAATCTCAAGGTTGTGGGTTCGACCCCCACGTCGGGCTCAATTCCCGTCAGCGATTGGCATCCAGCTTCATTTTTTGCGATTTTTATGCTCTTTTGCTGATTTCTCGTTATTGACTTCTTTCTATTCACCGAGAAATAGAGCGCTCGCTGCCGTTCTGTTTTTGGACTCTTTCTTTTTACTTGATCGTTTGCGAGTGTCTGCTATGAAGCCTTGATTTCGACTTTGACATCCAATTTGTCAAATAAGACACAGACCTCTCCATCATTGATGAGTGCTGCATATGTTCAGCTCGGTCTCGTGCGCACAGGTTCAAGAAACCGGCCCTCTGCCGTTGAACGTAGTTTGCTTGTTGGTTCTTGACCCGTGGCGAGTATTCCCACAGAATGCGCCAACTCTTGGTGGTTGTTCTGCTGAAGTTTTATTCGAACCTCGGAATTGCAGCAAAGCACGAGATGACTTGAGGTTCCTAGAGACAGAAACACTGAGTTCTAGGACTTTGCCATTTGAACCAACCCACTGCCAATCTGATATTACAAAGCTTCTCTAGTTGTAGAGACGGCTCAACCTTCGACGTAGAGGTAGGCTGACATTTTCGTCGGCCCTTCTACTTGATCACTCACCAAACCACGACCGGCAACATCGCGTCCATTCCGACAACCCTGAGCTCTTCGAAAGGGATTCTGAGTGATATACCTCCTTGCACACGTGAGGGTTCTTGTCAAATGATAGCTGAGAGAAAGGGCTAGGATTTATACGAGAGCCCTGGCGAGGTGCTTCTAAGACTGGCTTTCTTACCAGCTCAACACACATGATCTTCGAAGTCACCTCGCACGACGAAACCAAGCACCGGGCTGAATCGGCCGTCTCAACTTTCGACGCGGTATCTCGGTTATTTAGTGAATGTAGACCGAAGATGGTGAGATGGTAAGAGACCACCGCAAGTGAACAGCTGTGTGTGCTAAAGCGAGGCTTGAGCCGAGGACAAAACCGCGTTGGTTGAACAAACCGGTTCTCCGACCCAAGTCGTCAGCTGCCTATACAGACGTTGTGTATCTGCCTCCAGCAAGAGGGGAGTTCGGAAGACTTCATGGTTCTGCTGGCTGGACCAAACCAAGCCAAAGCCTGCAGCAGCACCGCGACGACGTATTACTTCGAACCAAAAACCGCATCTGCGTCGCCAGGGACGAGACTTCGCCCGGCTGTCTCGCAACCCATCACCTCCGGTAACATTCTCGTCGCAGTTCATCGTGCGAAACCTGGAAACATTTCACCCCTTAATCAAGCCTCATGAAGCCCCCAGTTCCCATTGACCAGGTCACAGGAGCAAGGAAGGGGGCTAAACGCGCGCCTACGAACCCGAATCATCGTCCTTCGCCGAACACTGCTCGCCACACGGCATCAACAAATCCGGCAAGAGAAAGACAGAAAAAGGGGGCTCGAGACGAGAGAAAAACGCCATCATATAAAGCAATACCGCGCTCGCGGCACCACAAGCAAGGTTCAACCCTCCAAGCCAAACCGACCTCAGCAAATACAACACGGTCCATGGATCCCCTCCTGTCGTCACCGCCGCGCCAATACCCGGGCCAACGATGTCACCCATCGCCCCGGCAGCGGAACGGGCATCACTCCCACAGCAAGTCTCCCGAGATGAGCTGAGGAGCCCCGTTCCGAAAGTATAATTCATTGCGGTTGCGCGGTATTTGCCCACATTCAATCAACGAAGTAAATGAAGAGAAAAAATTGAAAAGAGAAAAGAGAAACACCGCCGCATTCAGATACGACCGTGAAGAATGAAAAAAAAAAAGGAAAGTTGCTCCCTTCTTACCCCATGTCTCTCGATCAATTCGAGACGAAGCCGACATCCGACGAAATCGCCGGCGCGATGGGAAAATCATACAGGGCAAATCCGAAACAGAGGCCGCCCGGATAAGTCGAGAGAAGGAACCAAACCACCGACTGAGTGTCAAGTGAAAAAAAGGCAGCCCATGAACCCCCTCAAAGGTTTCAACAACCCTCGACAAAAGCCCCATCCCGGCCAGGTCGGCCTCGACAGAGTTTCCCATCCTTCTCCATGATCCATCGAAAAACTGGAGTTGCAATCTACCTGCCGAGTCATGGACCGGTTCGTGTCAGGTTTGAAAGCAACGAAAGCTTGGCGGTCGCCGGCCGGGTTTATTGTTGGATACAAGGCGGGGAAGGGGAAAGAAAAGCGAGCGTAGTGCAGCGCAGCGGATTGACTCCGTGTTCGCCGGGCTCTTGACCGAGTCCGTCCGGGGCTCGGCAGCGAAAGTGTGGTTGCGATCGGCGGTCGTTCTAATTGCACCTGAGTAGAGAACACGACAGAGGAAACAATGAGAGAATTCAAGGGACGAGGTTAGAGTTAACAGGGAGGGGAAGAGTACGTAACTTGCTTTATCGTACTTTGAAGAACCGCCAAGCTGCAGGATTGATGTTCTGGTGGTACAATCCGTTTGTGTCGAGACGGAAGCTCATCTGATCCGACTAGTGGCCGAGGACCCTGCGGTCGGCCAAAACTGTGCTGATGTATTCGGGCCAATTGGTGGTCAACATCCCACCAGTTCACGTCAGACAGGACGTCGGCCGTCGCATGACAGCTGCAAGGTTATCTGATCGGCAGGGCATCCCATCTCCACGAAGAAAGATCGGCAGCATCGGCAGTGTCACTGGGCTGAATGTCAAGATGTCGGGGTAAAAATGTTCTTGTTTTCTAAAGACCAAAAAATCGTTCTTCTCTCACATTATCAACTAGAAAGGTATCAACCCATCCCTCGTGATCGCAATCGTCCACGTAGGGAACTGGTATCGAAAAACACAGTAAAAACGCCATGTGCGGAGCCCGTTTTCCCTCCAAGCTGGACCGGCGCGGGTTTCCCGGGCCGTGTAAGCCTAGAAGCCGAGTCCCCGTCTTTTTATCCCGTCATGACCTAATATGCACGTTGAACCCAAAAAACCATATCCATGCGATTTAACAGATGAAAGATCCGAGAAATGCTGCAAGGAGCGTTCGCTTAGAGAAGGGCGGCAACGGCAAGACCGCCGAGGACGGCGAAGACACCGGCGGTGGCCTGGGCACCAGCACCGGGGGCGGTGACGGTGGCCAGGGTGGTGGAAGGGGAACCGGAGCCGGAGCCGGACTTGGTGGCAGTGCCGTTGCCAGCAGGCTTGGTGACGCTGGTGATGACAGTAGCCGGGGCAGAGGTGACGGCGGTAGGAGCAGCGGTGGTGGACAGAGCGGTGGTGCTGTTGACGATGACGACGTCGGAGGACGAGGCGGCAGCGGAAACGGAAGCAGAGGAGGTGGCCGAGACCGAAGCGGCGGACAGGGTGACGGTAGCAGTGCCGGAGCTGGAGGTCAGGGTGGTGGTGCCGGAGCTAGATTCGCCAGCAACGATGTGGAACGGGTTGGAGTACTGGAAGTCGACGGAGGGGTTGGCCTCAGACTTGATGGTCAGGCCGTAGAAGGCGTCCTTGCCAAGAGTGCTGGGGATGGTCCAGCTGTACTTGCCAGCGGAGTTGGGGACGCCGGCTGAGGAGTGTTAGTCAATGTACAGTTCTCGAGAGGCATCTCATGGCGAGTGAGTACTCACAGGCAATGTCGAGGAGAGGGACCTGGCCGCCCTGGGTAGCGCCACCGATCAGGCTGATGGAGACGGTAACGTCCTTGAAGGCATCGGGAGCAGTCCACTCGATCGTGTAGGTGGTGCCGGCGTTGATCTTCTCGTTGGGGGTAGGCTTGTTGACGGGGTCGAAGTTGGGGTTCTGGGCCAGGACGTTGGCGGCGAAGGCCAGGAAGGCAGCGGCGGAGATGGTGAAGCGCATTTTGGCGGAGGGTATTTTTGTTGTTTGTTGATAATAGGTTGGGTGGGAGTAATTAGAAGTTAGGTCTATATAAGAAGACGGAACAAGAGTCGAACGAGTGACTGGAAGAAAGCGAGTAAGGTGGTAAGGGAGAGTAATTGTCTTGCGACAGTGGGTAATGAGTGACTATATAAAAGAGTGACAGAGGCAGAAGCCGAGGACGAGGACGAGGACGAGGACGCGAGGCAGACGAGATTGACTGGGCTGTGGTAGGGAAGGAAGAGGAAAGAGAAGAAAGATCAGATGAAGCGGAGGAGTAGGAAAGAAGAGGAGGTGTAGCCTGGTCGAGTGGGTGAGGTGAGCAACCCACACGCTGACCCCGGGCTAGGCTCACGGGCGGGCGGCAAGGGGGGTAAAGGTACATGGGTTTCCAAGGTTGACGGCCCATCCATGGTTTGCTCCATCATTCAAGGTCCGGGTCACAGTGATGGCGATGGGAAAGCCAGTAGAGGAAGGGCAAGGGGGGTGAGCACACTGCAGTTGGGCGCAATTCTCCTGTCGAGTTTCTGGTCTCCGCGTGCCTCGTTGCAGTTGTCGACTGCGCCGCCGACACAGCAAGCATGGGTCTTCAAATTAAAGACGAGATTGGACGCTTGTGATTGGGCCGTTGCGGCACGGAGCAGGGGGTGTGGGCCATGGGAAATTTCCCTGGCGCAGGTACCTCCAGCTCCTGGTCCACCAGTTGCTTTAGTGTTAGGGCACCATCTCACAGGTTCTTAATGGTTCAATCAATGATCCAAATGGCAAAAGACGTGCCCCCCTGACTTTGAGTGAGCACTATTTGCAGCGTGGAGTCCCAGCACACGCACAACTCGTGGAGTGGCTGCTGTACCTAAGGTATTGGGGACCTGGGACGGGGACGGGACTCTGTCAATGGCAACTTTACCTGGAAGGGTAATCGACTGATGCTAGCCGAACAGGGCTGAGCCAACGCGCTTGCCGCTTCTCGCCCTTGGGACCGCGGATTCAGCCAATGAGAGGCTCATCGCGATGCAAGTGTGGATATCATTTTTCCCAATCCAGGGGGTCGCTGCACATTCATCCGCTTCGCTCCTTCTCAGTCCACTGAGTCCACTGTCCACCACGCAGCGGGTCGCGATCTCCTTTTTTCCCTCCGAGCCGGTGCGGTCCTCCAAGGCAACAGCGCGGCAATTCATGGGTTCACCTCACTCATCTCTCAATGCCCCTCTCGTCTCCTTCTCGCGACACCTCAAGAGGCATGGCCGTCTTTTCTAGCAGCCCGCGTAAGGACGGAACCTCCCCATCGGAACCTGGATGCAAGCATCAAGCCTTGGACGTGACTTGGAGGCCAAAATAAGGCCAGCCCAGCCAAGTTTCGGGCATGGCGTGCTTGCTGCCGATACTGGCTTCAAGGTGCGGCCAGCCAGGCAGGCAGACACACAGATGCGTTCGAAAATAGCCAACAAACAGAGAGGGAGGAGCACTGACAGCTGGAGCCGAGGACCTGGATATGGATCACATAAGGATACCTTATGGACATGGACGACAAGACAAGACGGACTTCGGCCAGCTCTTCCTCTTCCTCTTCGCCCCTCCCAGGAATTTCCCCGACCGCCCCAGGGCCCTTGGACGCCGAGTTTGAGATGATGTGACGTCTCCCGCTGTTATTAGCCTATTAGGTCTCCTCGAGCAGTCGAGCGTTTAAGCTCAGTAATTACCTTAACGTGGATCTGGAAATAGAGGACGCCAATTTGCTACACATCTCAGTCAAACAGCAGCCCGAGATGGGTACGTACCGGTACGCCCGCGTTCAGCACGCACCATGGATTAGCGCTTTAGCGAGCCGGCCACTGCAAGGAACGAGGAAACCGTTCATGGGACCGTCTGACTTGGCATCTGCCCAATTCGCTCTTCTCAATCCTCCCGCACAACATTTTCCGTTTACCACTCATTCACCGCAGTACCAGACGGACTAACATCGCCCATGCGTCAAAGCGACTCACTTAATTTACTACGCCGCAGCCCAATTCCTGCAGCCAATACGTCCAATGCTATTGTCTTCTTCCATGCATACGGACAGACAAGACAGCCAAACGGACAACCAGACGACATGCAGCGGACTGCCGTCAGCCAACCCAAACAGGGGAATAACACCAATCCGACCTACGGATGCAGGAAAAGATCTTTTGTCATCGGCCCTTCCAGAACCTCACACCTCGGCCACCAAAAAGCACTAGTTGCCAAGCGAAAGCAGACGTGACATCCAACGGCCCCAGACTCATCAAATGCGAATCTGATTTTTCCGCCCTGACGCTTCCAACGGCCAAAATGCATCAAATCACCTCATCGTTGCGCCCTGATGCTACTCTCCGATGACTACCACGTCGATTCTCGGTTTCCAATGTCGCAATCGCTCTCACCAACAAGTCTGCAGTACGAATACTGCACATAGTCATACAGCCTGCTGCTGGCATCTGTTTTGCGCCCCTGCCAGCGCCACCCCGAAATATCCTCCAGTCTCGCCCCTAGACGAGTTTACCTACCCATCCATGTCCATGGAGGCGTGAGCCTCGGGGAAGACATCGTGGGCCTCGAGACACGATGGAGTTACCGGACTGGACCACGGCTTTCCGCCCCAGTCAGCCCCAAATCCCGCCTCCGCGGGCACGCGCTCGCGCTTCATGCAGGGCCTCGGACAGAAGCCGGAGTCAGTCAAGTTTAACCTCGCATATCTCGACTTTGGCACTCGTCCTCCATCCCTTCGTCGCCTTCATCTGAATCCCACATGCGGACAACAATCATCGCCATCCCGCCTCTTGACGCAGCTCGCAATCCGATGATTCGCAGCAACTCGTGTGCCTCCACCGCCACAAACCTTGTGTGTGATAACTTGTTCACCTCTTCGGGTCGTCCGCCGACAAGGTCCCCATTACCTGTCTTCCTTGACAGAGTTTCAGCACTTGAACTCTATTGTCCACAACCCAACCTGAGAGATCCTGGCGATTTCATCGCGGCACCGACTCGCAACTCGTGGGTCTTTGAGAATGAAGGCATTGATGACGAGGAAAGCTGCAGTCGCAAGCCCCTTGATCGCCCGGAAGACGTCATGAGCCAATAAAAGCATTAGCGCGGAAAGGAACTGCAGTGCGACAAGAATAACTCCCCCAAAGGTGGGCTGCAACCTTTAACTGAGGCCATTCGCAAAAACCCCAACCCTAGAGCGTACCGTTTTTGTTCGGGCCTTCCCTTCCATGCCTGCCAAAGGTTGACAGATTTCGCTGTCTCTGCGTGACTCTTACTGCAGTTAGCGTCCCCTTCATCCGCATACGGCCGAGTTCGGACCACAAGTTTCCCCGGCCATCTGTGGTCAAGCGGCACGGCGATGGCGCTCACCGCGAGATCTTGTGTCACGAGGCACTCTCGAAGTAAGACGGCGCCACCGCTCCCGCCTTTTCTCATGCGAACAAACAGGCTACGCCCAAATGACTCTGCCCTCGGCAATAGTGCCACGATGTTCACGATGTTCCATACATGCGCAACGTTGCGACATGTCATACGGGTTTGAGTCTTGTTCTGTTTGCGACGATGCAACCAGAGTTCGACAACCTTGTCAGCAGCTGCAAGCTGCATACACAAGACGGCATTATTGAATGCGCGCCTCAGCCCTAAGCCACTTTCTTGGATACCCAACACGGCGAAATGGGGCATAATGATGCGTTGGTGCAGCACGGTACTTTCTTGACCATTTTTGGATTCCGCCCGGCTCAGCGTCCATCGAGAGAAGTTCGGCCTCTCTTGCTCGTCGAGACCTTTCGGGAGTTTGGGGGTCTAGGAACTCTTGGTCTCGATCGGAAACATTTCTCGGCGGCTAACAAAGACCAGGCTCATCCCGCACGTTGGCCGTTGGAATGTCGCCGGTCCTTCACTTTCCTTTAGCGCAAAGCCCTGTTTCTGTTTTGTTCTAATCAGGTGCCTCGTTGTCATTCGTCGCCGTCAGCGCCAACACCATAAACAGAAGCGAGCCTCGTTAGCCCGGGGCTGTAGGGAGGGAACGGCGCTCGCATCCCATAATCACCGCTCAGTCCGCTTTGCGGCGGAGGTGCTGAGGCGGAGGCGGGCCCGGCCCGCGGCGCGGAGCGGAGGTCGCGATGACCTCGTTCATGCCCCACTCTGATCCTGAATAACATGCGCTCTGAATTGACCAGACGGACCTCGAGCATCCACAGCACAGAGGATTCTCGGCGCCGAAACATGTGCTGTGGCGTGAGGTTGTGAGACATTTCTAAGCAAATCACATCCGCCAGAAGCTTCGCAATCGATGCGGAGTAAATGTCCACGTGACCACCCCAAACGTCAACGGAAGCCGTCGAACCACCTCGAATCCCAGTGGAAACCGCTAGATCCACCGGTCCATATGGTGCGATTGAACATGAAACTAAGCATTGTGAAAAGCTTCACTCGCAATCAAGATAAAATACCACCAAACCGCCCCCCTCACGCGAGCACTTTGTTACTGATCCGACGCTTCTTCTGATCGACGTATCTTTCACATCAACAGCTCTCGAAAGACCTCACCAACAATGCCCAAAGTAACAGAGTTCATAACCCTGACCTTCAAAACCCCCCCCTCCCCCGACCCGCCCGCGGCCTGGGCCGACGTGACCGCGACCCTCAAGTCCGTCCCGGGCGTGACGTCCCTCTACACGGGCCGCCAGCTCGAGGACCCCTCCCGGCAGGTCCTCGTCGTCGACTGGGCCTCGCCCGAGGCCTTCACCGCCTTCGCCTCCTCGGAGCACTACACGCCGTGGTTCGCCTCCCTCAAGGCCGTCGCGGCGTCGGACCCGGCCCCGGTCTTTTACAAAGTCCCGCTCTCCGGCGGCTCCGGCTCCGGCTCCGACGGGAACTCCGACCCCTCGGACGTCGTGCTCCGCGCCCCCTGCACCGAGGTCTTCGTCGCCTACGGCGTCGAGCCCGACTTCATCTCCAAGACGGCCGAGTTCGCGGCGGGCATGTCGAGGGCGCACGCGCCGGTCGAGGGTTTCCACGGGCACGCGTACGGCGAGGTGACGACGCCGCTGGCGTTCGGGGGCCAGGGGGAACGGGGACCGGCTGTTACGTTGTTGCTTGGGTGGGACAGCAAGGAGGCGCATCTCGAGGCCAAGGGCAAGGCCGGACGTGAGTTTTCCTTCTTCTTTGTCTCAACTTGTTGAAGAGTGCGAGCTTTTGCTGACCAAGTTTCCTGCAGCCGTCTCCGACAATATTCATCTCCTGAGGTCGGGTCGCAAGGATATTTCCATGGTAAGTCGTCACACGTACCCGTCACCCATTGGAAATGGAATCACTGACGCTGGGCAGTACCACGTAAACCTGAAGCAAGTCTGAGAGCGAAGCGCATTCAAGGCCGTTCCGGAGCACAGGGGATGGAGACTGTGGTGGTGACATGATTCACATTATTTCTGCTATTATTGATGATACGACGGCAAGACGACGAAAGCCCAAGCTAGATAGCCTAATTCACAAACACCATTTGCCTAATGACGCTTTTGTCCTACCTGATTGTCCGAGGAAAGTTGTTGTCTGTGATTAGCACGTGGGAGAGGAGGCTCAAACTTACTAGCTTCGTCGTGATCCTTCGCAATGCATGGTCATCCTTGGTTCCCACCGCATGTAATTCGTCTGGTGCCTGAAATAAAATGTCAGCGTAACTAGCTCTCGCGTATAAACCACCCGCTGCTCGTGTCTCCTGTCTCCTCCGCCAGCTCGCGGGAAAGGAATCAGTGCGGAACGCTATGGGGCTGCGCTTTTCCCGAGGTCGAACGCGTACGTCAGGTATAGACGTAAGAAACAGGCTTGGGCAAGGTGCATGGGATCTGGTGACAGGCAGGCAGGCAAGGGCGATGGCGGGCTTGGATCACGAGGAGAGTCTAGGGCGTGAGATGTTGCCGTTTCGCAGGGCTGTGTATGTAAGGATGGGTGGATGCAGAGCGACGATGGATAGGGCGCGCGACAGTGGTGGTGATGATGGGCAAGGAGTCATGACGGGCTGGATAGTGGATGAAGTAAAAAGAGAGTAGTGCACTATTAAAAGTAGTACCTCCTCTAAAAGCACCTTGATCAGATCAAGTGACCGAAACCCGTCCCCTTCCCAGATGTAGTAGCCGGGGTCTCAGAGCGGTGACAACGCCAGAGACCAATCCGATATCCCCCAAGCGCGGCGATGATATTTCGCGAAGAAAAAGAAACTGTACCAATCCGCCCGATGTTTTGGTTTGCCGAACTAAATGTGAGTCAGTAATTCATAAACGTCGTCAACGTTAAATGCGGTGCTTTTCCGATTCTGCAGGATACGTTAGCGACTGTGTTCCACTCATTGTTTCGTTGCCGGCGACATACCCAGACGAGAGTATAACATGTACAGCGCCATGCGATTGCACTCCTCTGTTCCCGTGATGGTGACCAGACGCTCATTGCTGTTGTCTTGAGGCTCGTTGATCTTGATGACACTGCCGCTGATCTGGCGTATTTCGTTGATCTTTTGTCCACCCTTTCCGATGATGGCGCCCACCATGTCGTTGGGAATGTAGATCTGTTGAGTCAAGGGAGCGCCGGGCATGGCTGCTCCTGCGTGCATAGGCTGAGCCGGGTGAGCGCCGTGCGGCTGAGGGACGGCAGCGCCGGCGTGAGGCTGCATGGGAGCAGCGGCGCCGTACCCGCCAGCTTGTGCCGCACCGCCGTAGTGAATGGGCATCGCCGGGTTCGGCTGAGCGGCGTGGTGAGGGTAGGGTTGCGCGTAGGGGGCGGCAGGAAGATGGTGCTGGGCGCGAGCATCGTGCCTGCGGTTGTAGTTTTCACGGTTGCCGTAGTTGCCGGTCGTCGGCTGCGGGCAATAAGGAACGACCTGCATTCCACCGGGAACAACGCCGGCAGGACCGCCGCTTCGTGTCGCGTAAGCGGAGGCCGCCGGGCCACCGAAGCGGTCGTTCAACTGCTCGAGAAGAGTACTGCCGACGTAGTAGGTCGCGATGTGGACAGCATCAGCAACACCCATGACTACTAGCGACCGCTCGGTGGAGAGAGGCAAGCAGGAATCAGAGGCATTCAGCCTGGCTCCTGAAGCTTCCTGAATCTCGCGAATGCGCGCGCCACCCTTTCCGATGATGGAACCGATCAAGATGTGCGGGATAAGAAGCCGAAGAGGATACGTCTTGGACTGAGCGCTTGACGGCTCTGCCAAGGGCTCGTTGTTGAGCGTCCGAATGATGAGACCGAAAGCCTGTGATACGGTTAGATGGGGTTTTGTGCGGCGGTGGAGGGGACAGCTCAACGAACCTTGGCGGCAGCATCAACAACGCCACTCACAGTCAAAATGCGCTCGACGGCTCCCTTCTGATAGTCGCTCACGGTGCACTTTGCGCCAGACATCTTGCGAATGTTGGAAACGTTCTCTCCACCCTTTCCGATGATCGTCGCAGCCTCCGGGCTGGAAATAACGGCGCGGATGTGGATCCAGTCTCTCTCATCGTGACTCGCAGAGGCAGAGGGAGTCGCGGGAACAGCGCCAGCAACGGAGCTCTGGATGGGCTTCGTCTCGGTCGTCTCGGAATCGGCCTGCTCGGACTTTTCCTTCTCGCCATTCATCTTCTCGGCGCCGTTTGCGCCGGGTGTGTCGACACTGCCCTCGAGACCATCGAAGTGCTGGGCCATTTCGACCTCCTCATCGTTCTTCAGTATCTTGTCCAGGGCAGGTCGCTTCGCATCGGGCTGATCGTTGCTGCGCGAGGGAGAAGACGTCTCCTCGAGGGGGCGCTTGGCCGAGTTTGCGGGTTGGGTGGGCGACGCGGACATGATGGGCTAGCTGTTAATGTCTCACACAAGTTTTCGCGATTCCGTTTGAGGTTCTAGAAGAGCTTGTATTCGACTATCTACACCACAACGGTTTTCAAAGGAAAACGGGCTGGTGTAGTGGCGTAGTCGGGGTCGGGTTCAGAAGAAAAAAAGTTTCTTTCCTTTTCGGTGAAGTGGCTGTGCTCGAAGGTAGAGGATCGTGAATGAGGTTGAGGTTGAGGTAGGTCGGGGTTGTGGATTCAGGATGACTCCTATCCTATCAGGTTCGTGGTAGCTTCCGAAATCGTGAGAATCGCAGGGAAACTCAGGTCAAGCGGGAGGGAAGGCGAGGCGGGGGAGCAGCGAGGCGGATGGGAGGAAGGTGATGATGGAGAAAAGAGAGGTAGAAGGCGGGATGGAAGGAGCTGATGGAGACAAAGGCTGTTTGTAGGAGGCGATTCGGATGCAGAAGCTCAAACCTTTCTCCGTCAAACCAACAGTCCAAGCTGTGAGGCAGGGGAGCTGCAACAAGTTATGACGGGTTGTCAAGTCTGCAAGCAGAGCTTTGATGACCTTTGCTGCGATGGAATCCCACTGCGTGTTGTATCGCTGAGCTTCAAGCAGATGCTGATGCTGGTGTTGGCGACGCGCCGATGGTCGGGTCAAGGGCAGCAGAGCAAACGCAAACGAGCTTGGAGGCGACGGCGACACGAACACGTGAGGGAATAGCGGGAATCCGATGCGCTGCGTCGCGAGAGTATAACCCACCAGAAGAGAGGTCGTCAGAAACGGGACGGACGGGATGCGAAGGGTGCGCGCGGGTTTAAAGAGATGGGAAGGAGAAAACCGTGCAAACAGCTGGGTTGGAAGGGGGTCCGGATGTCTCGAAGCAGTTTGGGAACTGGGCGAGGGCAAGATATTGCTGAAACCTCGTAGGAAAAAAAGATCGGCCTGACTACGTACGCAACGCCTTCCAGGTCAGCAGCAGCTGGAGCAGTATCCGTACTAGGTGCCCGTCTCCCGCCCTCACCAGAGCCAGAAGGCTCGCAAGCGCAGCCAACAAGGCGAGCGAATGCCGTGGATGCTGGGCAGGCATGGTGGAGCATCACACAGTAGCCGGCACGGACGCACGGCCCTCTCATCGTCTTCCCCACTGCCCACCTTGGAGCCAAGCTGTGGTGAGAGCCACACAGTAACAATCTGATTTGCTGCGGCAGATTAATCTGCATGGGGGTCCTGGTCTACGGGGGCCCCCAATCGTGTTTGGCCACCTGGTGCCGCTGTAGTGGTCGGTTTGATTGGACAGAGGCGGCGAGCCGCACAGTGTGTTTGACGCTTGCTTTCCGCAGAATGACTGAGGTGCGAAAAGTGTGAGGAGAGAGAGCCGCCTGCCGCCCCAGGGAGGGCCGGCCAGGGCATCTTAATGCGCTGAGGTGACCTCGGGAGGTGCTGCAAGTGCGACTTGCCTGAGGTGCTTACACGTACTTGCGGTGCCGCCCTGCATTTCGGGTTTTCAGTACCAACACTGACTGACCTACAACACAAAACAACACTTCGAGCATCTGCCAACCGCCGTACACCGAGTTCACGCCGATCTCGTTTGCGTCAAACAGCCAGCCACCGCTCTTTACACACCGTTGTCGAATTGCTTTTTCCTTCCGTACCGGCTCGGATTGCCAGAATCGCCAAATTCACCTTCGTTGGTGTCACTTGTCAGCGTGCCAGACCGCGACAGACAGTCGTGACAGTGCATCATCTGTGCTGTGTCTCTTCGCGCCGGTCCTGTCTGCCACCCCGGAAATCTCGATTAGACCCGACACACAGTGACACTTCCTTTGAAACAGTCAGAGAGGATCTAGCGCCCGGTCTAAAAAGCCTGAACATGCCTTGTTTTCTCCGGCAGGGGTGATATCAGACGCTCAACGCTCAACGCCATTGGACACTTCTGCGACTCCGACGGGCCGTGTGCTCTGTGACGGTTTGCATGCTTCGCGTGCTGCCGTTGCTTAAAGTGTTTCGTTTCTTCAAGGGCACCCTCTAAAAGTCGCGTGCCACATCCCGCCTGATATTGGCACCGTGTCGCCGAAGAAATCAGACCGTTTGGACTGATTCAAGACTTTAAAGCAATCAGCGTCCAACCGGACAAATATTGGGACGCATTCAGCATGAGCGACTCTCCTCCGCGGGCCGTGGGTGACAGGTATTCCCTGAGCCTGGAACAAAGTCTGCAGGAACTTCAAGAGAAGATTCAGCAACACCGGGACGAGCTGGCATTGGTATGTTACTTATTTCCATGACGATATCATCCACTAAGTCAACATCAGCTCCAACAAAATGGCCGGCAGTCAAAACAGAGCTTGCCGGGTCCAGGAAGAGGCTCGTATGAAGTCATGAAAGGCGCTTTCGAGGAGGTTGCAACAAACCCTCCTTTTGTGCCCTCCTCGGCATCAGTCCTGCCCGCGCTGGTGGCTTTGCGAAAGACCCATCAGACCATTGCAGAGTCCCGGGCGTACCTGCAGAGCCAAGGTACCTCCCTTGACAAAGCCAAACGTAGGCTAGAAAGCGAGCAGGCGAATTTGGCCGATCAAAAGCTGCTTCAGCAGAGTTTGGAGAAGCGCATCCAGGCTCTCACAGATGATGCCGATTCAAGGATGGAATTGACGCCCGAACAGGCGGCCAAAGAAAGACTGGACGAACTCAGGAAGAAGAAGAAGCACTACGACAAGGAGAGGGTGAGGCTCCTTAGGGCCTTGCGTGAGTTCATCAACAATCACCTGGCGGCTCAGATAGCGGCCGAAGACCTCGGCGGACCTGTCGTTGGCGACATGATGGAGATCGACTCGGATCAACTTGCCGCTGGTTTCAACAATCAGGGTCGTCCTGTGAAGGCCAAATCCAAGCCGGACGAGGACAAGAGACAGAGACGCCTCGAGGAAGTTTGGGGTCTATCACAAGACAACGAGAGAGAGACGGACGAGACTGCCGCCGCAGGACGCGAGATGCGTGAACTCACGGAGGAGCTGCTCAACCAGCACATAGAAGCAGGAGGTGATAGCACGGCAGCATACGTCAAGATTCCGAAGGAGACGGCGGCGACACGATTCCTGGTCCGGTCCAAGGTCGCACAGTTCCACCCCAGAGATGCCACGAGGCTTAAGCTGATTGATTTTGGAAGAGAACTGGACGACTAGGAGGGCCCGGCATGCCGCGTACCCGTGCGACGCTGCGTGCGCACAGCGCAGATCCCCCGTGTGGGGAGGGTGAGCAGCCAGGCAATCAAACCGTGACTTTCAAGATAGCATGTCCATCCCGGGTCCTTCAATGTTAGAGAAAAGCTCCTGTTGTCAAGCATTTGAGTCTCTTGAGTCAGACAATTGTTCTACAGCTGCGATGAAGTAGCGAGACTGTTTGTCAGGGTCTCACAGTGCCCTCAATTTGACTCGGCACGTTCCTCCGGATCTGGGTACGGATCTGGGTTACACGGGAAAAGCGTTTGGTGTGGGAAATGGGAAACTTGGCACGTATGCATGGTCCGACACAGTTTGGCGCTGAACAATGCAAAAAGAAAAGAAAACCCCCCAACAGACTTTGAGGCGCTGGAGTCTGTCAGTAGTAGTTCATGAGGCGACCCTGAGGCTCTACTGAGACCCGAATGGATCATCGGAAAACGAGATTAGAAACAAAGCTATGGATGACAGCTGTGCTGCGGGAACATTGATCTCCAAGGTCCCCGCATAATGATTGGCCAATTCCTCACCCGCGTCTCAACGCGTCATCGTGACACCGCTCAGCTTTACCTAAGGTGCCGTACCTTGCTTCGAGCTACAACCACCCACACACGTAGCAACGAAGCTCGTCCCCCACTAGAAAGAAAGACGACACCTCGAACACCGGCATATCTCCTTCCACCCTCGCGAGAACTTCCCAGTTCATCACCTCCAACACCAACAATGACCTCTGCCGCCGACCCCGTCACCGCACCTCAGTCCGCAGACCCTCCCGCAAAGCGAGTCAAGACCACCTCCGACGACGCACCCGTCCCCGCCGCCATGGAGCCCTGCCCGCCACTCCAGGTCAAGAGGCTCTCCGACAAGGCCCGTCTGCCGACCCGCGGAAGCCTCTACGCCGCCGGTTACGACCTCTACGCCGCGAAGCCGACCACCATCCCGGCCCGCGGCAAGGTCCTCGTCAGCACTGACATTGCCGTCTCCGTCCCCGCCGGCACTTGTACGTCTTCCTCTCGGGCTCCGGCTACAGCTTGCAGAGCGCCCCTTAAGCTAACATGCTATCAAACACAGACGGCCGCGTCGCTCCCCGCTCCGGCCTGGCCTCTAAGAACTTCATCGACACCGGCGCAGGCGTCATCGATGCCGACTACCGCGGCGAGGTCAAGGTTCTCCTCTTCAACCACGCCGACACCGACTTCGAGGTCGCCGAGGGCGACCGCATCGCCCAGCTCGTCGTCGAACGCATCTTCACCCCCGAGATCGTCGAGGTCCAGGAGCTCGAAGAGAGCGTTCGCGGCGCTGGCGGCTTCGGCAGCACCGGCGTTGCTCTGCAGTAGAGTTGTCCAATAATTTGAGAAAAAAAAAGGGGGGGACAGAAAAGGGGTCCGTGTAGAATATGGATTAGACCGTGGCACATACGACACCGCCGTCACGGACGGTCGGGAAGCCTATAGAAAGGAATGCAAAACAGTATATGAATGATGACAATGCCACTACCAAGATGCCTTTATCTATCCCGACCATCATGCAGCTGACTGACGCCCAGTATCTATAAGCTTGGACAACCACCAAATCTACAACTTCTTCGCCCGGAACTCCACGACCGGATCCCTCAGACAAGCCAAGTTCCTCACCAGCTTCAGCTCGGCACTCTTGCTCTTCAACAAGTGCAACCTCTTCTTCTCTTCCTCCGTCGTCGCCGCCTCCCCGGCCTTCTCGACCACCTCCCGCATGCCCCTCGCCGTCTGCGTGAGCACCTCGTGCATGCTCGCCAGCACCATCTCCGCGGCCTTGGCGAGCGGCAGCTCCAGCGCGTCGACGTCGCCCCCGCTCAGCCACGACCTCGTCGCCGTGAGGCCGTCCCCGGCGGCGAGGGCGGCCTCGCGCATGCGCACCGTCATGAGCGCCGCGAACATGTCGCCCGTGCCGGAGAAGTAGGCGTCGATGGCCGGGAAGACGATCTTGAAGAGGCGCGGCTCGCCCGTCGAGGGGTCCATGGAGGAGCCGACCACGGAGAGGTGCGAGGGCGGGTGGTCGGGAGCCGCGAGGTTGACCGAGGTGATGACGACGTGGGGGATGCGGTGTTCGCTGTGCAGAGCGCGGATGGCGGATTGGAGGGATTTCATATCTGTGATCTTGACGCCGGACAACAATCTGCGGCACACGTCAATTTTCTCTTCATCTTCACAACAGAGCGCAGGGGACCCCTCCGCGAAGACGGGAGTCTAGGACAACTCACTCGGCTTCGAACTGGTTCGGGAGAATCAGATCCGCGTGCTCGACGAGGGACTGATACGCCGGCACGACCTCCGGCGCGACGTACAACTTGCCGTTGTCGCCCATGACGGGGTCCAGGACCCAGAAGAAGCTGCCGTCGGCCGACTTCGCCTTGAGCTCCTTCGCGATGTCGCCGACGGCCACGACGGCCTCGGCGCCGGGGATGTAGCCCGAGAGCATCATGTCGAAGTCGTCGAGGTACGACTGCTTCAGGCCCTCGAAGAGGTCGCGGATCTCCTGCGCCGAGACCTTTGTGCCCTTCCATTGGCGGTAGCCCGTGTGGTTGCCTTTCCGGGGAACACGTCAGCTAACTGTGGATAAGTGGTCGTGACGGGGGATTTGGTGGGTGTAAAGGGGAGCGGGTGGTTTACTGAATTGGACGGTGTTGAGCGCCGCGACGTCGCAGCCGAGGGACTGCAGCGTGAACACGGCGATCTTGTTTCCTACGTTACTGCACGGGGACGGCGTGAGCGCTTGTACTCGACGTAAGCTTGAGCTTGCGGTGCGACTCACCCAGATACGACCTTGGACCACAGTCAGTCACAGATGCTTCAATGAGACAATTGGGGATGGAACAAGATCGCCTCACATGACTAGCGACGGCAAGAACGCGCGTGTCGGGTACTGGAAGGTCTGGCGCCATTGCGTGACTGATATAATCTAGGTGTACAGTCTATGTCTCGGTGTAGATCTCAGATATCAAAAAGGAAAATATCGTCCGGATCTCGGCGGTGGGTGGGAGTGTCAGTCAGATATCGGAGATGTCAGGTACCGATGCGCGGCAATTCCCTCGTCTTGTAAATATTTAATAAGAACTCAAGGAAAAAGTGAACCAAGGACAAAGGACTGCAGAATCTATGTATGAGTCAAAACAACGATAACGCAAATAGAGGCGTAGTATATCCCGAGTATCCACGAGATTTTCCAACCGTATCTGTTGTTGGTCTTAAAAGTGACTAAGTGAGATTAGGACCTGGATCGATACAATGCGGTTCCAGGTTCTTCTAGGCTCTCTCTCTGTCTGCTCTGACGTTGCCTTTCCGCGCCGTCCAATCCGACGTAGGTTTTTCAAGGGTCCCGTCCCAGGACCAGATTGACCCCGCCAAAGGACGCCGAAGAACCCCGCACTAGAGCGATTTTGGAAGTCCAGCGTACGCAAAGGGCGCGTGCAGCTGGCCGCAACTGGCGGACCTCAATGCGGCCATCTCACCCACAGAATCGATCAGCTCAATGGTCCTGATTATGAGTTCATGGAATGCTATTATTTACGCAGAAACAGTAATCTCATTATTGTCGTGGTCCCAAAAGTGCTTTTCGCCCTTCGTCTACCAACATATTCCGCATAGTCTCTAGAACATGCAAAAAAGTCAATCCAGAGTAAAAGATCGGGCCCCAATGCCCGTCTCTGGTACCGTGCAACGCCCGCATTAGCATCTTCATTCCGTCATCAATCAGTTTTTTACTCCTCGTCACCAATCTAGGGCCACGTTAGCTTCCAGACTCTCGATACATCAATCCAAGATAACACACCTTCGGCGCCAGGTAAAAGCGCAGGTAGCTCTGGCCCACCAAAGTGTACTCAACCAGCAGAGGCACCTCGTTGGACAAGCAGATCTTGACCTGCTTAGAGAGGGCTGCGGCCTTGCAGAAGTTGATGAGGTACTTGACGGAGAAGGTCAGGGAGACGGGCTCGGTAAGCTCAATGTCGACGTTCAGCTCGGGCTTGTCGACGTTGGTGTGGCTTCGCAGAGTGACGGATCCGTTACCAATGTCGCCGTTGGCAGAGAACTTGACACCGTCCTTGTTCGCATCGATCGTGACTATGACACAGACGAGTTAGTCACCGACAAGAACGTTTCACCGCCATTGGGAAGCTTACCGGACTCGCTCATAGCTTGCAAATCCGTGCAGATGCGTCTGAACTCGCTGCTGGGCATGGAAATGGTTGAGGCATACTCCGTCTCGGGGATACCCAGGTGCTCCTGGTCAATGTCCATCAACTTGAGGTCGTACTCGCTGATGCGGTCATGCTCCGAGCTCTCGAAGACGACGTTGAGGCTGTCCGGGGCGTCCTCGGCCTTGAGGGTCAGGACGTCCTCGCCTTGGGCGGCGCGGAGGACCTTTTGCAGCGACGCCAGGTTGACGCCGAGAGCGATGTTGCGGTCGCAGCGGTAGGGGGAGAAGGCCTCCGTCTTGAGGGCCATGGACACGAGCGCGACGTGCGAGTTGTCCATGGCCTGCAGCATGATGCCCGAGTCATTGCAGTCGAAGTTGCAGTCCTGGACGAGGTCCTTGATGGCGTCCACCACCTTCTTCAGGATGTCGGCCTGGTCGAGTCTGGCTTCAAGCATTTCTGCGCAACGTTAGCATCTGGCGTGTGACGGTTGGACGAGACGAAAAATCGGTGAGAGCAGGAAATCACATACTGGCTGATTATTTGCGTGAAAACGAGGAGAAGGGGGTATCTTAGATATTCAAGGAAAAGGAAGACGAGGCGCAGAGGTGATCGTGAGCTTTGGCAAAAGTTGAGCGGTAGAGGGGTTGGTGTAGGAGAGAGAAGTCTTGTCGCGGTAGCACTTTAATGGGCAGACACGTTGCGCGTGGTGGGCTCCTACCAGGAGAGACGCGTCAAGCGTTTAATAGGGCTCGACGCCAACCTAACGCGCGGGGCAGGCAGAATTGATGATGGCACGTGCGCCTGCCACCGACGTAAGGCAGGTGGCAGCCACATCGATCTAAGAAAGCTGGTCCGGGCTCACCGGACTCCTGGCGGACATTTTGGTCAGGGGCATTTCAAGCCCCTGAATCGCAGTCCCCTTTCCCTTACCCTGGCAACCAGTGTTCTTTGTTTAATATGCTTGCAACAAAACATTGGCAATAACACGAAGAATGTGCCAAGTGTGCTCATAGAAAAGGAGATATATGTTCATAGACTTTGATTATCTATTGATACTAGTAGTCTTTTACAGTTTCTGGCTCAGTACACATAGCCTACCATCAACGTCGTCATAGAGTACAAATGAACGATTTCAGTGAACAATGCCTCCCACCCCCAGGTCCCAAATCCCAAGTCCCCTTCTATATGCAACCGGCAAATCGAAGGTGTTTACACGGATTAAATATCAAACAATAAGTGCAAATCAGAGTCCGAATGACTGCGTGATTGATTAGCTGGTTTCTCCTGTCCCAAAAACGCCCATTATCTGTCGTCAAATGTCATGTGCTCGTCACATCGAAACGATGCGTGGCGGGTTCGCTCCAGTGCGTGCACGGGGTCGGAGGTTGATGACCATCTCAAGCTCCTTAAGCATGCCCTTGTTGGCGTCGGCCTTTTCCCTCAACGATTCCCGCTTTTCCCGGTCTTCTCTCATCTTGATGATGCGCTCTTCTCTTGTGAACAGGCTTCTGGGTCGCGGTTGTGCGACGGCCTCGAAAACCTCCTCCGTGTCAGGCTCTCCCGTGCTACTGAAGTCCAAAGTGGATGGCGACTCTCCGTTTAATGCTTTCAGGGCGTCAGAAACACCACCTTCTTCAACGGTAGTCAGCCCGCTGAGGGAGCTTGCAGGAGAAAGCAATGTGCTCATGGATGAAAGCCTCTTCTCGTTGCGATCGATTCCCACCGCAAGTGCGGCTTTGCCTTCCTCCCAAGCCTGCATCAGGATCTTCAGGTCCGCACCGATGGATTCGTACTGGGCCATCAGGTCGGAGCCTAGTTCGGTAATGTCGTCGGATTCGTTGAGGCTTCGGTCTGATTCCTCGCGCAGTAAAGTCAGCTTGGCCTGAAGGCCGCGAATTCCGCTCGACAAGGAGTTCAGTTTCCGAAGTTGCGATCTCCATCTCTCCCTACCCGGCGTCAGGGGCATCTTGGGAGTGGGTGGCGCTGGGAATGCTACGGAGATGTCAGCTACAAGGCTTGATATGTTGTGGGCAGACCACTTACACTCTTCCTCACTCAATAACCTTCTCATTCTTTCGAATGCATTTGAAGTCACCGAGTTGAGCGTGCGTACAGCCTCGACAATTGTCGTCCATCTCAACAGATCGCTGCTATCGCCGCTTGCGTCCAAAGCCAAAAGCGCACACAAAAACATCTTACGGATGGTGTGGAACCGTGCGGCAAGAATCTTGAGGGTCCTCAGGGACTCGGGATCGTCAAACTCGTTCTCGTTGAAACCCTGTTTGGCGTCCGACATGTCGAAATCGCTGATGTCGTAGATGTCGTAGTACTTCTCCAAGTCGAGTTGCTCCGAAAACCCCTTAACCACCAACATGGTCTGATCGTAGGCTGGAATGACATCTGCAAAGGAAGCCCGCAGGGCTTTGCGCAAGCGCACGCACTTTCGAGTCTGTGAGCGGTCCTCGATCCGACTGATGGGCGGCAGTGGCGCACTCCTAAAGCTTGTGTCAGCGCATGAAGGCACTCTTAGGATGGTCGGCGGAATCAAGAAAAAGACAGAACTTACAGACGGTAGCCTCTGGACACGAGTTCCACCTCCTGCACCAGTGCGATGGCTGCACCAGTCGCGTTATCGAATTCCTGGGAGTTTGAAACAAACGCAGTGACCTCAGACAGTGCTTGCAGCCGTCTGTATCTCAACCACTGCCTCCGCATGTACACATGGGCGATCCCTGCAGCGATCACGGCCACAAACACAATTACCGCAACTCGTTTCTTGTTCAAAGGCCCTGTGCCCGCAAGCCAGTTGATCGTGACAGCCAAAGCCAATGCGCCCAACACAGCGGCGACAGCACCGGTTGAGTCCAACAATTTCTCGGTCGAATTGCTGTCAATGGCAGCATTGGCAGGCCGGGATGATGCATGGTGCTGGGATAGTATTGAGTGTCCACTCAATAACTGGGATGCGATAATAGTATAGCGAAATTGCTCAAGGAATTTGGAGTTGTCGGCTCGGTCAATCCTGGACGCTACCGCTGTCTAAAAGAGGACACACAACACCAGTCAGTAATTTCCCCATGTGACACGGAAAGGGGAATTCGGGATGCGCACAGAGTAGCTTTTCCTGTATGACTTGTCGGAGGACTTTGCTGGTATGTTTATTTGAAGGGGATTGTTCCGAAATCTCGACCTGACCATCGGCCGACCTGTCGGCGCGAATTCAGGGCTCGAGGGAGGCGTCATATCGTAGGCTGGATCGTCGAGTGCCCATCCGGCCTGCTCGTCTTCGCCTTCATCTGCCACGCGCGCATCGTCAGTCGTTGACTTCGCAAGCGGTTGGTTCGCGGGTTCCGGAGAGCTGCACTCACCACGAAGATAGTCGGCGAGCGGCGTCTGGTCGAACACAACGGGCTCCATCTAGCGACCTGGCGGCAAATATCGACGAGGCACCTGCAAGCAGCGCGGCCATCTGTCGCAGTCGTCGGTCTCTGCAGTCGTCGTGTTACCGCTGCGTCGTGGGAACGTGACGGACGGGGAACGAGGGGTAAATGCGATCAGTAACCATGAACAAGGTCGAATTCAGTGTTGGAAACGTAAAACAAGCTCGGTAGGCGTATGGACGGTCCTCGGGGATATATACGGTAGGTTCGTGTAGGATACGTAGTGTGATGGCGGCGGGTTGCACAAGGGGGGTGGAAGGGAGAGTTGGATGCTCAAAGCGCCGACCCGAAAGTGACCAGACCGCGAGTGACCAGACCAGCTGTTATTCGCAAATGGGGAAGGAACCTGTACCCCTGGCCCTGTTACCGATTAACGTGCAAGGGGTAGGTCGGTCCTGGAGCCTCGGTGGGGTGCGCGACCTTGTGATCTGCCCCAGCCAACGGAGCGAACGGCGACGAGACCTCACCGGAGTTCAACTGTGGCTTGTGCGCCGCGCATTTCGTTAGCCCGTCTGCAGTGTACTGCGCAGGTATTATTTGCATATTTTTAAATTTGGTACATGGGACGACACGGGGCGGAGCCGAGACCGACTCTCCACCGGCCCGGGAACCCTGACGCTAACGTGTCCGATAATCGAGGAATTACGTTACACCGCGAACCGAGATTGGAGCCACCTCAGCGACCAGGCAGGTCACAGTGGAGTGCAGCTGCAATTGAGGCGATCCACCCACCGTTGACAATTACATAATCCCACTCGCCGAGCTACAGCTCTACAACATTGAACCGACATCACACATTCGAGCCCCCCCCCCCCCCCCCCTCCACGATACGCATCAACTGCGGCAGCACAATAACGAGACCGAAGGAGCTTCCGTGTGGCCCCGACGAGACCTTCTCATAGACTTGAAACCAGACCGCAACCGCAAAGATGCCGACGGAACGCGACTACCAAATCTCACCAATCGTGCAGGAATCCGTGATGCACAACACAAAGGTACGAAAGCTTCCCGAAGGACGCCCTCCTCTGCGTCATCGACCTTCGCTGACACTCGCCTTGTTTCGCAGGCCCTCTCAAATCTACAGAGTCTTACAGCCTCGCTGTTCGGCGTTGCCGCAGGCATTCTCGGTCTCGAATCCTACAGCGGTTTTCTGTTCTACATCCTATTCTCCTTCGTCACCGTGTTCCTCGTCTACATCTTCCGGATCGCGCCGGAATCAACATCGGCGGGCTTGCCCTTCCTTAGTACCAGCCGATACTTCAGAGGGCCATTCGAGTTCTGGACAAGCGGCTTGCTGGGTGGACTTTCCGGTTTTATTCTCACATGGACACTATTCTACGGTCTTGTACGGGCATGATGATGCAAAGGGGAGCGAATCGCATGGCTGGTGTCTGGGCGTTGGGGCATTCCTCGTCGACTGCGCATGAGAGGCTAAGGAAAAGAATATATTACGACACAAATACATAACGAAAGAAGAAAGCAATGCTAGCAAGGTACTCCAACACGCAAAACGGCTCCCGCTGTTCATGGCGCCGCTGCAAAACACAACCGAACGATAGCACCTCGCTTGTAAACTAATCCACGATTTCCACGACAGTGCCCACAAAGCCCTCCAATCCGGATTTGTCATTGCGACCTCCCTCCAACAGCAGGATTTGCGAGCCCATCTCGACCCATTCTCGGCTGGTGAGCAACTCTAACGTAACCTGAACGCCCCGCGACATTATTGCGTCTGAGGTAAGCGCTGGCTCGTCATGCTCGTTCATACTGAAGATGTCTTCGTCGTCATCCGCTGTCGAATGTCTGGGGTCATCAAGGCGTATCCTCGAAACCCCCATCACTCGAGCTGCAGCCCGGACGCTTCCAACATACACGTTGACCAGCGATCCATATGTCAGAGACGCCGTATGCGCGTCTTCGAATAAAGCTGTCAGCCCACTAGCGGCCTGGAGGGACATCCCTGTATCTATCATGTGCTTGGATGGGATTGAAAGAACCATGCCTTTCCTGATACGAGGAGCATTTGGTAGTCGCTCAAAATCTCCATCATCTGGACCCTCAAGGGGTATCTCGAGAACGATACCGATGGTGCCCACTTGTCCAGCTTCCAGTGTATTGACGGGAAGCCTCAAGTTGCGTATGCTGACTATTTTGGCCTTGTGCCATTCGCCTTTGATGGTAGATGCCGCAACCGTATTACGAATCGCAATCTTGGCCAACTCGGCGGATGACGGGTGAGATATGGACAAGCCGTAGTTTCCAGGAGAAGGTCGATCCTCTGGAGTCAGGCCCTTGAAATCATCATCTCCAGACGGAAACGGTCCGACAACAATACTGTCTCCAACTGAGAGCTGCCCGAATCTCAGGTAGCCAGACACCACAGTTCCCATGTCATTCTGATTAGGGTTCTCAGCTAGCGAAGCGTAGGACGCGGGAAGACTGAATGTGTCGTCGACGTGGAAGAGACACGAAGGCTGCTCGGGGTTCAGAGCCATCCCTACAAAATCATGCGCTGTCGGTGCCGGTGGCAAGGGCAGATTCTCTAGCAGAGCATGCGCCAGTCCAATGCCTGAGCCGTTGACAGCGCTTGTGAGGACGATCGGTACGAAACGAAGCAGATCACCACCCTTCTCCATTTCTGCCGTTAGAGCTTGAGCTTTGTCCAGATCTGCGGAGGGGATAGTGGGCCACTCTTGGGCACCTCCTGGGACGGGCTGCAAGATTTTGGGAACCCTCCCTGCTGCTTTTATATGCGTCAACAGTTGTCCAAGAGTCCGCTGTATGCTCGTTTTAGTTGCCAGGTCAAGTTTTGTGATGAAAATGACCAAGGGATTCTTAAGCTTCAGGCATAGCTCCAAGTGAGACTTGGCGAGGTCAACTCCAGCTCCTGCGATGCCAAGAACTTCATTGGCCGTAGAGCTCGCACCATCTTTCGTCGAGCTGGCTTCGGCGTCATCCGCAGCCAGACACAAGACTGTCCATTGTGGTGCCCAGCCGAACAGGCCCCGGAGGATGGTGCGCCGGTACCGTGGGTGGCCAGCAGAGTCGGAGACAAAGACCAGCCGTCCATTCTCGGCACCATCGTGAATGTCTATCCACGATTCAACGTGGTCTTGAGAAAAGTTGAAAATATCATGGTTCTTGTATCCAATCAGTTCCTGTGCCACCGAACTGGTGAGGCCGGATGCGACCTCATGCCGATGCTTGAATAGACTGATACGACTCTTTCCACGGCCGTTGTCGAGGGTGCCAGTGGATAGCGTGCCCAGGAGAGTTGATTTTCCCGATGTGGTCGGTCCTGTGAGCGTTATCCTGAGCTGATCCGTGGTAGAGCGGCCCCTGCTGGGTAGCACGACAGACTCATTAGCCCTTGGCGAGTGTCTCGTATCTCGTTGTCCATTTCCAGGAGCTTCTGCTGGGGAATGCTTTGCTGAGAAGTCCGGGGTCACTAATGCCTCGACCACCCAAAGTCTTGCTTGCCGTCCAATTTGCGCTGGCTGCGTTGCCACGTTGTCGACTAACTCGGATGTCTCAAGCCATTCGCATTCTCCCACAATGACATGACGGAGTATCTCCACTCGGCAACCCAGCGTGGCTGCCATAACTCTCAGGGTGGTGATACTCTCATCCATCTCGTCTTTGGTCAGTCCAACCAAGGTTCCGTCATCGGCCACGCCAATCTCGTACAGCGCGCCGCGCGACTCCTCCAAGCCTGGAAGCGGTTTCTGCGGCGTCGTGGCCTGGCTCAAGTCGGCTGTGTCATCCGGAAGTTTTGGTACGATGAGGTCTTTTGGGTTCAGAGCGTGATAGGCGCAAGACTGCTGTAGTCTCCATAGCAGTTGTGTGGTGAGTTGTTGTAGGCGGACCTGACGACTCTGGCTGGATGCTGATAGTGCCGCAGGAATAATCTTGGCAGGGCGAATTCCGGCGGCGGGTATCTTGGGATGCTGAGAGGGTGGCCTGCCGATGGTGCTCATGGACGTATAAGTTCTCCGTGGCCGCAAGAGCAGATGAAGCTTGTATTCAGTCGGCCCTTCTTGAGGCTCAGCTTCGAGCTTGGTGACTCCATAGTCAGAGAGATGGCCAGGCTGGGGCTCTCCATCCTCTGAGGTAGGCTGAGATTTCGGCTTCCTCCCCGGCTCTTCTGGAGCCAACCACGGGGAAGAGACCCGTTGGGGGTCGGTATCGAAGGTGAAGATAGATCCGGATGCCATTTCCGGTGATTTGGCGGTGGTGAGTGTGCTGAGGAACTCTATATACGTAACTCTGGGAAAATCAGACGTCGTAATGGATGTAAATGCCGGTTGTGATGAGCTATTGCGGAAACAAGGATGGCAGAACGAGTCGCTATGCGCGGTATCATTTTGACAGCTAAAGGGTATCGTTTCTGGGGGAGGCGATGATCAGGGGCTTCGTTGCGACTGAAAGGCGCCGAAAAGAGCACAACTGAGGACCTAGTTGAAGGCCATTGCGAAAGCGCGAACAGGATACAATGGATAAAGTGATGTTGCGGGTTGAGGATTGCGGGGGAGGTCGGCCGTTGATAGCGCAAGTAATGTGAGGATGACTTGAGTCGACGACGTTGAAGTTCTCGAAAAACGGTATGACTCGAAGACGGTGAGGTCTCAGTCAACCCGAGGTGTGACGCAGCGGCGGTCGCTGGTATCGAAGAGTGGCTTTACCTGCGGAGAAAGTGCGGATAACCAATGGAACCCACTGAGCTACGCTAGCCCGGGCGCCTTCAAGGTCCTGCCTGTGGTGATTAACCACGTCCTTCCCCATTACTTCTGCCATGCAATTCCTCTCGCTACCTAGGAGATGCCGCTACTTCACAACGGCTGGTATCAGCAACGCGCCATGGCAGATTCAGGTTGCTCTGGGGGACGCTTTCTGATTATGTGTTGGATTAATGGAGATTTTCACTCGCTGATGGCCGATCAAGTCGGTGAAGACGAAAACGACTGCTCTCGCATCGGTGCAGCAGCTTAGGTACGGCTGCAATGTCTGACTCCACCTGCTGCAGAGTCCAGGCCCACCTAGGTAGGCACTTTGGCACTCCAGATCTTGGCCTTGTACCTAGGTAGGTACCTCTTCTACTTCACGCATCTAGGGTCTTCCGCCGCTGTTCTCCTGGAACGAACGACGGTCGGCATCGGTTTCGGTGATCATGCAAGTCCTGCTGATCTCCTTTCTCCTTTTTGTCGAGATCAAATGCGGAGCCTTGTGTGCGGTCGATAATGGGCAGAATGCTGAGTGGATACGAAGCATTGGATAGCATGACTATTTTATGCTTTCACGGGCACAGACAGACGCACTCAGCTTACACATGTTTGACCTTGTATCTGCTGCATGAGTGATATCAGCAGAACCGTGGTTGCGGATAAGACACGCCCGAGATATAAGCTGAAAACCTATGTCAAGACAATGGACGAGAAACACGGAAGCCTATGCCCTAGGCTGGGTCAAGCAAGGAGGATTGTCATAGGCTCGTGGCGGCCATCATTGTAGAAGCATTCCTATCGTGGCTACGACACTCGGAACTATTGACAAGTTACCTTCCTTCGCACCTGTCATCAGTCATACTGCAGAATCACGAATCGCTGGCCAGCAGAAACAGCGCTGAACCCGGTTCATTGCAGGTCGGCTGCATGTTGAAGCCGGCGCACGCCAGGTCGCGCTGTTCGCTGGACGCCACCCGGCCACCCCAAGCCCAATCTTTTCCACATCTCCGTCAGGTCCTAAACCGCCTGGCCTGACGAATGTTTTATGGCTTAGACCCTGAGGGGCGCACCCGCTCGCCTTCGAAACACACCCAAGACGGTCCCGATTTTGCCACATAAAGCTGCCCGCAGACGGTACTTACTCCAACCCCCTGCAACCTACCCGCTTATTGTCCCCAGTATTGTTCCATCCATCTTTAGAAGGCTGCCTCTGCTACACCGTGTCCGTCCCTCGATCCTGCTTCTCGTCTCCTTACTTTTTAGATTGACTTTCTGCAGAGCACGTTGTCTGGTGTTTTGCTTTCTTCCAGAATACCTGTCGAGCATCAGTCGACCGTCATTCTACTTGAACACCTATCGATTCTCCAAACGTATACCATCCTACCTCAGCCACCATGAAGAAGTTCGGTTTCGGCAAGAAAAGCGGCGACGATGGCGGTGACGACGCCGGCCGTTCTGCTCTTTTCGGTCGCAAGAACAAGTCGCCAGCCCCCGGCTCCGACAATCCGTACGCTCAAGCACCTGCTGGCAATGACCCTTACGCCCAAGACACCAACAAGTATGCCAACATGACGCCCTATCAGGCAGCTCGAGCAGGCGCGCCTGGTCCTGGTGTTGCTGCAGGTCTCCCTAGTGGTCCTCGCGCTGGTGGCTACGGTGCTCCTCCTCAGCCCGCGGGTGGTTATGGTAATGAAAAGTACGGCGCCGCTGGTGGCTACGGGGCCAACCGGTACGGCGACGACAAGAACGCCTACGCAGCGAACAACTACCCCTCAGGAGTCTCAGGAGGGGCACGCGGCCCTGGTGGCTATGGAGGCCTCGGCCGCACCGACAGTAACGGCACCGACGCCCAGCGCCATGATCTTTTTGGGGGTGCTCAAGATCGCTACCAGCAGAAACAGCAACAGCAACAGGGTGGCTATAACGCAGGCGCTTCTGGCGCTGACGGTGGATATGGTGGCTATGGGGAGCAACGAGAGCTCACGGCCGAGGAACAAGAGGCGGAGCAATTACGTGCTACGAAGGAACAGACCAAGGATCTCAGAAACGACTCGGTGAACACACTCGGCAGAAGTAACGCACAAATCAATGCAATCGAAGAGCTCGGTCGCGGAACTCTCGCTAGACTGGGTGCTCAAGGCGAACGTCTGCACAACACGGAAAAAAACCTGGACTTAGCGGCAAACCACAACAAGGTTGCAGAGGAAAAGGCCAAAGAGCTCAAGACTCTGAATCGTAGCATGTGGGCAGTTCACCTAGGCAACCCCTTCACATCCAACAAGCGCGCCGAGGCGGCTGACAAAGCTGTCGTTGAACGTCACCGTCAGGAACGCGAAACCCGAGAAGCTACCCGAAATGCGGCTTTCCAATCCAATCAACGAATGGAAGAAACCTTCCGGGACATGAGTCTCTCCGGCCGTCCCCAGGCGAAACCGGCTGGCATGAGGAGCCAAGCTGAAAAATCCAAGTACATTTTGGAGGACGACGACGAGGAAGAGACTGCGGAGGCCGAGCGGCAGGAGAGGATTATCGAGGAAGGCATCGAGCAGCTCTCGAGGGGTCTGGGCCGCGTGAACCAAATTGCCCACGCTCAGGCAAAGGAAGTTGGGGAACAGAACGTCACAATTGAGAGACTTGGCAACAAGGTATGTCGCAACTTGTTTCATTCACGCTTGCTGTACATGCGCTGACTGTATTCTCACAGAGCGACGCCGTCTCCGACGGAACCGTGATGAACAGGGCCCGTTTAGACCGCATAAGGTAGGCAAAGCAGACGAAGCCGTTAAACTATAAGAGGTGGCCACAGATTTGGGAAGCTGGCTGCGAAAGACAAGACTACCGGCAATGGCGATTGACGAGCGGAAGCACGAATAACCTATTTAAAATGCGTGTAACTACTGCTATACGGAGAGCTGGGTTCGACGGAATCAGAAGTCCTCCAATTTGTAGACCTCGTACGCTGGAACTTCATATGGGTGAGCGCTACGGTTCTTGTGAGCCTCGGTCGCAAATAGCTCAACAGCAGTGTCATACCTTTTCAAAGCGGCCACGGCTGCGCTCGTGACATCACGTCCAGCGCAAAGAATCTCGACTCGATACTCAAGGACCCGCTCAAGCTGGTCGACGGAGCCGGTGTGAGGGTTGGCTCCTGCTGCTGCTACAGGCATAAACTGGCCTTGGCCGGTGAGCTCAAAGGCTACCTGAACATATTTTCCTTCGTCGTAGACACCTGCCCCGGTCTTGAAGATGGCGTCCTTGGTGTCTTTCAAGTGAGAAGCTGCGTGTGACAGTTAGAAAGAAGATTGCTAAACTCAGCGCCCTGCATTCCGGGTTTGAAACTGACCCGGAACAGTGTAGACGAGTTTGTATTTATCCGCCATGGTTGTGATTGTTCGAATATGTGTTGGCCTGATCGTTGGCTTGAATCTTTTCTGATGGAGGAAGAAGGCAGCACGGGAGAGGGGAAGTGCGCGAGAATGGCGAGAAACGCACTGAATGCGGATGAAGGCGCCTGACATGATTATTTAATTGGCATGAGAAGCGACAAGTAATACAGACGGGATCTTCCCGCAGCACCTCTGCCTTTTATTTGGATGTATGAAGACCCCAAATCATCTCAAAGTCCCGCATTTAAGGTAAGCACACTCCCCCGCGGTTATTCTTTCCTTCCAGCTAATCCTCGCTATCTCTGTTGTTACCTTTATTGTTGGTTGTTACCTTTATTGTTGTTATCCTCGTGACCTCTACTATTGATTGCCCTTGTTAGGTATCCGTCGTCACTTTTCAATTATTCCACCGGGAATACAATGTAATACCTAGATAGGTGGACCGTCGGGTAGAGTGGGTCAAATTACGGGGCTGCCCGAGCCCAGCACCTCAGCACAGGGTGCCAGGCACACTGCAGGCTCTGGACTAAGGGACCCTCAAAAATTCTTCTTACAACCTACCGTCGTTCAACCTCAACCACAAGTTGCTGCTCCGCGACTCTCAATAATACGCCGTCGTATACTCTCACAATGTCGCCAGCGTCAGCGCCAGTACCAGCGCCGGACGGCGGACGCGCCTCAAAGAAGAGAAAACTCGACGGGAAGAATACCATCAAGGTCGGAAACAAGGTGATATCGTTGGAGGGCTACTTAAACCCTCCGGCCACCAAAAAAGAGACCCCAAAGATACAGGAACAACCCCGGGAGTCGACAGACAAAACACAACCCGAGGAGACGAAAGCCCAAAAGAAGGAGACAGACAAACCTGGCAAGCCAGTCCCGCCTCTGAGTAAGCATCAGTTCAAAAAGCCTTTTGATAAGGGAGGGCCGAGGTCAGCTCAAAGAGGGCCGAGATGGAGGGACGACCCAAGCCTACTTAAGGTCCGACAGAAGTTGCCCATTTGGGCTCACAGGGAGGATATCCAAGAACGATTGCGCCAGAAAGACGTTCTTCTTCTCGTCGGCGAGACGGGTTCCGGAAAGAGTACACAGGTGCCCCAGTTTTTGGTCAGAGAGCCCTGGTGCAAGAGGCAGACTGTGAGCATCGAGGGTGGAAGGGAGGTTAGCGTGGGCGGCATGATTGCGGTTACGCAACCCCGTCGAGTCGCCGCGACGACCCTCGCACATCGCGTTTCTCGCGAGGCCGGAACACCTCTGGGCGAGAGTCGTGAGGGAATGGTCGGATACTCAGTCCGTTTCGATCACCAGGTACCCAAGGGTACAAAGATCAAGTTTCTCACCGAGGGAATGCTGCTCCAAGAGCTTCTTCGAGATCCCAGCTTACGGCAGTACAGCGCCATTGTTGTCGACGAAATTCACGAGAGAAGCGTCGACGTGGACCTCGTATCTGGCTTTCTTAAGCAGATACTTTTGAGCGACCGCCAAGGTCGTGGTGGCGTCCCGCTGAAGGTCGTCGTCATGAGTGCTACTGCCGATGTCGAGCGTATTCAGGGATTTTTCTCGACGAATGAGCAAGGGACAGAGAAGCCAGGAACAGAGGAGCCGGGTGCAGACAGCGACAACATGGAAATCGACGGAGAGAAGCCCAGTTCAGTCGAAGTTCTCAAAATCCACGGCCGCCAATTTCCAGTCAAGATGATACACACCCCCAAACCGGTGCCCGATATCCAGGAGTCTTTGTTGAAGATCATTTTCAAAATTCACACTGAAGAGCCTTTGCCGGGCGACATCCTCGCGTTCCTCACCGGTCAAGAGGAGATCGAATCGGCCCAAGCGCTCATCGAAGAGTATGCCGCCACCTTGGATTCCAACGTCCCCAAGATCAAAGTCCTTCCTCTATATGGTCAGCTCTCCATGGAGGGTCAACACGCAGCCTTTCAGCCTATCAAGGGCATGACCAGGAAGATTGTTCTAGCCACCAACATCGCCGAGACTTCCGTCACAGTTCCCGGAGTGCGGTACGTTGTGGATTGTGGAAAGGCCAAGGTCAAGCAGTTTCGCTCCCGCCTGGGCATGGAATCGCTCCTAGCCAAGCCCATCTCGAAGTCTTCAGCTATCCAAAGGACTGGTCGTGCTGGTCGTGAGGGTCCAGGAAAGTGCTTTAGGCTGTACACTGAGGGAACATTTGGTACGCTTGAGGAAACCGACTTGCCAGAAATTCTACGAATCGACGTCCTGGGAGCCGTCCTCACGATGAAGGCCAGAGGTATTGACGACATTCTCGGGTTTCCTCTGATGGATACACCGGACATCGAAGCCATTGAGCGGGCTCTTGTCAGCCTCCACTTGCTCGGCGCACTGGATGATGATGGTACCATCACTGAGGCAGGTCGCAAAATGGCTGGCTTCCCCATCTCAGCATCCTTCGGTGCTGTGTTGCTAGCATCTGCAAAGCCCGAGTTCGACTGCGTTCTCGAGGCCATTGACGTCATCTCTTGCATTACTTCCGGCGATGACATCTTCCACCAGCTACAATCGGAGGAGCAGCGCGAGGAGATTGAAGAGCTACGGAAGGAACTCTACCGCCGAGAGGGTGATATCCTGACTTATCTCACGACCATGCAGCAGTACGCTGCTGAAAATGCAGACCGCATCCAATGGTGTAAAAAGAGAAAGGTCAACATCCGCAACATGAAGACCGCCCTTAATATCCGCAAGCAGCTGCGCAATCTATGTCTGAAGGAGGGTTTGCTGTCCGAGGCTCCGCCGCCTGATCCTCAGCCGTTCAGCCCTCTTCCGCCTGAGCAGGCCGAATCTTTGCTCAAATGCTTCCTCCGTGGTTTCGTCTACAAGACAGCGATCTTGGCGCCGGACGCGAGTTACGTGACGTCGCAGGGCAAGCACGTCATCGCCATCCACCCCTCGAGCGTGTTGCACGGAAAAAAGAAGGAAGCCATCATGTTCTTGGAGCACGTCTTTACGCAGAAGAGCTATGCAAAAAAGGTCAGCGTCATTCAAGCTAACTGGATCGTGGAGACGTTGGAGGGATCCGGGTAAGATTCTGTGGGCTATGAATGGGAGATATCCTTACTCATGTAGTTTGGGCCGAGACTAGAGCATGTCTCTAGACCATTATAGCCATTGCATGGACCTTACTGTAGCGCAAATAACGCCTTAGTTCTATCCGTAGATCTACATATTTTAATACAAGAGCGTCCTGCTCGTAGACGAACAATTATAGGAACTACGACTGCTCCTCTCCATCACCCTGTTTGCTCCGTTCCTTGATTGCCTGCATCAGCTCGTACAGCTGGCCGACTTGTTCGTCTGCGGCGAAAAGTTAGTTCGGAATTGTTTACCACCCTGATCTTGACTCACCGCTCAGCTTTGCGACCTTGACAGGGTCAATCTTCTCACCCTTCCACTCGTCGCCTTCAACCTTTTGCGCGTATAGTTGCCACTCAGTTAAGAAACCGATCTGCCGATAATCATCAGTATCTTTGTTGGGAGACTTGGGGGAAAACAACACACCAGATGCGCCGGGTTGTCCACCTTGCGGTGCGCGCGGAACTCGGCCTTGATATACTCATCGCCCAACAACCGCATCTCGGTCGGGAGATGCTTCCTGTGCGCGCGCAGGAGTCGCCGGTAGAGCGGGATGGGAGGGAGCAGAGCCATTGGCGCAGGCGAGAGGCCGGGCTTTGGTGTGGCGGCTGAGGCCATCCGCAGGATTGAAGAGGGACGCATTGGTGACTTGCTTTTTTTCGAGAGACTCTAGGATATGTAGCTGTGAATATGGTGTGTGTGATTATCTGTGAAACTAAAATCGGGGCGTTATGTCGTTCGAATCTCTTGTCTTTGGCGTTGTAGCCCACGATCTGTAATGACGTTTCATGGCGTTTAGCACGAATTTCCCGAGGTGAGGTCAACACTAAGGTCCATACAGTGTTGATAGTGAAGCATCCGCACTGACATCTCATCTCAATTCCATCGACACAAATAACGAAAGTCAATCACGATGTCTTTTTTATCGATGCCTAGTCAGAACCAACATTTTTGTATTTACTGGTCTCTGATCTCGATTTCATAGGTAGAGTCTAATTCCATGATTTCGAATGCGAATCTAGGTTTGCTTCTTTAATGTAAGTAAACGTCTCGCTCAGCTTGAGACACAAAATTGCTGTCTCCATATTGTAGGAAGCCATCGCTCCCAAAGTCCTCCTGCGTAAGCATCATGGTTTCTCCCGCCATACGAGACAGGGCCTTTCTCGTCCTGTCCGTCAGCGGATGACCGTCGCGTAGCCAGATCTGCCTCCCTTCGAGACAAGACGTCCACAGCTTCTCGGCTTCCTCGTGTTTTCCGCGCTTGACGAGCACTCCAGCGAGTTGGTCCATGGTAGTGAGAGTGTCGAGGTGACCCCTTCCAAGTACCCTCTCGCTTGTCTCCAGAACCTCCCGCAGAATATCTTCGGCTTCCCATAGTTTGTCTAGGTTCGCCCGGCCCATCGCCACGCCGCGCTTCACCTGCAACGTTATCGGGTGGTTTTCATCTCGCCAGTCTCTGTTAAGATCAAGCACCTTGTGCCACATATCGTCCGCCTCCTCGTGAACCCCTAGCTCGGAGTGAATGTTGGCCAAGCTGCTCATGCTGCTCATTGCCATACGTGCAGTAGATTCGGTTATCTTGGATGTGCGGATTTTTTCCATAACGAAGATTTCCAGGGATAACGCTTTAACTTGGTCGCCGAGCATCCGCAAAACGGTTACCAGCGTTGTTGTGGCGCGGCGATAAGAGAGCGAATCCCACCCCCGCTTCTCCTGTTCTTTAATAACATTTTTTAGTATTGTCTCGGCCTTCGAGTACCTTGCCTGTAGAATGTAGACCGTCGCGATGTCGACGAAAATGTTGCAGATGAGGGATACGGGTATTATCACGCCGTCACGGAGGCAGGCCATGATAAACTCAAAGGTATCTTCAGCCTTCTCCAAGCGCCCCCAGTCCCGGTAAGCCTTCGCTAGGTCCCACATGGCCGATATCGTGGCTCGATCGGCGAGACCCAGGGTTTGCTCTCTGTCGAAGGCAATCCATTGCCAGTGGGTGACGGCGTCTTGCCAAAGCCCCAACAAGATGAGGGTTGCCGCAAACTTGCCCTCCTGTTCCGTTCGTTTCATATACTCAATATTCTCTGTGCCTTCGTGCTCCACGCAAGCACGCAGATGCGGTAGCACTCTGCTAGCCCAGCGCTCATCGCTGTGCCCGCTTCGTCTGTAGACAGTAAAGAACAGGATTTCGCGAGCTGCTCGTCGTTGGAATGCTAAAGTCTGAGGGTCCATACGGTCTCGAGCCCAGGAATGAACAAGAATGTGCATCGAAAACCAGCTATTGTTCACTGCAGACTTTTTGATGAGAGAATAACTCTGAAGAACGGTGATACCGCCCACGAAATCTCTAGGATCCCATTCGCCGTTCTTTTCGCGTTGGAGTAGAGGTAATGGGGCTATGCTTTCAGCATCTCCTTCGAGGCATCCTGTTTCGAATTTGTCATAGACAGCCGCTCGGTCCATGATCTCAGCCACAAGGGCCTCGTTGTTGTAGAAGCAGAAGATACAGAGAATACGTATGGCATTTAGAGCCGCTCGCCCTTCTCGGCTGTCTTCCGTTGACTTCTTCTTCAAGGCCTTGTAAGACAGTTCGAAGGTTCCGCACACGGCCGGGTTGTCTTGGAACGCGCCACGGCCCATCGACGGATCCTCCATGAGGTCCTTTCTCCCGGTTCGGAATTCGAACAGATACTGTTCAAAAGTGCACTCCTGCACATCAATATAGGACCCAGCTTGATCGATGGCGAGTGGGAGGTAGCCAAGTTCTTTGACGATCTGCGCAGCCTGTCGGTCGTTGTGGCTGTACAGTGGCTGGTCTCCCAGCTTTGCCGCCCGCAGTAGCAGCTTCTTGGCGTCTGCCTCGTCCATGATGTCGACGGCGTAGGTTTGATCGCGGTCCAGACTGGGCTTGGTGTCTTTTCGTCTGCTCGTGAAAAGAATGTTTCCCGTGTCTCCCTCCGGGATGTACTTGCGTACGTCAACAGAGTCTGTATCGTTGTTGTCGAAAACAAGCAGCCATTCTTCTTGGGGATTCGCGTTGAGCCATTTGAGAACTCCTTCAACATTGGGTTTGCTGGGGTTACCGCCGTATATGTCACCTGTCACTTTTCGAAAGCTTTCGAATATGGAATCTGTGGAGGCAGCATTGATCCAGAAAACTCGGCCAAACCTGCAATGACACATGAGCGTTAGCAGTGAACAGAGTCGGGACGAGTGGTGGGTAATGCATACCGAGACGCATGCAAGTCCCTAAACTTCAGTGCAATCTGCGTCTTTCCTACACCGCCCATGCCCCAAATCCGAAGAAGTCTTCGTGGAGATGACCCAGGCTTACGCTCCCAGAAGTGCTGATCAAGCTTGTCTAAGATGGTTGTTCTACCAACGAACTGGGGACTGGTAATGACTCTATTCCGAGCTTCCTGAACCATGACGTTCTTGAAGGCTTCATACGATGTTGCTCGGCCTGACTTGCGTTAGTGTAACCGATTCTACGTGTGGGAAAGTAATGTCGCAACAAACTTACAGGTCGCTTCCAGAGGCATCTCAGCGCCTTCTTTGTTGTACAATAAGCTGACAATTCTGTCGATAGTAGCCGAGACATCGTCCTTTAGCAGATACTTTTCTGTTGCCTCTCGTAGAAAGCCCATCTTCTTGTACTCGTCCAGCCCGATGTTCGCAGCGCCCCCACTTAAATTGAGGCGGAAGTATGCGTTAGGAACATCCCGAAACCGCTGGTCGAGTTCACAATGTGTTCCCTCGGGGTCTGTCAAGACCATTTTCATGTGTTGGAATACTGGGATGCTGTCGCGAGAGAAAAGAGACCCGCTGAGATTCCGTGTAGATCGTTTCGGAGTCTGCGCAGCAAGCTCAGTCGCACTTTTGGCGTCACCCTTCACAAACGCGGCCGTGTCACCTCTCTTGAGTCCCGTACCCAAGCTCAGAAGAAACCCCAGTTTCCGACTTGAGCCGAGCTGGGAATCGGCCTCATCGAGAACGAGTTTCGCAGGGTTGTTGTGGGCCAGAGCGCCATCGCAATAATATGCCTTTGTTGCCTCAATCTTGATCTCAATAGGGTCGAAGAATCCAGGCGCCGCAGACGTCGCCCGTGCGGCCTCCCAGATTTCGACGTTATGTGCGTGGTTGCTCTCGCCCCTGTACGTGCGGAAGAGATACGCTTCATCCATTTTTGACCTTGGAACGGCGCAGACGAAGGCACGGCCGAGGTCATCTCCCCTTCCTTCGTCGATCATAACGGTTGTATCTAGCTTTTTGTCGGCGACGATATCTTGAATTGCTTTTTCGAGTGTTTTTCGTTATAAGTGCGTTTGAAGCGACGTCGATTGCTGCGTCGAAAAACTCGTTTGGCAAAGGTTTCGTAGCACTCAATGGCCTCCAGGGTTGTCATGTTCATGCGACCGAGCGAAATGGCGATGAGTCTATAAGGTAATTTCTGTCAGCGAAAACTCGTTGGTCATCTTGTTGAGACGGTCCAACCAACCCGCCAGTGCTTGTACCACCTATCAAATGGAAATAGTCCCGAGGCTTGGGCAAGTACTTGAGACCAGCCACATCTTGCAATCGCTTCATTATTGTGTGCAGTATGACGAGCTCAGATATGCCCCTGATCCCGCCGCCATCGAGCGACAGCAAATAAACAGGTTCATCATCAGACATGGCAAAAGAGTACACCACGTAACAACAATGTATATATAAGACAAACAATAAGTGGTATCGTAGAATCGTGTAATCGTAGAGCTCAACAATCAGTATCTCGACGAAATTCCTAAACAGCGGAGATTCCAGGACGCTGGGGGATGAAGTACTTCTTCATTCAACCCAACCAACAACCAACAAGACCACCTCGGAGGCCCAGAAATGCGAGAGAGGTGGACTCATGCAGAATTCATGGGTAAGCGCCCAGCACTCGCGAGCAGCCGGGGTCTGAAGAGGGAGGCATGGCCACCCACTTCGCACCAACGTGCTTAAGAGATTTCCTTCTCCGGCCTCGATGTTTCATCAAGACCGCCGAGCTCCGTAGACCGCCAACTGCGAAGCCACCCCGGACGTCCTGATGACTCGATTCGATCCAAGGCAGCGGTTCTGCCGCCCCGTAGACGACCAACCGGGACATCCGCCCAATCTGCCTGCCCGCAGCCCCCCTCAGACACAGGTGGCTGCGTTGGCAAAAACCTGGACATTGCGCGCTGTTTGCCGCCGGACTATTTTCGAGTGAGAGCACATGCTCGCAGGCCGATTTGCTTTCGTTTCGCTGTTGGGACAAAATGCTCTAAACAATCGCGCTTGCGAGGAGTCGACGTTGATGGAGTTGTCGAATCAAAGTTGCGGTTTAGTGGGCTTTTGGTGCGGTTTGTGCTCTTAAGCGCCGCTATAGGGCGGATCGGACCGCTGAACAAGCGGGAGGGGCGTTCCCTTTCGGGCGAGGTGGGCGGTTCCCACTGTCCCCGGAGGCAGCCATCCGCACCGCTTGCCCCCGGGCCGGGCTTCGATAATGAGACCACTTCAACACTTTATGTAGGCTTGAGTATTCCAGAGGCGCAATCCTCGTTAACGCCTGCCAAGTGGCTTGACGGCAACCAACCCGTGGCTCGGCTCTCAGACATCGAACTCGTTTTGGCGGACCTGAGAACATGTCAATTGTCAAGCTACCTAGGCATCAAAAAGGCTTCTTGCCGTGAGGCAAAGCGACTAGTCGTATCATATGCTGGTGATATTAAACAGATCTCGTATTGATCATGCGAGAGAACCACATCCAAAATCAACGCCTGCAGGACCACCCTGTAAGACTAAGCCACCGGGAATCAGCCCCCATCGAGACAAGAGATCACGACCCTGCCTAAGCCTCCCACGCCTACGAGGAAGGCACTCCGGCTTTCAACATTTCCATCTCAGGCAGCGTGAAGCCATTGCCGAGGTACGCGAACCGGTTCTGCCTCGCGTTCTCATACGTGTACGCCCAATCTTCGCCCCTGAAGTGCTCCAGCATGCGAATAAAGTGCATCCTGCTGCCTGGGTGCAAGCCAGTTACCGGGGCGTGGACCTCGCCTTGCTTGTACCATGACCTGCACCCGCCCGTGAACGCCGTGCGCGGCATGAAGGCCGAGGTGTGCTCGAAGTAGTCCTCCACCGCCGCCTCCGTCGGGGTGATCGACCGAATGCCCTCCGTTTGGCATTTGTGGATGGCTTTGGCGATGTAAGTGGCGATGTGCTCGCTAAGTGTAAAAACATCCCCGTGGGCGATTGGGGCGTTGGGGCCAAGGAACTCTGCGGACAGCTGTTAGAAAATGGCAACACTTGAGTGGCGAGTCTCGACTCACTAAAGTAGTTGGGCAGACCGGCAACAGCGAGGGACATGTACGCCTTGGGCGTTTGCTCTGACCAGATGTCCTGCAAGTTGCCGTGCCGACCAACAAGAGGGAATGAGGGACGGAAGGAAGAGTCGAAGCCGGTGGCGCAGATGATCGCGTCGACCTCGAGAACTTCTCCGTTGTTCATCTCGATCCCCTTGGCCACAAATCGCTTGACCCCGTCCGTATGCAGAGACACGCGCGGGTCGTGGAATGACTCGAGATATCCAGGTGCCGGAGTCAGACGCTTACAACCCAGAGCGAAGTATGGTATCAGTTGTTTGCAAAGCTTCTCGTTCCCCTTGAGCATCGCCGTCATAAACTCTTGCGTCTTGGCCAAAGCCCACTTCTGCTGAGGGCTGCCTGCTATCAAAGCAACGGCAAACTTGATGTTGGAATCCGTCTCGAGTGTCTTTGCAAACTTCTCGTAGAACACCGGGTCACTCTTGAACCGCTCGATCTGTGCTGCCGAAAACCGCTCCTCATTGTCCATCTCTATTTGTTGCAGAAGGGGCGCAGATGGTCCCATCTTCATCGTCGTTACTCGTGGTGGGATGATCAGGGTGGGTGTCCGGATGATGTGGTATAGTTTTTCCACATCTATTTGCTGTAAGTTGGTGTGACGCATGGAAGATGGGCTCATGATACTTACGAGGTCGAATGGCTGGCAATATTTGTACGCCAGACGCCCCATTGCCAATAACGGCGACTTTTTTGTTTGCGTAATCAAAGTCCTTGGGCCAGTTCGCGGTGTGAACCAGTGTTCCCTCGTAATCTGAGATGCCATCCACGTCCGGGAATTTCCATTTGCTGCTCAAGTTAGTTTCTCGTTTCGACATGACACACATTCAAGACATACTTCAGAATGCCCGTGGCATCGATGATGAAGTTGGCATGATCCTTCATCACAGAACCAGTCTCAAGATTCTTGACCTGTACCTCCCACAGGGCTTTCGATTCGGACCAAGAGGCGGCAACAATCTGGTGTGACGTCTTGATGCACGGCCGCATGTCCTCATCGTCGCATATCTGGCACAAGTACTGCTCAATCTCTGCTGCAGGAGCAAAAAAGCTTGACCAGGCAGGGTTCGGCCTCCAGGAGAACTGGTAGTTGTGGCTGGGCACATCGCACTTACAACCAGGGTAGCGGTTCTCGAACCACGTGCCTCCAACATCGGCGTTCTTCTCGTAAATGACAAGCTCGTAGGTCGAGGCACCTAGAGTGTTTCGGAGAGTACGGATCATGTTGATGCCGCTGGCTCCGGCTCCGATGCCGATGATGCGGATGGCCCGCGGTGTTCCGAACGGGGCTTCGCGCACCGAATAGGCAGTGCTGGAGCGGACCGACTTCCCGGATCCGCTGCCGTGGCCGTCGACATGGCGAGAAAGTTGGGGGATGAGTTGGCGTGTCATTGTGATGTCGACTTCCTCGTTGGTGGTTGGGAAAGAAGGGAAAGAGCATGTGGTTTATATCCTGACTACGAGGGACTTGGGACCTTTACTACCAGTGAGGAAGGCACCGCCAAGGCCTCGCAGGGGCTTCCTTATCGAACGGGAAAGGACCCGTTGCTGTTGGCCGTTTGGCGGAGTTACGGATGAGGAGGAAGGCGCAAACAATGACCGGGAAAGAAGCGACTTTGGCAGGTTCGGTGCATTGGGCCGTACGGAGATGAGCCAATGAAGGCACAAGAAACAACCGGCAAAGAAACAATGGAATGAGACAAGCAAATGGCAGCAGAGGGAGAAGCAAGCAAAGGTCCATTGACATGGACAGGCCTTGAGAAACATCGCCTGGTTCAACCAAGGCTGGCAAAGTCCGAGAAGAGCCACTGACTTGTGCTCATCCTCAACCAACACCACAACCACACCACCTCACTAGGACAGCAATGCAGACAATCGACTAGCGCAATGGACTCTCGTCACTAAGCATATTAACTCATAGCCAAAAGAGACAACTCACATGCGACAAACCTGTGGAGTTGAGGCTATCCAATGGGTAAGGTCTCCTCAATTGAAGCTAAGTTGCGGGGTCCTTACAAGAAGCACCATTGTTGGTCAATTTACGACGGCCATCTATCAGTCTTGGCTGGTGGAACGGCAAAGCTGTGGCTGCACGTATCCAAAGAGCTTAGGAACAAGGCAGGCCCATGAGCTGAACCGACAGTATGGCTTGCTCGCAAGCCTGCTAGGCTTGTTGCGGTCAAGTCAGTCGCGATTAGCAAAGGGGCACCAGCGGGATATCGTCGTAAATCGTCCAACCACGACGAGTTCCAGGTCGAGGGTCTTTCGGAGCATGGACCCAAGTACGGTGAGTGGCGAATCACGATCCTCGCCGAGTCGGACAATGGAGATCTGGAGCCGAAGCAGGATCGTAGCAACTGCCGCAGACGAAGGACCCGCGAGCGGATCTGTTGACCGCACGAGTAGAGCCTCCATTGGAAGATACCCGGTCCTGCCCCGGCATCATAACGATATGGGACATAAGTTTAGAGCGATGCTTGTGCCAGCATAGGCTACAGCTGTCGGTGACCCAAGTGCCGGTGGAAACCTGCGGGATATTATGGTGTCCGGTTGCGCGAATCGGAGAGTAAAGGCATCATACAGACTTGGGCCCAGTGTCGATCGGCCGCGTGGACGAGATCCGTTGCGCCGCATTATTTTTGGCGGAGAGGCGGTCTTTTCCCGCGTTTGCTGACCACTGAGACACGAGATCTCGCGGGAAGCACGAAGCACAAGATGCACGAGATCCTCTGGTCCCAAGATGGGCAGGGTTGAGTGCGTGGATGGTGTCTGGCAGACAGCTGCAGCTGAACCGTGCGGCGACGACTTGCATGGCTGCCAAGGTCGCCATTCGCCGCCTCGGTATGGGATTTCGGTCACTTTGTAAATGAGCTGCACGAAAGACGCAGTCAGACACGCGGAGGGCATAGACTGGCTTGGATAAGGCAAGGCCTGACGTCTCAGCCTATCATGACTGCAGCTTCAACGCTGTTAGATCCGAACATAAGCACGAGGATCGGCCGAGGACTGAGAAGAGGCTTCGAGAGGCATCGACGGTAAGGTTGGAAAAAGAAAGACATTGTCTAAGGTAGAAAGAAGTTGCCTGAAAGCTGCGCTGCAGAACGCCTCATGGAAAAGCTCTTGTTCATTGGTTGGTTTGCGACGAGACCGCCGGTCGGTGTTGGCGTTGACGGAAGAACAAATAAAACTGATGAGGTACTTTTTAGCGAAGACAAGGGAAGTGCGGTCCTCCCTTCTCTGTTCCAACCAATCCAAACGTTGCTCTGACGCTTGTCCCGGGCTTATCCCGATTGCCCCATTGCCAACTCCCTTTTACCAACAGCACATTCGAAATTCCACGTTCGATAAGATGGAACAGTAGGCTCATCACGGCATACCGCCATAAGGCCTAGATCCGAGCTCGATACCTTATGTCGTCCAAGAAAGACCCGGTGTTGTCCAATTGGTAGTTGACCTCAACACGTCATCGCACAGGAACCAGCCCGAAGCAAGGCCAGCGCGGAAGACATCCTGTTTCGAAGTCGAACAATCAGTCTAGCAACTCTTTGACCTGAAGAATTGTTATAGAGCAGTAAGAGCTTAGTCTCAACTTTCAAGTTTCCGATCGAAACATTAATATTGCATTCTTCATGTGCCTGTTTCCATCCTTCCTTACCTCTTCACGAGCAACATGACGTGGGAAGCACCGCCTTCTGTCAGAACAAGAAACCTTGCTTTGCCGGTGAAGAGTACACCTTCGACTGACCACGAGCACACCAGGCCGACGCAGCTCGACGAAGCTGAAGTTTCTTCGTCGGCCGGCCCCACGATACATCCATCTCTTCCACTGCTCCCACACTGACCGGTTGGTTGGCATGGCGACGCCCTTGAAGGTGACCGTATGCAACGGCTGCTGCGACTTAGCCATAGGCTCGGTGGGATGGAAAGAGATATCAGGTGCGGGCTTCGAGCGGACGCCGGGGTGGAATGGCCTTCTTGCCAGCGGTAACAGTTTCATTGAAGATATCATGCTCGTACGAGCTAAAGCATAGGGGAGATATGAACCATCTTCGAAGCATAGAGACCAACAACTAGAAATTCATATATACCTAGCTTGGTGGTGTCTGATGACGTATCGCACGGTATCGTGTCGCTCTATATTTGGGCGTGATGGGAGCAGATTTGCCAAGACCAAGAGACCACTACATACAACTAATGTCCCAGAAAAAATACAAAATATTTTTCAATAGAGACATTATAATAACGGGCTACAATTACGGTTTAGATATGGCTTCGTGAGCTTTCCATTCAAGTGCGCACGCACCGCAAACAACCCCGCCCCCACATTTTGACAGGTCTCGTCACTAACCTGCGATCTTATCGTACCAAAATTTCATACAACCCCGCGGCGCATCCCACCATCCTTCCACCCAAAAGAAAAAAAAAGAGATGACCTCCTCATTTTCCTTCGGCTTCGGCGGCGATGACATAGAAGAGGACTCCGTACCGGCCTCCGCGCCCGCCGCCCCGGAGCCCGAGACGACCCCGGCAGCAGCGCACTCCGCGGCGGCCGCCAGCGCATCCGCCTTCCCCGTCCCGGGCAAACCACAACTCCCGCCCACCGGCCACGACCTGCGGCAGATGCTCGCCCAGCTGCCGTCCAAAGTCGCCTTCAGCACCCTGGACGTCGCCCTGGACGACGGAACTACTGTCGCGATCCCGCGGCGTGAGCTGTGGGACGTGCGGGTGCAGCTCATGGCCGAAGATGAGGCGGCCAGCGGTGGGGGAGGAAGCGGCGGCGAGGCGGAGGGACTCGGTAGCCACGATGTCAAGACGGGCGTCTATGAGGGCGGGTTCAAGAGTTGGGAGAGCAGCGTCGATCTTGTCAAGGTGCTGGCTAGCGGAAAGTACCTGGATGCGCTGAAGCAGCGGCCGCTCCGTGTCGTCGAGGTAGGAATCTAGGTTTTGGCAGCTGGTGTGCCGTTGGTGGCGATGAAGTGGCTAACACGGGCGCAGCTTGGATGCGGCACGGCGCTGCCATCTCTCGCGATTCTGCTGTGGACGATGAGGGAGCCTGAGGCGAGGTCGCCGCTCTTGCTTACCCTGGCCGATTACAACCCGACGGTGTTGCAGCTGGTCACGCTGCCCAACTTCATCCTTGCGTGGGCTCTGGAACGGAAAGATCAGAACCCAGTGTTGCAAGAGGCGTTTGCGCTCGAAGACGAGCTGGAACTCACGCCCGAGGTGGTACAGCAGTTCCAGGACTTCCTTACGTCTTCTCAAATCTCTCTCAACTTCATTTCTGGCGGTTGGTCCGAAGAACTGGTCGACTTGCTGTACCAGAGCCAGTCCGAGCTGGACAACATCAGCGCCAACAACTTCGATACCCTGCTCCTTGGGGCCGAGACCATCTACTCCCCGTTCGCCCTGGAGGCATTTAACGAGATGGTGTTTGCTATTCTTAGCAAAGAGAAGAGAGAGCGCGGCGGCGACTGCCAGTCACAGGCGCTAGTCGGGGCGAAGAGGTTGTACTTCGGCGTTGGGGGCTCGCTCGACGACTTCGTCGACAAGGCCAGAGGGAAGGGTGCGACAGTGACTCAAATCGCGGAGGAGACGGAGGGTGTCAGACGGGGAGTTGTTCGTTGCACACTGAGTTCTTCCGGTTAATAGACCTCGTTCCAGTCCATGCTGTCGGATGACGCCTCTGTTTACGGTGTTTGTTTGCCACTGCCGCTCGGTGTCTCGAGGGACGAATGCCTTGGCGCTACGGCGTGGTTTTGGGAGACGACAAGCCGTGGCCTGACCTCCAACAGACATTCTAGGGAGAGGTACGAAAGCGTCGCAGAGCGAAATGTTGGCGTCGACAGGGTTCTGGACACTGCATGAGTCTTTAGGAGCTTACCTGTGCTGTGTCTCCTGTCAGTCTTGGGCTTGATGGCATGAACCAAGACCTGTCGATGAATGCTGAGCACGTGAAACGTCAACTCTGACTGATGAGCGCGGTTGAGGCGTTGCAGAATCCTCATTTACCCCGATTTCCCTTTCCCGCGTGCTGCAGCCACGGCAAAGTACCGCATCGCATCGCCAGTTCCAGTGCCGGAATTCCTGTTTGTGGCATCGGATCGCGGCCTTTTACGTCACCCAAGTGTGATTCGGGGAAATGTCCATTCCATCAGGGTGTTATGTTGAAACGCTTCGTGCGACTCAATCCATCCAGCCAAGGGCAGCTTACCACGGGATGTCGTTGGCGTGAATGATTGAACTTTGAACAGGTGCATGATAGTGAGGCAGCACAAAGGGCCAAGCCTGTCACGGAGACACCGCTCTCAGCTTGAAACTTAACTGAAGTCGAATACATTGACTCCCTCGGCTGGTTTCTAAGTCCGACAATTCTCCCCGGCGATTCCCGCGGTGTTGCATTTCGTAATAAACAAGGTCTTTATTGACCGATATCATCGAGTCGTTCGGACGGCACTCGAGCCATGAGATGGCAGGCCGGATGACACAGGCTTTCCGTTGTCGGCCACGGGGCCCTTTCAGATGGATGTCGATGTTCACCAGGACCAGGACCAGATGGAGATCAGACGCATGTACCCAGGGGGGAACAGTAGGGGACTGTGGGTGAGCCGGGAGCTGTTAGTGTCCGAGTCCGTCGATTGGAGCTCAGGTACAAGGTCCATGGCGCAAAATGCAGGTACCGTGCAAGCCGTGAAATAGCGCGCATGCTGGGGAGATTTGGCCAATGTTGGTCTCCACAATGCGTCTCCACGGGGCGCATTGAAATTGGTGTTGTTCTTCCAGATAATTATTGGATGCTTCAGACTGCAATTGGGCGGTCTCGATGCCGTCTATCCCATCGCAAAATCTGTAAAAGAACCCCGTTCGCGGAAGGGAGCGAGATTGCTGCTCTTGCGCGATGTGATGTTGGTGGACAGATATAGACACGCAGCCAATATGCGCATGTGCCGCGCAGCGGGAACGATAGTTCCACGGAGAGAGGGGCCGCTCGTGGAATGGACGGCACGTCAAGCGGGTGCAGGGACTGGACTGCAGGTGAAGAGCAAAATCTTCTCCCTTCGGTTGATCCTCATCAGGCGACGTCTGCCAGGCTCAGGAAGGGAAGCGGAGGCCGCAGGTTGTCACCGTCATGATCGGTGGGAGAGAGTCCCGTTCCAGACTGATGTGCGCGCAGAGTATCGTTGATGGCCGTCGGCCGAGCAGTCTACCTCTCGCAGGTGCGTCAGCTCATTTGTCGAGAGCTAGCATGGAGAAAAGGAACTTGTATTTGCAGCTGACCTCTGTTGTCTCATGCGTACCGTCAGTGCTTCCTCGGACAGAAACAAGCAGCCGGGGTCTCGATGAATGGCGCTATCCGTAGACCTCGACAGCGAGAAACACAGAAGGCTGGGTGACGACGTAAGTGTCGCCGCCGCGTAGCCGCAGACTGGGCCACAATGCCTTTCCGAAGTGTAATTGAGCCCTCCGTCGGCCTTTCTGATGGATGCTTGGAAATACCGACTCAATAGTAGGCGTCGTCACCTCAGTTGGCGTGGTGGGGGAACCTTGAGCTGTCAATAGCAGCCCGCATCAACGATCGGATTAACGACGACTCGTTACTGGTCGGCGGCAAGTAGAGTTTTTGCCTCAAAAGATTCAACACGAGATGGAAAGGAGGGTGGAGGGATGAACGCTGTTGGCTGCACACGCAACAACTGGCTGAGCTGGCTGGGCGTCAGCAGCAATAGCAGCAGGCTGAGGATGCCAATAAGCTCACATTCCCATGGACCGCTGGCGCACAGCGAGTCGCGACATCTTTCGGGCGAGAGATGTGGCATTCGGCGCTGAAAATGAGTCCCATCTCCCTTGCTGCGCCTCAAAAGACCCAGATCGACAGGAAACCCCTCCCCCCCAGGCTCCCACCGTCATCGGGCCAGAACGAGCAAAGCGGGTAAAAAGGACATGGGCGAGAGTCAGGGACTGGCGCAAATCAGGGAAACCGGGGTGTCGAGTTCTTGGGGCCACGCTGGATCAGTTCCAGAGGGTTCCAGCAGGTGTCATTTGCAGTGGACTGAGACGAGATGGGCATTGAATTGTGCCATCGCGAGTGCTAGGCGGTTTGGTGTGGATGGCCGCGGTGGTGGTCGCGGTGGTGAAGGATCATGGAAGAGCCAAGTCAAGGTTCAGGCTTCTTGCCCCAACCACAAGCTGGAAGGGGTTCTTCCATGGACCCCAGCTCGAGAAAGCCAATGGGGGCGTTCGGGCGACTCCGGGGCACATGGAAAGCAACCAAAAGAGGGGGACGCCGTTGGACTCTGGAGGTCGTTGGAAAAGACTGGAGGTTCCTTCCGGGCTGGGCTTACTTTTAGCGCGCAATTGCAACTCGCTATCGGGCGACGGCTCGTACCCAAAGTAAACCGCAGAGGGCTTTTTGTTTCTATCCCAGCTGACGCCTCTTCAAACAAGCTCAGCCAAGGTAGTCAGGCCTAGATGACAAGCTGCAACAGCTGCAACCTTTCCAGGCCAGAAAAGCGTCGAAAGCTGTCCAGATGCAAAGAAAGAACCTAAAAAAGCCGACCAGAAAGACGCACCACAGAAACCTGAAGCTTGGTGCTCGTTAGCGCGTGGACTTGCGGTTCGCCATGTTCCTCTCTGCGACAGGGACCCCTTCCCAAAATTTATCTGCCCCAGTCCAGATTGGGTTAGCCCCTAGCCCCTGTTGCCGGGGTTGCTGGGTACCCACCCAAAGGCCCCAAGGTCGTTGTTGCTGCTCTCTCATTTGCGACGAACTTGGCTGCGCCAGACTGGACGCCTACCACCAGCACACACGCATACGAGCAATAGCTCGCGCGCCAGGTGGGAGGCCGTGGCGGTGATGCCCGCGCCGTGGTTTACAACCAAAAGTGGCTGGAAGGAGCGCTCTCCGCGCAGCGCGGTTACTGTGTTAGCTATTGTTGTGATTCCATCATCGTCCAGAAAACGCCCCAACGACGACGAAGGAAGCTGCGACTGTGCTTTTGTCTCGCCTCCCGTCCTTCCGTTACTAAACTCAGGTGCGCTCGTCTATTTTGGCCTTGATGATCCTCCATTCCATCTTCCCTCTCAGCTCAGACCTCACTCAACACACAAACAAATCTGTCCGTACACACACAAACACCCGGACTTTTCATCACCACCTCACACCACTCACCACACACCATACCGAATACCACACCACACCACACCCCCGGAACACAAATTGCTATTTCCTGGTACCGCCGAGTAATTAGGAAAAGCTCCGTCAGATACCACCATCGCAGGTACCGCTACTGATGTAAGTCGCATGCCTTCGCCAGAACCCACACACCCCCCCTTCCATGCTCTACCCCTGATGCTTCCTTCGCCTAATTTCGCCTTCGACACGGGGAAGCCTTTTTCTACTCCTGGGCCCCCCCTCAGACTCTTGCTCGATTCCTCTCTTGTCTCCCCACGAGCCTTCCCGACATTCGTTGTTGACCTTTTTTTTGCGACTTTACAGTAGTACGATACCTAATACCCAACCAGCTTTACACTCGTTCGCCAACTCGCTACCTTAATCTTCCCAAAAAAAACAACCCAAAAACCGTCACAATGAAGACCTTCACCACTGCTCTCGTCGCCAGCTTCGCTGCCCTCGCCCAGGCCGTCAAGCTCACCAACAGTGACTTCTCCGTCACCGCCGGCCAGCCTTTCACCATCACCTGGTCCGATGCTACGGGCCCCGTCACCCTGACCCTCAAGAACGGTGCCAGCACCGACCTCAAGACCGTTGCCGCTATCACCTGTGAGTTTATTGCTCCTGTATGGCTTGCATTCAGAGCAACACACTGACATGAGCCCCAGCCGGTGCTACTGGTACTTCATTCACCTGGACTCCCTCGGCCAGCCTTCCCTCCGACACCTACGCCATTGAGATCTCCGATGGCACTGAGACCAACTACTCCGGCCAGTTCCCCGTTGTCGGTGCTTCCGGCTCCGCCACCGCCACCGCCTCCGGCTCTGCCAGCGCTACCGCCTCGGCCACTGCCTCCGCTTCTGCCTCCGCCTCTGCCTCTGCTTCTGCTACGGCCACTCTGACCATCACCTCCTCCGCTTCTGAGACTGCCTCTGAGACCGCTGCCACCGCTTCTTCTGCTGCCAACTCTACCATCGCCTCTACTGTCTCCACTAGCACCCGCAGCACCCGTATGTCTTCTTCTCACTACAAACCATCGTGATCATATTGCTAACAAGTGCTCAGGTGTCTCTTCTTCCACCTCCGGCTCCACCACTGCTCCCACCACCGTCCCCGGCTCTGACGCCGGCCGTATTGGCTCCCCCATTGCCCTCATCGGCCTTGCCGTTGCCGCTATGCTGTACATCCAGTAAGCGTATTCGTTACGTGGACATGAAGGGATTTCACGAGTCCCTTGACTGGTATATGATGGGATAAAAAAGGGTTTAATATATGGTAATGCGATCCAGGAACAACAGGATGAGGCGTTGCATTTGGAGCCTAGCTAGAGTAGCAAGGCTCCATCTTTGAAGGGGATGATCACGGCGGATGGCGTACCACTTCAGTGTATTGTATTCAACTGGGTCTGTACACACGCATAGTCAATTATAGCAATCAGATGCATTCAATGCCTCTTACCTTTTGTCTCCCATCCGCACGGGACCTGTTGATCGGTCGCCTGCTCGTCCGTGACCATCTGACGTCCCGATTGTACCACCGCGGGCCCCTCATTTTCCTCCGTGCTTTCGTTGCCTATCTTGGCTGCATGCATGGCATGACCGTTCGTCCTCGGTGACGTGACATGCTGTCCAATGTTCACCGTGCGACACTGCATGCGACCGCTCGGGAGGCAGCATGCAGGTCAATCTGGGGCGCATCCCGCGTCTGTGTCTGGTTCCGAGAAAACAAAGGCCCTCTCCGCGAGTTCGATCGAATAGACCCAAGATCTTCACCAGTCGTTGCATCAGGTCCCTCAAAAAAATGGCATTTTCTCCAGAAAATAAGGACGCAGAAGGCCGATCGATTGAAACAGAGCCTTGGTCACCACCTTGTTCTCCACGTTCAGCGTCAGCGCCTCTCCACATGGAGCCCAGCCGATCTGCAGTCCCTGGTGCCCCCGCGGTTGAAACAGGAGGGAAGGAAGGGAAGCCAGACAGCCAACGATTGTGTAGTCTAATCGGTGGAGCAAGAACGAGGCTGTGTGAGGAGGAACTCACACTGAAGACGTCCAACGCGTAAGAAGACTCTGAGGAAATGAAGACAGGGCTTGCATGTGGTGATGTTGTAGTGCGCGAACATGGCCTTTTTTTTTTTAAAGAAGAAGAAAAGCCTTCTCGTGAAGACAACTCGAGATCCGCCTGGGGCGTATGTTTGTACGTAAAATCCAGATGATGGTGATTGTTGTGGCGTGAGAGAAGTGCAGTACAGAGATGCTGGGAGGTAGAGGAGCGAGGCGATGCCGATGGCCGGCGAGAAGAATGGGCGATGGGCAAAAACGGCTTTAGAAATGCAGACTCTGGCTGCCCGCCCAGTAAACGAAAGAACATGGAAGGTGTTGAGGATGATGCAATGATGGCGACGATCAGGACTTCTAACGCATATTGAACTATATCGTGCCTTGCTTCCACAGCCAAAAGTGTGAGGAAAACCTGAGGAGATGGTAGAAAACAGCTTTACGTATGCTTGTTTTACATGACATCCGGCTGGGGGAAAGGGATCGAGAGGCATATAAACAGAACATATGCAGGACGCATGGTCAATGATATTGCTGTGCAAACATGATCGTAGGAGGGCCTCATAAAACACAACAGTTGTCATAGTAAAGTCTAAAACGTCAATAATAAGGGTCGTAACGTGTTTGAAAAAGACCAGTCATTACGTGACAGTGCCCGAAGAGCAGCTCTGATGTAGATGCAGCGGCGGCGCTTCCTTTTCGTAATCTATGTATGGAATAAGAACAGACAAAACAACCCTGGAGGCCACCCGGTGGTATAACGTGCTTTTTTGGATAATAATACAGTTTCGGAAGGTGTTGTGATCGCCTCAAAGACGGCTCTTGGACAGAGCCTTGGAGTCATCCGACGCGATGAGGACGACGACGCATATGTCGTCGATCTTGCCGCCGTGCCAGTTCTCCTGGGGGTAGTACTTCTGCACGCCCTTGGCAAAGGGACCGTCCACCTTCCGATTGAGACTGGCAGACTTGGCGGCTGCAGTGATCTCGGCCGCCAATACACTCTGAAGCGTCAAGAACTTGGACGGCGGACGCTCCGTGGCATCCTCTGAAGGTTTCGTAAACGGCTTGAGGTTGTCGACGATGCGGATCCCGTTCTTGCTGTTGAACCAGGCGCCCGTCGATGTCATGACGTGGCTAACGATTCGGAGGATGTCCTGGTTGAAGAGGTTGTCCCACACGCCATCCGTGGCGAAGACGATGATGTCGCCATGTCGAAGGTTGTGCTGGGTGACGTCGGCGTCGGCGGGAAAATCGCAAAGGTTGGCGCCGCCGAAGGCCGCCATGCGGGCGGCAACGGCGGGAGGGACGATGGAGAGTTGGTAAGGTGTGTTGAATGCGTGCGTCTGGGGTTCAGAGTAGGTGTGTACGGCGTTCAGGCGGAGCTGGATGAAGCCCGAGTCGCCCAAGTTCGCGACGTCGAGATTTCCGTCTGGCGAGGCTACGGCAACACAGGCGGTGCTTCCTCCGGCAGCGACGGTTTCGTCCTCGCATATCGCTTGGTATCCGGTCTGCATCAGAGCCTGTGCTCTCAGGGTCTCCTTATCGCTTGTGCCCTTCGTCGTAGGGTCATTCTTTGCTGAGCCGTGACTGTAGGCTGTTGAGGCCATGTAGTCGCAGAACCCATGGGAGAAGTCGGCGGGATCGACTCCGGAGTCAACCCAACCACCAACCCCATCGGCCACGCCCAGGGCTACTGCGCCGGATTCGCCTACTCTACTGACGAAGAAGGCATCGTGTCCGCTGTCTGGCCTTGATTTCTTGTTGCTGCGAGTCTGCTGGATGCGGTTGTAGGGGTTGAAGTGGAAGATGTGTGTGGAGGGGTCGTATGGGCGGTCCTTTCCGGTAAAGGAAGCTGCGATGTGGTACGAGAGCTTTGCTGACGTGTCAGAGCTCATACTTCTCGTCGTCGAAATGGTGCGCCGGGATAGTGGCGATGGAGGGGTCCGTTGATGACGGGGAATGTATCTCGGATACGATGAGAAGACTGCACACAATTAGCATCCCATCAATGCGTCATAGGCTTTGCAAAAGAAGTACGGTACCCTTGGTGATGGGCCTAGAAGTAGGAAGAAAAACCAGAGGCTGGCGCAAAGCTATCACCGCTGAGGCCATTGCTTCCAATGTGCAGCAACGTGTAGTGTTTCCTGAAGATGCGGTGCTTCCGCAGTCCGCATGTTAACTGTCCCCGAGTCAAGTTAGACTGTGGCAGAAAACCGCATGGCAACACTACGCCGCCGGGTTGTTGGAAAGATCGAAGCAACGGAGCTTCCTCGACGCGCAAAAGCACAAGAGATTAGACTGTCGACGCGTAAAACTGCGGCAGCGAAGGGATGCGACGTTCGGATTTGATGTCATTTGGCAAAAGACGACCCCCAGAAATCGACAGGGATCGCATCTCCGCCGTATTCCCGCCATCGATCACGTGCATGCTAAGAGGTTCCGGAGTGCCGACTCGTGGAGTTGTCCTCCCGACCTGTGGGCGTGCTGTGGAGCTTTGGGCTTATGAACAGCCTTTCTCTGATTGGCCGGGCTCAACAGATATCCGCGGCAATGTCTGTCGCTCGGAACCAGCAGCCAAATCTTCGATGATGCTTTGCTTTGCCTGAACGCCACTCCTAGGATAACCTCAAAGGGAACCAGTTGTCTCCTCCCATACTCCACCCCGCCGACTACCTGGCATCGCTGCTCCTCCTTCAGGTTCATTTTACAAGCAGTTTTCTGTTCCAAACTACGTGATCAATCGCACCCGAAATCAACCGCCGAAATGGCAGCTCTCCGCTCTTCCTCCCGAGTCCTTGGAACGGCCACCAAGGCCGCCTTCCGCCCTGCCGTCACGATCCCTCGCCGTGGCCTGGCCACCCCTAGCGACAGGGTGCCCGCGACCAAGGAGCCCAAGATGAAGAAGTTCACCATTTACCGCTGGAACCCAGACACGCCGACCGAGAAGCCTCGCATGCAGGAGTACACTTTGGACCTCAACAAGACCGGACCCATGATGCTGGATGCCCTCATTCGCATTAAGAACGAGCTGGACCCTACCCTCACCTTCCGCAGGAGTTGCAGAGAGGGTATCTGCGGTAGCTGTGCCATGAACATCAACGGACAGAACACCCTGGCCTGCCTTTGTACGTTCCCCGCGGGATTTGCGTCGAGCAGCTGTCGCACGCGATGCGGATGACGGAGAGCACAGCTAACAATACTGTAGGCCGTATTCCCACCGAGAGCGCGTCGGACGTCAAGGTCTACCCTCTGCCTCACACCTACGTCGTCAAGGACCTCGTCCCCGACTTGACCCAGTTCTACAAGCAATACCGCTCAATTAAGCCCTACCTGCAGAGAGATACTCCTGCCCCTGACGTACGCCCAATCACCATCCCACACTTCGCAGCAGTAGAAACTAATTCTCCGTAGGGCAAGGAGTACCGCCAGAGTGTCGCCGACCGAAAGAAGCTGAGCGGTCTCTACGAGTGCATTCTCTGCGCCTGCTGTTCGACTTCCTGCCCCTCGTACTGGTGGAACTCTGAGGAGTACCTCGGACCTGCCATCCTCCTCCAATCCTACCGCTGGCTGGCCGACTCCCGTGACGAGCGCAAGGCCGAGCGCAAGGCCGCCCTCGACAACTCCATGAGCTTGTACCGTTGCCACACCATTCTCAACTGCACACGTGCCTGCCCCAAGGGTCTCAACCCCGGCAAGGCCATTGCCGAGATCAAGAAGCAGATGGCTTTCTAAGAAGCGAGCGAGATATTTCTACGGGTTGGAGTCATAATCTTGGGCGGCGCGATATTGGCTGTATACTAGGTAGTGTGTACTTTATGAGCATGGCTGGAGTTTGATCTCCCTGGACACACTAAAAGGGGTCTCTGAATTCAGGCTTTCTTTTGTTTCCGTTATTCACTGCGGCTACTGATGAGAGATCACCTGTGTGCGGACGTGCTACCAATACAAGGAACGGTGATGGACCCCAGAATGTTGCAACGGGCTCAGGGAGGGGGCAAAAGAGAGGCAGACGCAACAAAGGAGGTTGCCACTTTAGAGACGGTCGCGAAACGGCGGCTTCATGATAGATACCTAGGGTAACCCTAAATTATTTTCAATTCTTCAACGCTGCAGCGAGTGTGCAGGCACGTGCTTCAGTTTCGCAACGAATCGCGACTACGCGTTGACATTTTTAATTAAACCTTGGACTAGTAACGTGATGTATTCGACTTTTGGTTGCGTTAAGGCCTCGAGGTTCAGAGTAGCTTGCAGCGTGGCAACGCGAATGATCACTCGCGATAGCGAAATTGTGGTCGTGAAGTCATAGACTTTGGTCCTCTGTATCTAATGGACCCGCACCTCGGCAATGCGACTCGGGAAGCACCGCACGGCCAGCACGCAATACGACGAGCTCTGCCAGAAGCAATTGAAAGCAATTGACAGACCAAAATGGAAGAGAACGATGCTGAGACGGCTTGGGCGCAATTGAAGCAAAGCTTGAGTTATCCCAATCGCTGTGTAAGGCACGTTTGTATGGGAAGTCCCCTCTTGCGGATAAATATATTTCTTCAACGCTGCTGATCAGTGAGGGCTAAGCTTTCGTCCGGTCGTAGTGATGATACCCCGGATTTCGGAATTTGACGGGGCATGTGAACTGTGGCGGTGCTCTGTGGCGTGGAACGAACTCTGGAGTTATCGATACGGGGAGGTCGTATCCAATTAGCTTCTACGTGATTGGCCCGTGTGCGACATATTCCTTTCTTCGCGAACTGCTCGAGGCATTCCCTAGAAACCTTCTCACGCCTGGTCGTTGACATCGACTGGAGGCAGCATTTCGTTCTGGAAACCGATTTCAATCGACAGTTCGCGTGCAATTCGAGTCTTTGACGGCTCTACTTCTTGGTCATGCGACTTTCTAGTTGGAACATCTACGTTCTAGATGAAGAGACTAGAGATATCCTCAAGTCAATACATGGCTAAACGAGCACTTCAATAACGCAACGAGCCCCAGCGTCACGAAGGATCAGGAAATGAAAACCACGAAGCTCAACCCCAGAAACCGAACGCACCTGGTGGGAGGCTCGGAATGGGTAGAAGCCAGAGTTCCAAAGAAAATCGTATTTGACGAGACGTACACGATAGCAAATCAACTTCAAAGACGTGTCATTATCAACTGACTACCAGAATAAATCATCTTCTTCCAACACCTTCCCTTCTGATGTTCTTGTTTTTTCTTTTTCATATTGTCTTCTCAATCCTGCGTTCGCGGCCTGGCCTAAGCGGGAAAGTACGGCAACGAATAAGTCTGCTCCGGCTCCGGCTCGGCGGTCATGAATGGGAGCGAGTAAGTCTGCTCGGCCTCGGAGGTGATGTACGGCAGCGAGTACGTCTGGTCGGCGGCGGTGCTCGAGCAGGGAGGCGCGGTGTAAGAGGGCCAAGGTCGGCAGTCGGCGTGGCATCTTTTGAAGTCAGAAGGAACGAACCATTTCTCCGGCCGGGCGTGTGTATATTTTCTGGAAAAGGGAAAGAACTTACCCGCCGTACCACTGACCGCACTCGTTGACATAGTCGATGCAGATGGTGCGCGTGTTGCAGTTGTCGGTGCTAGACGGCTTGGGCGGCGAGACGGGCCTGGGAGAGGGCTTTCCGGGCATCTTGGTTATGGACTTGGTGGGCTTTGTAGGCTTGGGGCAGGGTGGCTGCGTGGGGCTGAGAGATGGCCGACAAGCGTCGTAGCAGCTGGGACTTGGTATTAGCCAGATTGCCCAAGGGTTTGCGAGACGGGACAAGATGAGCGGACTTACCCTCCCCAGCGTACACTGGGACAAGCAGTGTTGATGCCGTCGATGCAGATGGTCGCCGGGCAGTTGAGAGGGGGCACGGCGGCTCGACCTTGTTGGATCTGCGGAGCGGCAGCGACGAAGGCGGCCACGCTCAGGGCTGCTGCCAGAAGTTGAGTCGAATGCATCGTGGCTTCTTGATGTATAAGTCGAACTGTCAGCAATCTTGTCAGATTTGAGAGTGGGTGTGCGAGTTGTTGGTGTTGCGCTGTTGGATTACACAAAAGTTTGTTTGTTGAGGACTGGACAACCGGGTTGCTATATATCCAAAGTCCACGAGCAAGGTCGTACGTACCCCCGCGGCGGCTTCCCTGGCTGGATCAAGTCTCCAAGACGGGAAGACGGAGGCTAGCAGAAAGGGTCCGCGGTTGTCTCTGTCTTGGCTGCGAATGAGGTTGGTTGCTGCGCCCTGCCTCAACAAGAGCGCCTCATTTTGTTGGTACATCTCAGGACGACTACTACTTTGATGTCCGCTAATTCATGACGCCTTGCCTCGATTTTGTTGCCAAGTTGAACGAGGGGAGCAAACACGAGATCGGGTGACTTAGAACTATTGTAGATGACAGGAATGGATCGCATGCGGCTAGGTGGCAGGTCTGGCTCGCGCCGCATGGGCAAACGAGTAGAGCGGTCGACGATCAGCGACTGGCAATGAGGTCAAAGTCTCAGTTTTCGGCTGTTTTCGAACGGTTTGGTCTCAGACTGCCCTACCAGAAGGGGTAGTCAAGTTTTCGCAAAGAGCCAAGGGGGAAGATGGAATACTGCGGGGAGTTACACTAGCACATCTCCTTTGTCCGTGTGACCCTCTATAGAAACTCGAGAGATCACAGCAAGTACCAGTGAGAGACTGCCAACAAGTGTTATACGCTGAAGGATAGACCATAGTGTTGACATTGCTGTCAAGTTGTGGGATATGGGCTAGAGCAAGCCTGACAACTTCAGCCTGTCAGCAAGCATCGGAGCTGAGAAATAGGGCTTCTGGTAGAACGACGCGAGCCAGTCTGAGGCTGGTTATCTCTTCAACAAGCGAGCTCACATGACAGCCTCTCCAGCGACTTGTCCATGCCAAGGCGCTTGTCTTGGAGGAGAGATCTGAACCACTTGCCGGCCGAACGGCTCGGGCGGGTAGATATGGACTGACGATCTTGGGGGTTTCAGTGGACTCGCTTCGGTGGAAAGTTTCGACATGAGAGCGGCTCTTCGGCCCGTTTGGGAGACGCTCAGGATGTCTAGATGATTCAAGGGAGATATTGCCTCTGGGCAGGCTCAGACATGTGCCGCGTGCTGTTGTAGCCCACTCACTCGTGGTCCTTCTTGATGAAGTTCTGACCCCATCCGAAGCGGTGAAATCCTGACAACTGATACCGCGATCTTGGATGTCGTACATTTTCTTACCGGTTGGCAGGAATGCCACCGGAAACATGCAAGGAGGCGGTCGTAACAGGGTATCCGGAACGGAGTGGTCAACGGTTGAATGACATCAGCGCAATGCCATTCGGCCGGATGTTTGTGGGAGTACGAGAAAATAATGGAGGGATGTCTCGTCGTACAAGGGATGATCAACTCAGGCCCTCAAAGCAGGTTAGACGGGATGTGAAAGTTGGCAACGTGCAAGGGGCTATGAATAGCATCCGCTCATCAACTTCCTATGTTGCTTCCTATCTTCTCAATATGGAATTAGCGTTCAAGACACTGGGTAACCTTACCTTACCTTCGAACCTCTTAACAAGTGTCTCTCCTTCCCGCTTAAGCCACTGTCAGTCAAATTATGGCAAGGCAGGGAATCACCCTAGGAAGGCGCATGTTTCGGTCGTATTTGAGACATAAGGCGCCGGAAAGATCACTCGGGTAAGTTGACTTACACCTTCTCTCGATGAGTTCGCCCGGCTTACCTTTGACTCCCGCATGCCTCGGGCGGAAAGCAAGCACCGTTGTTGGGGCCGTGACATCCAGCCATTTGTAGTCTCTGTAACGTTCCTTCAGTAATATCTTCTCGACGTCAGGAGAGACATGAGGTAGGAAGGAGTTGTTATCCCTATAACGTCGACCAAAACGCTTTAGTGCCGATGATTTTCGGATGTTGCCAGAAGCATGTCATTCGGGCTGAACTGACACGAACACATTGACTCCCAGTGCCCAAAAAAGTATCTTTACCTACCAGTACCGAGGAGCTGGTGATCATCTATCGAACGTGCCTGTCTGAATGCACATTCTACATCGAGAGCAGATCTGTGGATCGTGGTAACTAACATTACTGTGTTTCAACTTCTGAAGCAGTCATATCAGGGACAACTCACTTTGCTGGAAGGTGTCGTGATACCGAGTCAGGGCAATGCCTTGAGCAGCATGATCTTGGATGCAACTGGATCGATCGTGGCCGATGTTGCAAAGATACCCCTTACACGCTTTGGACGCCCGGAAGGGCTCAAGCCTGGCTTGGCAGGAAAAGCTGGGAACGTAAGACGGAATCAAAATCAGGGCAGTTCCGTCGACGAACATGCCCGGATTGTGGCGCGTGACACGGGACCAACGGTTCGTTTGTCTCCTAGGCCCACGTCGACGGCTACATCATACCGTGGTCACGAACACCAAGATACCATGTTTCAAGCGGGGACACACACTCTCATGTTGCGCAAGGACCGAATGTCGTTCCCCGATCCAACGGTTCTGACCCGAGGCCATCCCCTGAAGTTGGACCATGAAAGCCATTCGCATTTCGACGTATGAAATTCGGTCTTGGATCAGACTCGTGTCAATTCAAGTGACCACGCGGATTTTATGGTTTTACCCCTAAACGACGCCCGTGCTGGTATCAATCAATGCTATTCATAAAGTGGCACCGCATATGCAAACGAAAAACCCCCCAGCTTATTTCTTCTCTTCAAGATACGCCTTCCAGCCCAGACTCTGCAGCTTGGCCGCCTTGCCCTCCACCTCGGTAGACATGTTACTCATGTACTCGGCCATCTTTTGCTGGTACTCGAGGCTCGAAGAGCCGAGGATCTTGACCGCGAGCAAGGCAGCATTGGTGGAGTTGTTGATTCCAACGGTAGCCACGGGGCAGCCGCGAGGCATCTGGACGATGCTCAACAAGCTGTCGTGGCCGTCCAGGTGGGTGGCCTTGACAGGAACACCGATGACAGGCACCGTAGTTTCAGATGCCAGCATACCGGGCAGGTGAGCGGCACCGCCAGCTAAAGATTGTGTCAGTTTGACGGCCAATATCAACTCAGAAGAGACCAAACATACCTGCTGCGATCAGGACCTTGATGCCACGCTGAGCGGCAGTCTTGCCCAATTCCACCATGCGATGGGGCGTGCGGTGCGCCGAGGTGATGTCGAGGTCGTAAGGAACCTCAAACTTCTCAAGGATCTCAAAGGCACCCTTGAGAACATTGAGGTCGGAGTCGGAGCCCATGGTGACAACCACAAGAGGCTTGTCTGTGTTACGGGAGCTCGCCTTCTTGGTCTTGGCAGGCGACTGCTGGAGACGGAGTTGCTCCGAGGAGGCGTCAATACGAGCCTCGCGCATGTAGTTCACCTCGTTGATCAAAGGCGCAGCCAACTTTTCCAGGTTTGCGCTAGGAGAATAGGACGTGACGGTAATGTGACCGATCTTGCGGGCCGGCTTGGAAGACTTGCCGTAGAGGTGGAGGAAGATGTCCATGTTGTCGTCGTACAGGGACGTAGTCAGATCGACGAGTTCCTCGTGAGAGTCCTCACGCGCTCCACCCAAGATGTTCAGCATGATGGCACTAGAAACACGAGGCTGAAGCTTGATGGATCGCGGAAGCATGTCCAGGATGGAGTACAGTTGCGCCTTGTACTGAGACATGTAAGGCACTGCCTCAATGGTCCAGTGACCGGAGTTGTGAGGACGAGGAGCGACCTCGTTAACAGTGATGGTACCTGCTTGGTGTTAGATTATGTGTGGATTCGATAGCTGGAGCAAACTCACCATCTTCCAACAAGAACATCTCAACAGCAAAAACACCCCTGCCCTTCAACGTCTTGATCACGTCACCGGCAACCTGGCGCGCTCTCTCGCAAACATCGGCGGGGACTTTACGAGGAGGGTAGAACACCTTTGTGCAAATGCTTTCCTCGTGGATCGTCTCGACAGCCGGGTAAGCGTGGACCTTCCTCAGCTCACCATCCTCATCCTCAGTTCGGACGACCATGACGGCCAGCTCCATCTTGAACGGCACCCACTTCTCGGCGTACAGCGACAACTTACCCATCGCTTGCACAGCCGCCTCGTAGTCCTGGGGCCCATTGACCTTGAAGTTTCCACGGCCGTCGTAAGAGCCCTTGCGCGCCTTCAACATGAAGGGGAAGCCGAAGCTCTTGTAAGCCGCCGTCAGGCCCTCCGGCATGGCGGGGCCGGACTCGACTGCCATCTGCGGGGCAATGGGAAGGCCCGCTCTGGAAAAGTGTTCCTTTTGAAGGTACTTGTCCTGGATCAGACGCAGAGTCTGCCATGAGGGGTGGACAGGGACCTTCTTCACGGTGCCCGGGGCAGTGATAACACCGCGGGTCGCGATCTCCTCGAGCACCTCGGTGTTGACGTGCTCAATCTCGACGGTGAGGACGTCGCACATGGCAGCCAGCTCTCTGATCTTGGCCGGGTCCTTGAAAGAGCCAGTGACGTGACGGCTGTTCTGGTTTGCCATCTTCGCGGGGCAATTGGCTTCGTCCAGGATTGCGATATCGATTCCCAAGGGGCCCGCGGCTTCGCACAGCATCCGGCCGAGCTGGCCGCCTCCAAGGAGGCCGATAACAGGCTTCTTGGACATTTTGGAGGGAGTGAGGGCGGATTTCGTGTAAGTGCGAAGAGGATTGGGACCAAAGAAAGTGCGATGGTCAAGAGTGAAATATACCGGTGGAGAGCGTTTCCCGAGGGAAGAAACGACTTATCAATCCCGCATAAACAGGGCGGATGGAGCAAAGTTTTGAGTCGAAGTTTAGAGATTTTGACCTTTTCGGGCAGGCGGTGAAAAAACACCCCGCCGTTGTCGTCGCAGTAGAACCCCACCCCCACCATGGCACTGGGCTTGACGCCACAGGGCTCCCCTGCTCCACCAAAAAACGTCGTTGTTGCGCCTTAGACGCTGTAATTCTTCATCTCCAGCGCCTGCCGACCACATCGTCATCTGCTGTCGCGCGGTTTGCATACATCACCATACACGCGCGCGTGGCAGTCGACAACATGGCGAACGAATTATATGATGGAATCATCTCGGACAGAATACAGTGAGTGGGATACTCGGAAGGCGCTCCCCTTTTGCTGCTCAGTGGGTTGCTCACCCGCATGAATCATCCAGTCCTCTCAAAATCTTCGATGCAGCCAAGAGTCAGGATAGATTTCTCAATGTTTCTGCGCCCATGGTGAGATACAGCAAGGTAAATCGCCCTGGGATATGTACTACTAGACATTGAATAAGTACTTATGGAGGTTCAGCTCGCTTTCCGTCAAACCGTTTTTGAATACGGAACCGATATCTGCTGGACACCCATGATACTCTCCAAAGAGTTCAATCGCAACAACTTTGCCCGTGACAGCGGTATGTCAATCAGTCCCAAGCTGAGAAAGAAGAGCGGTCCATATCTAACAATCCTCATCAAGACCTCACAATATCCACCCTTGGTGTCCAGCCTCCAACAATAGTCCAGTTCGGCTCCAACAGCCCCCTCGAGCTCGCGCGCTCCTCTTCCCTTGCCGCTCCCTATGTCAACGGCGTCGACCTCAACTGCGGCTGCCCGCAGTCCTGGGCCTGCGCCGAGACCCTCGGTGCGGCCCTGATGGAGAAGCGCGAGCTAGTCCGCGACATGGTTGTCGAGACGCGCAAGCGTCTGGCCGGCGATGGTTGGCACGTCGGAAAGGAGCGCGACATCGACAGCCCGAAGGGCCGCAGCGTCAGTGTCAAGATCAGAGTCCACAAAGACTTGAGAAAGACGATGGACTTCATCGAGACCGTCATCGGCAACCCTCAAGACCGCAACATCGACTTCCTCACCATCCACCCTCGCACTCGCCACACGGCATCCAGCACCCCCATCAACACCGAGTTTCTCGGCATCCTGCTCGAGAAGTACGGAGATACCCTGCCCATCCTCCTCTCCGGCGACGTTTTCTCCATGGCCACTCTGCCGCTCTCTGCTGTCTCAAAGACACAAAAGGAACAAGAAGGGGCGGTGATCAATGGCCTCACACCCTTCAACCCAAGCGGGACGAAGCTCGCGGGTCTGATGTCCGCTCGCGGCATTCTCGCCAACCCGGCTCTCTATGCTGGTTACGAGGCCTGTCCCTGGGAAGCCGTCGAGTCGTTCATGCGCCACGTCGTTCGCGCCCCTATTCCGGTGAAGCTGGTGCAGCACCATCTGCACGAGATGGTAGGGCCCGGCATGGGTCCCGATAAGAAGGCTTTGCTTGACAAGCAGGAGAGGGCGGCGCTTCAGAGACTGGACAGCATGGTAGACTTGATTGATTTTATGGATGACGCAATCAACCGCAAAACAGGTAGAACAGATGGACTTAGACGAGAACCTCAAGATAGCTCACGAATACCCATGTCATGACCACACCTGCCATCTGCTGCTGTGCGTTTATTAGATAGACTATCGAGATATCCCATGTTTTCCAAAGCATCGCTCGCGCATGAGTTCTGTCGAATTCACACCCCACAAACGCCGTTTCCCTGGGTGCTTCCCATAATTTAGCCCCGAAACGAATTGTTCGAATTTCAAGGCTGGCTTGGAATGTGTCTCATATAGTACACTAGGGTGTTTCTGCACCCGAATTGGTTTCCCATTCTGCCGTCCTCGGTCGCAAGTCGCGAGGATTAAGGGTCCTCCCAAACGCCAGGTCCCTAGATAATTATAATATTCAAAGTGATGCTGCTTCTGTCGAACTGGAGCTCTAGTCCAGAACCTCTCCTTCGTCCTCGTCTGAAAGTCTGGCGCGCTTCTGGTCTCGGCCGTCCGAGTCCGAGTCCACTTCCTTTCGTTTGCCCGGAGATACAATGCCGTTGCCATTAGCCCTTTCTGGCTTCTCGAGCGTCGCTTGTGACCCGGACTCGGTGTTGGTGACATCGTCGCGGCCGTTGACCCTGGCCCTCGGGCTTTGCGTACCCCTGTCAAGCTCGAAAGGCGTACCTGCAGTTGATGAAAGAGTATCCGGATCCCTAGGTTGCCTCGTATTCTCCAAATCGAAAGCCGGCGATGATATCGACGGGTTTTGTTTGCGAAGAGGATTCTCGTCGTAGAATTGTGTCAGGATGTCAATCGCCATAGCACATTTTTGCTCGTTGCCCTTCAGTGCCTTCCACCAAGGCTGGCCATTGACGTCTTCTATCTTATGATTGGTGTGTATGCTGGCGAAGAAGATGGCGCATATCGCAACGTCGCGAGCTTCGAGCAGCAGTGGGACCGACGTGAGGCAGGCATCGTTGCAGAAGGCCCAGGCGGACTGTCGCAGATGCTTATTGTGGACGATCCCCAGCTGGCCCAACAGCTCGAAAAGCCGTTGGTATGGATTATCGACCATCAAGTCGAACGTGAGGAGCTCCAGCATGAGCTCCTCGTATGCCAGAATACTGTCTCTCCAACGCCAGTATTCCTTGCTCATTTCGTCAATCATGAGCTTCGGGTTCTTCTGTGCAACCTTCGCAACGGTAATGATGATTTCCTTGGTCTTGCGACAGTTTTCTTCGGTCTTGTTCGCGAGGAAAAGAGCTGTTGCGGCGATGTTCTGTTCGATTGATTCCGTTAGCATGGGCGCTGTTTGAGCTTTCTCAGTTCCTCGTTTTGATCTCGGAAGGGCGGTTTGCGCCTGACTACTGTAAGGCTCCCCCCGGATCATTGACGAGGAAGTATGGGGATATTACTCACGTAATGGTGAATGCCGCCCTTTTCTTCAACCATACTGTATCTCATGTAGAATCGGTGGAAGAAAACACCGGCAACCCAGAGGGTGATTTGAGGCAAGTCAAGCAAAACGCCTGCTTGGTAGATGAAGTTGACTCCTTTGGCTCGACGAAGCCGTTCTTCCGTCGGCGAGATTCCATCCAGGACGCTGGGCGTGCTCAGTGCCTCGTCCACCGTGAAGTACCACTGGTTGGGTGGGGGCCCAGAGGGAGTCTGCGCTCTTGAGCGCTGTGGTGATCGCGCATCTCGTTGTGAGCCGGGTCTCGGCGGCGATGTGCGTGAGGAGTGTGTCGGCGGAGATGGAACCGCTGGTGGGACGTCTAGGCGACGCGCAGGAGATCTCGACATTCTGTCTGGTCGTGGAGGGCCGGGAGGAAGAGTAGGCGGCTGGTAAGCCTCTCGGGATGGGCGATAGCGATCAATACTGGACATCGCTGTGGAGCTCCTAGGTTGATGTCAGGCCAGCGACTTGAGTGGTCCGTCTTGATAAGTTGAACATGGGAAGGTTGCGCGCGCTGTCGCAAAGGTCGAGGATTGAATGATAATGCAGCAGCACCAGGTAGCTGCGGCCTTGCAGATGAAGTGGATTTTAGGACCAGTTTGAGTCGCGTTATCTAATCGCGATTTTTCGACGCCACGTGACCTTGGCAGCCACTTTAGATCCTGGGTGTCCAGGTCCGTGCGTAATTAGACATCTAACGGTTGCTTCTCAGGTGTTCACGAAGCTCCCAACTTCTTGTGGTTCAGTTCGTGGGGTATCATTATTCTATTGAAATGAAGTTTTACAACCTTCGCAACGATCTGTCTAGATGCCTTCGCCATCATTGCGACCCCAAAGCTTGACCGTCCGGTCATGTCCTCCACTGACAATCCACTTGCCGTCCCGGCTTACATCTACGCTGGAGACTGGACCAGCATGCCCACTCAGTGTCTGAATTACCCCCCAGTTATCCGCTGAGAAGATCTTGATCTTGGCATCGAACCCTCCGGAGACGAAGAATGTGCCTGCCTTCTTGGGCTGCTGCGCACCCTTCTCGTCAACGCCAGGAGGGTTGCCATCAACGGGATCGTCCGTGCCTCTGAACCACCTGATATCGGACACTGCCTTCTGGTGTGCTCCCAGGTTGGCGGTCCTCTGAACCTTTCGAACGTCCCAACACTTGATCCAGCCATCTGCCGATCCCGAAAGCACTCTGTGTCCGTCTGAGCCCCAATCGAGCGCGTATATCGGCTGAATGTGCTCATCCAAAATCATGACTGTCCTTCCTGATCGCAAATCCCAGATGCGGCCAACACTGTCGAGACCAGCACTGGCGAGAAGGGATCCGTCAGCGTTGAAGCTCACAGCATAAACGCCCCTCGAGTGACCTTCTTGAAGCAGTAGCTCTGCAGTTGTTTCCACATCCCACAGCCTCCACGTCGTGTCGTCTGAAGCAGAAGCCACATAGCGTCCAGATGGATGGAACTCCACACGAGACACACGAGCACTGTGGCCGGTAAGGGTCGACAGGGGGGTATCTTGCTCCAGCGACCACAGGTGCACCACGCCTTCGGCTCCTCCCGAAGCAATGTTCACAGAGCTCGGGGATACGTCGGATTCAGGCAGCGTGGCGCCCGGGCGCCATGAAATACCGCTGATTTTGTTGGTGTGCCCTCGCAGGTTCATCTTCTGTTCCAGGCTGGGCACCTCGATAAGTTTGAGTCCTCCACCCCAGTTGCCCACCGCGACGACTTCTCCGTTCGGCGATAACCTCGCCATGCTGACGTTTCTGTCGCCGGCCGTCTGACTGCCCTGAAGCTCGAAGCCCCCCAACTTCTCCTTGATCTGTTTTCGGAACTTGACGTGCGTGCGCAAAGGGATGGTCGACTCTGCTTTCTGGAATTGGACTCGTCGTTTTGCCCTGGGGAGGGAGTATTTCACAAGGTCGACGCGTGCTTGTAACAGTGTCTGGCCTCCTGGTGTGTAGAACTCTTCGTCCTGATCGTCCGCGTCTTCGTCTCCGGCCTCCTGCATCTCGATGTCGACATCATCCAGCTCCTGCTGAATCGCAAGCAGGTTTCGTAGACGGTCTCTTCGCTCGGGTTTTCCTTCTCCGAACAGTGTGATGGGTTCGCCCAGCTCTCTGAGCTTCGCGCGTACTCGAGTGTCGTCAGTGGGCACCGCGATGCTGGCGGCCAATTTCTTTCTCTCCATCTGCGCAAGAATGGCAGATGCTTTCTCGGGTGCCACCCCAGATGCGGCGGAGGGAATTTCGTAGTCATGATCGGTAGGAAGGTCTTCGAGCGCAATGCCTTTGTCCTCGTCCATCGCCTCTTCAACGTAGGCCTGCCTCGATGGGTGCATCATCTTGGGCGAAAATGGGGCTATTCGCAGCCCAATAAAGCGACGGATCTGTATGGGCAAGAGAGAAATGAATGCGAGGAGTTGAGAAAAGAGTGATTGGGGCTAACGGCAGCCACAGGTCGGTGATAATTTCTTGTCTGTTTGTTGCCAATGTAGAGATGAGCTCTGAGACGAAGCTGCCTGGGAAAATTCTGCTTAAGTAAGCCGCGAGGTCGCGTTGACCAACACCCGTGTTTGGACGAGGTCGAGTGGGGCTCTGTTCATGGATGGAAGTATCCGCCAACATTCACTTTCAACATCTTCCTGCTCATCTCCCAGTCGATTTTCCGTGACTCGATGCCATTCTTCTGGTCTTATTATTATATTATTAGCGTATAAAAAAGTAATTCAGCATGAAAGAGCAGTCCCGTTAATTCAACGGTATTCTGCCAACCATCACTGAGATACGATTGATGCGCCTTGAAGGCTTTCAAGCGAGTCTCGAACCCTGATGGATGTTAACGCATTCTTCCCAATGAGTCTGCATTCGATGAGCTTGTTTGAGTGGTTGAAACGAGCGCCAGATCGATCAAGTCACGGAAAATGATAATCAGAAATATCTTGCTGCAACTGTTTTTGCCTACCCCGGAAGCATTCTGTTTCAAGCCTCGATGGGGATATCAAACGGTGCATCTCTATACATAAGGCTACTAACTTACTTCTGCGCCAAATCTTCATGAATGAGGAGGCCCTCAGAGATCAGATCACATGTGAGATGTTTGCGAAACTCTCGTAGCTCTTCGCAGCTACTACGATGTTATCGTAGGAAGACCACATGGACTCACTTTGGCTAATGATGCAGCAGACTCCTCTATCATCCATCTCTGCATATTCAGCGGTAGGAATTGGCAAGCTAGAACAGTTTATCGAAGAGTCATCAAGTTCCTAGACGACAAGTCAAGTCAAACGAGGGCCATATCACGATGAACTCTACCATAATATCAAATACATCCGGCGTCTCGCTCTCAACTTCAAAATATCATAACGCCAACCTCAATGTTGAAGACGAGAACAACCACAGTGGCATTGTCTTCGCTCGTTGGTACCTGTAGTGCAAGTCTGACATATTCACATGGTAATAACGACTGGCCGACGATGCCCATGACCTGACACCAACGGATCCGGAAGAAGCCTTTCGCGAAACACAGTCCGCTGGGAACTTCGACGCAACGCCATCTTAGACATCCTGCCCGCCGCATCAGTAGAACCTATTTCGATTCAGTCTCGTTCTTGACAACATTGCGCAGCGCATGTCGATGACGGCAGCACAGAAGCGCCCACTAGACTGACTTTCTCGACGCAGAAGAAGCACCGACGATATTCCAGGCTTGTGTGCCCTCGAGACCGCTCTCGGTATAGTCTCATGGGCTGAATACTAAGACGATCCGATCTTCAAGACCCCGAGAAAAGATCCCTCGGCAAGCAACACCAGGCACGGAACCAGTTCGCGAAGAAACGCTCGTCCGTCGCCAACAAACCTCACGTTGACGCGTTCGATGGACAGATCTACGCGAACCGGGGGTACGAAGTCCGAAGAGCCAGGCCACTGGTGCTGCCGCACCCCAGTCTTCATCACCGTCACATCATGTCAACAGTGGCGTCCGTTTCTTTGACCACGCACGTGGGGAAGGGGAAAGAAACACATGCAGAGCAAGCCGAATTGCCACCACCCCTTCTCACATCAGCGCAAGCTGGGTCGCCGCAGAACCAATGGCGGGATTGTCAGGCACGGGGAGGTAACGGGGTGGGTAATCTGCTATGGTCGTCACACCAAGCCCGTTAGCTCTGAACGGGACAGGCGCGGGCGAGGGACGAAGCGTTGGTTCGCGCCGCGCGAGGCGCACCTTATCCAGGCACCGGGTTGGAAGAGATGACGAGGGAGATTAGCCGTACGGTGTTTTTAGACGACTAACGATCGTTGTTGTGTTTGTTGGTGCGAGTGTTCGATCTCTGAGATTGGCAGGTCGATAACGGAAACAACCCATGGCCGAGGTCAACAGAGATTGAGATCATCGGAGATGCAGTTGGCAGATGGTCGTCGCGAAGTCACAAGGCTCGGGACTTCAACTGAGTCAATTCTCTTTTTCGACCAGATGGTTGTGTGCCCTGTTCCAACAAAAGTCTCTCTCTTTACCCCTCATTCAATCCCGGTCCTAGCATTGACGATAAGCTGGGCAGTGGGGATCGTGAGGGCCGTCGATGCAACGTCCCCGGCTTCAAGCCGTGATCCCGCGGCATGGCGTTGGAGCCCGAGCAGGCTTGCAAAATATTGAACTTTTTGAGAAGGAAGCGATCAAAGACAATGCTGCTGCTAGCGACGCATCGTGATCATACATTAAGAGAGAGAAACAATGCTCTGCACGAATCGACTGATTGATGGGTGAAGGCCGGAGGCCGGTTGATGTGATGTGGTTTCCGTCCGCTACTGCATGACGAACCGAGCCTACATGCAGCGCACGACAGGGTCGAGTTCGTCTGAAGTTTTCCTTTCTCAGGGTCGATATTGACGATTGACTTTCTTTCCTCTGTCGGGGGCTGCAGCGTTGCTGCTTGTTGCTCTTTCCAACTCAGACATATTGAACACATGCATCTGCGGCTCGTGTTTACATCCATCCTCGTATGACGTCCGTTCGTACGAAGACTCATGCATTCGAAAGGCAGTGCGGCTTCCGCCTTCCGCCACAGTTCGCTGCATGCCGTCGGAACACGAGCTTCTCGAAGAACTCAAACTCGAGAAAAGCTGGTGTTTGATCTTGCGGTGAAGCAGCAGAGAAGCAAAAGAAGGCACGGACGCCGGAAGTGCAGCTGAATGCGACGGTGATTTAGTAATTGGAGGTGCATGCCGTCTGGAGTTATTTGCTGGTGGTGTCGATGTTTCGTTTCAGTCCGTTTTCGATGATCCGGAGACCGTGAGCATCGGAACCGAGGTTTGAACTTTGGAAGCGCTCCCGGACACCATCGTTTTGGTTTGTTTGTTTGTCTGAGGTTTTTTTTTTTGTCTAGAGGCTAGGAGCTACGAGCACGAGCACGAGCCGGGACGGGAGTGGAAGGGCGCGAAGGCGAAGATGATGGGTTGACAGGGGGTTCGAGGGCAACGAGGCTCGACCACTTTGCTTGTGATTGTCTTATTACTGCATGAGGTTATGGAGTTGATTGAGAGTGAGAGGCACAGCAAGCAGGAGTCGTTGGTTGGCTGGTGCTCCGGTGAGAGTGAACCAACGTCCGCTTCCTTTTCCCAGTTGGGGCCTCGTGCGATTTTCCCGCTTGCTGTCTTTTCCCACCTGCGACTCCCGGCACCAACTGCGGATGGATGAAGCCAAGGTGTGGTTGTCACTTCTTTTTTTATGCATCGTGGACGTTCCAGAGCCTGGTGACAGTTGTTCCACGGAATCGAACCTTCTGACGAAGAAGTCTGTCCGCGCTCTGTTACGCGATTGTTTACGAGTCTCGTGGTCTTGGCGTCAGAGATGATGCTGCCCATCTTGCCGAGAGCTGAATAATGATATTCATGTGCAGCACCGCGTGACTGGGACTTGTGGGCGATGGCATTACTTCAGTATCTCTCAGCGGAGATCACTGGAGCGCGCCTTCTTATGCAATCCTGGGCAGCAAGCAAGCAAGCCCTTCAGCCTTTAGCAATTTACCCACTGCCGATTCCGTACCAAAAGATTGCACAGGAACCGGTTCCCCGGTGTGACTGACGGGGTGACGGGAGGGGGCAGAGCCCAGAGATCGTGGGATATCCGTAGAGGTCCAGAATCCAGAGAATCCAGAATCCAGGTCGACGTCCCAACTCGAAGGAACCGTCGGGTTGAATGGCAAGGGTTCTCAGGTGGCCTGAAGGCATTGAAGTTGCCAATTGGTGCGAGTAGTGCGGTTGGTGGGTTTTGTGGTGGGATGCTGTCACTTGTCATGAACCATGGAATGGGCAGCAAGGGCGCTTGACCCAAAACACTGCTCGGTGGCTGTGGAATGAGGCAGGCGAGATTTCGAGAAGGTGGTTGCGAGGATGAGAAGCAGGGGGTTTCGACCGGGAGTCTTGCGAGCATTTCCTTCTTGGGAGGGTGGAAAAGAGCGCAGGAAAGTGACGGTAACCCGAGGAAGGGAACGACGATGGAGATCTGATGCAGGGGTGGAATTGGCCTGTCGTTCGGTTGCCGGTTGCTTGCATCCGGACAGCAGTCAAGAGTCAGGGCAATACGGATACTCTGTACGGATAGTGTACGGATAGTCCAAGACGCAAACCCGGACAACGTTGAAAGCCCGTCCGCCAGTCTGTCCGCGGTCTCGGTCAGGGTTTTCATCCTTTCTTTTCTTTTTCAGCCTCTTGTCGTCAGTCTCTGGCGTGTCTTCCGTTCCCTCTAGAGCAAGGGTCTCTTGTGTCTTGGAACGGTGTTGCATCATCTTCGCACGGGTGCTGATAGACTGGCAAGAGTGTTGACGATGCCTATTATTATGATATCTACCTCTCAATTCCTCGTCACTTTACTCGTCAATTGCGTGTGGTCCGAGTGGAATTGGTTCAGCATGATCCCTCTTTCCAAATGTCAAGAGGCTCTCAACTCACGAATCATCTCCGTCCATCCCGTGCAATCCACAACGGCACCGCAAATCGCGCTCTTCCCACTTCCCCTCCATTTCCCAAACCTGACTCTCCATCCCTGCTTTTGGTTATCGTGTTCTTGGTTGCAATAGTTCCCAGTGACCAGCGACCACAGTGCAGTCCCGGCACCAGCACCGCCGCCCATCCGCGTTGGCTTGGACCCATCGCCATACCACCGTTACGGACTAGGGCCGTTGCCGCGACGTGGGAGCCAGGCGGGCCACCGTCCACGAATTGCCATTTTGCACCTTGCAGATTGCGTTGCTGCCGTCCGTGGACGATGAGAACAGGAACTAGGAGTAGGGGCCTTCCTAGCTCTTCCTAGGGGAACCGTTCCATCAGTTCCTAGTTTCTTCTCGCCTCGACACTAGGACGCGGTAATGCACTGCACTGCACTGCATAGCACAGAGCTACGCGTACGTGGTGAGGTACGCCAGCACGTTAGTCAACACCCACGCCGATGCTACCATCATATACAATGAATGGATACAGAATCCAGTTTCTGTATTCATAGCAGCAAGGTGGACGGGATGCGCAATCCAGGCCAGCCCAGGGTGGATAACGTGAACCACCAACACGACACGACAAGACACGACAAGCAAGGCTAACGCAAGGGTCGATAATCTGGTGCTGCCGTCCGGGTGCCAGGGGAACACACGCGAAATGGGGTCGACATGTGCAGGTCCTAGTCAGCGTAGGAGTGATGCGAGTGGGATGAGAGAGAAAAAATCTCCTGGTACAGGCCACGCCTGAAGCTTGTTCCCCTTTTCGTCCCTAGTACGTTGTCGATGCGCAAGAACCACACCTCGCCAGTTGCGATTGCAATGTACCAGGGCTGTGGCCGTTGGCAAACTCGAAAAGCTCGAGCTTCTCATCTTCCTTTTGGAACCGGGGCGGCTGGCCGAATTGCATCCCCTACCTTACCTGTACTTGAATACGGCCCTTCCCCCCCGTGTTCCCTTCGGGCTTCTTTCAGAGCTTCTTGCGTTCCTTCTTGTGTTTCTCGCAACGTCTCGGGTCCGGAATTGTATCCGCTTCGCACCGCACACCACGGCATCGCCAAAACACTCACTCACCCACACTCACTCAACTCAACTCGCTCACTCACACACCACACCCACGTTCACTATCTCGACTGTCAACTCGCCGCCGCTTGCTTCCCTCGGTCTGTTCCTGACGTCCTCGGTGTGTCTTCCGTCATAATAGACAACATCCCCGTTCCGCCCGGGTCTCACAATTCACGTCCACTTGTCTCGGTTCTCAGCCGCCACCCTCTCTATCTTACAACCACAATCCCTACACATCAGCCGTCAATATCGATCACCTTCGCCTTGCTTCTGTCTCTTCGCCCTTCGGTCAGCCCCGGTCGACCTTTCACAGCCTCCCGAGAAGCCATATCCGAACCCTCAGTTGTGCCACCTCGAAAATTCGTTCAACCTCGGCGTCGGTCACCTGGTCACGTCATTGTTTCCCAAAAGTTCGTCCTAATAGCTGCCAAATCAGCACCTGTCGTCCTCCCACGGAAGACCTTGACGTTGGAAACGCCTCCAAAACCCAGCCGTCTAATAAACTCAATACCACCCCGACCTGCTCCTGACGCCAAACCCGGCTGGAGATCGTTCTCGGTGCATAGACCAACCCGCACGCGACCTGCGATAAGTTCAGACGACTTGAGACTGTTCCCGAGTCCCGGTACACCACCCGTTACGCATTTTGGGGGGGTTACCCACTTAGAACGACAAGCGAGTCGTCTTCTTCAAAGGCCTGGACTCATACCTTGAGCTATTACCAGTTGGCCCTCGCTCTCCGTCGATTACGAGGATCTTCTTTTCGGTCATCTCGATAGTTTGACCTATTGGACGACGAGTGACACCAACACTATCAACCTCGTCCAACAACGCGGCCGCTTGCCATTGGGTACATCACTATCAGTCCTGGACGTCGACGAGTCTGCGAAGAACCTCGTGTACCACGATTGGTCTCATATCGGACGAAAAGGTGGCGAGCTGAATTAGCCCGTACCTTACTCCTGATCGCTCAGCAACGACAAACTCTTTTCCAACAGGCACACACTCTAATTGACCTATATTCACGATGGGCGGCTTAATACCTCTGCTCCTGAAGCCCGTCGCCGCCGGCTCTCGCGGCAGCATCATCTTCCCCACGACTAACACAATCACATCGAGCGCCCCCACACCACAGTCAACGGCATCAGCAAACACCACGATGGCGACTGCCGCTGGATCCTCGAAATCGCGCATGTCGAGGCGGTCTCTCTCGCAGGCGCCGATTCATCTTCCCGTCTTGCCGTACACGTCCGCCGAATGGAGCAAGGCCGTGTCGGACGTCAAGAGGCAATACCTCAACCGCAAGTACCGGCCATGCTCGATGCGCTGCTGTGAGATTCTGGACAATGTTAAGGATACCGTGAGTGACATTCATAGAAGCCGCAATAGTATGATAGCGATGCTAACCAAATTGCCAGGGCAACATTGAGCCTGCTTACCTCATTTACTTGCACTTCTACGCCGCCAGCTCCTTTGAAATGCTCTCCCGGCCCTTGAACGGCATGTCTCCGTACAAGACGATGCTCCTCCAGCAGGCCCGCGAGCATTACACCAAGGCATCCGACCTGAGCAAGGCCGCCGACGAGACCATGTCTCGCTCCTCCCGCCCGTCCTCCGCAGCGACCTCCAGCATGCACTCCCCCTCGAGCTCCATCTCCTCCCGCGCCTCCTCCAGGACCTGGACCAACTCCACCGCCTTCTCCTCGCCCACCCCCTCCGTCTGCTCCGTCGAGGACGCCGTCAACAAGCTCTCCCAGACCACCCCGCCTCAGAAGAAGCGCGTCACCTTTCTCGACTTCCCCGAGGAGCCCATCATCCGCCCCGACTCCCCCACCCTCGGCTTCGACTTCTTCCTCTCCGCGCCCCCGCCGGAGCCCGAACCGCGCTACCTCCCCGTCCTCCCCGAGGAGCCCGAGCCCGCCGACGTCGAGGAGGAGGAGGAGGAGGAGGAGGAGGAGGAAGACATCGCGAAGCCGCCCACCCCGGAGCCCCTGAACGAGGACTGCGACGTCTTCGACTTCGTCCGCGAGCGCTCCGTCCACCGCTACTGCGGCCTGCTCTCCAGCCTGCGCTCCCAGATCACCATCCACATCGCCGCCGTCGAGGACCAGCTCGCATCGCCGCCGGCGCCCGCGGCGGTCCAGGACGTCGTCTCCCTCCCCGCCAGGTCCGCCACCCCCGAGCTCCACGACGAGATGCGCAGCCTCGACATCAAAGCCCGCATCGAGCGCCTGCGCCAGAACAACTGGCAGCGTCGCCGCTTCGACGCCGGTCGCTACGAGGCGCTCCGCGAGAGCGTCCTCGCCGAGCTGGAGTGACCTGTATCTTTCGCTCACTCCTTCTTGTCTTCTTCAGCCATCAATTCTTTCATGAAAGCATTTCTCAAAGTCTCAATGATACCATAGCAAAATCTGCTTTCATATTTTCGAAACAATGTACCATAATTTTAAGCGTATTTATTCTTATCACCACGGTCATCCCAAAAAAGCATCTAACGAATCGGCGGGTTGGGACGGCACGGAAAACAACCAAAATCGGAGGACGGTGGGATCTTTTCTTCAGTTTCTGATGTTCTACAGTCATTCGGACATCCTCGTTGTGGTTGCTTCTCCCTGGCGCAATGCATCCATCTTGTACAAGTTTGGCAAGGACGGCGCAGTTACGGGCTATACTTGTTTTCCCTTCTTTTCGGATATCCTTGTACAAACATGTACAAAAAACACAATATTGTAGTCAACGACTCGTCATGAACCCGCAATCTTCTTCTTCACTTTAGGTAGTCAGTTTGAGAGGAGTAGTAGCTAGCAAATTGCCGACGTGCAGTTAATCTTAACGTACTATCCTATTACCAAAACGAAACCCGAGCAAATCAACATGCGTGAATCACCAAGCAGACACTCACAGACTCCCGTCGATGTATGCGCTCGCAGTTGGGATAAGACTCTGAGGAGCGGGAGCCATCGTCCGGCCCCTCGGGATGCAGAAGCAAGGACCGACCACGGACATGCCATCCGATATACGCAGCATCAGATGGGGCCGAGTGTAGAACATGCCTCTTTGTCAGGGCAAAAAATCTCGTATAATCGGACTGGAGAAAAAAACCAAGATATAAAACCATCCCTCGCTGCTTTTCTTTCCCTTCCTTCTACCTCTGGCTAAACAAAAAAACGGAAACATAAACGGCCACGGGGCCCCGGACTCTGTTCGGCTTGAAATGAAAGTGTGCGCGCACAAGACGACACGATGGGATAAAGCAAACAAAAAGCCTCAAGAGAGTCGTTGTCGAACCGCCATTAAGGGCCCGCTGTATCATCCCAACCAGTGGTATCATCCTAGGTACTCAACAGATTCCTCGCTACCCTGAGCAATGGGTAACTACAGCCAGCCCATCTACCCCTGGAAGCTGCGTCTCTTGTGCTCCTTCTCCGCCTCTTCCTTCACCGTAAGGGTTTCCTGCTGTTGCTTCATCTCGCGGACCTTGGCAAGGACGACCTCGCGGAAAATGGCTGCCTTGATCGTCCTGGACAGGCTGCGCTTCTCGCCGGAAGCAGCTTCGATACCGCCCCTGGCCTGGTCGGCGGCGCTGACGGCGTCTTCTGGGAAATCCGAGTCCTCCTTGTCGTCCTCTTGAGTCTTGAGCATCTCGATTCTGTTGGCGAGCTTGACCATCTCGACACCACGACGAAGCCTGGCCTTGGCCATGTAAGCCTTGATCTCGGGCAGCAAGTTGTGGTCGGTGGCATTCTCTCCGCTCAGCCAAGGATGACGCAGAGCCTCCTGTTTGTGGTGTCAGTGCCATTCATTCTTGACGTCAGTAAGCCAGCACGTACCTCACTGGACCAACGCTTGACCGGCTCTGGCTGCAGGAGGTGCAAAATGAAATCCTTTGCGTCCTCACTGACGTCCTTCCAGTAACGCTCGTGGAAGACCACCTGGGCGTTACTGCACTCGTCGATGAGGTCCTGGAGGTTCTCCGAGCGGAACGGAGAGTAACCGCAGAGAAGGGTGTAGGTAATGACACCCATTGACCACATGTCGACAGGCTTGCCGTGGCCCTTCTTCAGCATGACCTCGGGAGCAGCATAACCAAAGGAGCCAGCCATTGTTGTCAGGACCTCATCCTTGCGGTCGAGCATCTTGGCGATACCGAAATCGGCCAAGACGAGGTCAGACTCGATGTCTCTGGTAAGATAAAGGAGGTTTTCGGGCTTCAAGTCTGTTTATGGAGTTAGTTTGACGGGAATCTCTTGGAGTAGAGGCGCGGGAGGGCGACTTGCCTCTGTGAACGACGTTGTTCTGGTGCAGGTAGTTGACGGCCTCGAGAACCTGCTTGATGGTTTGCGACGCATCCTTTTCTGTGAACTTGCCCTGCTCGCAAATACGATCGAAAAGCTCTCCGCCGGTAGCCAGTTCGGTGACGATGTAGTACTTGTCCTGCGGGCGATTGTCAGAATCGAATGCCAGAGTAAGCCGGACGCGGGGTTCCTTACACGCGACTCGAACCAGTCGACGAATTTGACAATATGGGGGTGCTTAAGACGCTGAAGCATATCCAGCTCGTCGTACACCATTCTCTCGTTTCCCTTGACGTTCTTCTTCAGGATGATCTTGACGGCGCACTTGCCAGTGGGACCATCAGCCTCACGGACGATTCCGTAGGTACCAGCACCAAGAGTGCGACCGAAGCGGTATTTCGCCCTGTACGGACGTTAGGACTTGTATGTATTGAGGAAGTCGATACGGGGGCCGTACTTCTTGTCATAGCTCTCGGGTTGGCCCTGAAGCCTGCTCAGCATGTTGGAGACTGTTGTAAGATTTGCGGTCAGCATCTCGAAGCGCCATTATAGAAGGGCCTGACTTGATCAGGCGATTTGGACAACGAAGACCGTCCTGTCGCAGCCAACATCACGGAAGCAAGGAATTGTCAGACTCACAACTCATTTTGGGTGAAAGAAGACGAGTAACAACGAGGGGAAAACGAAGATGTCTCGGTTCGTGGAGGAGGTAAGATAGCTCCGGGAAGGGAAAAGTCGAGCGACGAAGAAACGGAGGTTGGGCGCGATACTCGAGGCTGGAGAAGAGAAGGGAAAATCAAGCAGCCGTCAGAGAAGACTCTCACCCTGGACTGAACGGAGAAGCAGGTGCTGATGGGAGAGACTTGGCTGGAGGGAGGGGGCCAAGTCAGGGTGCCGTGTGCGCTTGGCTGTGGTGGTGCTGGTAGTAGCTCCTGCCCGGGCTGAGGGGTGAAGTGGGGTAACGGCGGGAAGTAAAGAACAGTGGAGGAGACGAGCTTCACAGGCAAGAAATCAGCTGGAGACTCTGGGGTCCTTGGTCCTTTCGCCCTAAGGATTCTCTCTGGGATTGCGACCTGTAGTGACTTGAGGAGGTATGCGCTGGAGGATGGTTTCACCAACGGAAAGCTGAGGTGAGGGTATTTAGCAGCTGCAAGAGGCTCTGGAAGCAGTCGTATGGTACTTGAAATCACCACGAGAAGCTACCTAATTAAACAGTTGCAGTCAAGGGTCATGGCAAGACGGACATTGAACGGAGTGAGCCTTGTGGGCTGGTGAGAAATAGAAGGATGCTCAGCCGCAACAATTGAGGGGCAGAATGAGGGAAGCACGGACATGGCCGTGATGAGCAAACGGCTTTGGGAGGGTCGCGGAAACTTGGCCGGGCCAGGCCTGCACGCTGCACGGCGCTAGCAGTAGGGTCCGTTGGGTCCTTCACAGGGAAGTGGACCATCCATCGTATGCTGAACGAGACTGGATAATCACTGCTAGATGGTGAATGAGACACTGATTGGATGATTGATTCACTGGAATTGTGAACTGGAAGTATCTCGTGGCTGGTTGACCTGCTCTTCCCATTTCTCCCAATGAAATCACACACAGCCACATTACTGAGGACTATCCCGACAGAGGAGGTGCCATCTGGGCTTGTAGGGCTAGAGGCTAAGCCAAGGGAGGTAATCGAGACGGCAGGTTCGAGTGACGAGTTGCATCAATAGTCTAGGTAGTCAGCAGTCGTATTTATGTGCCTCGCGTTATGCCCAGTCAGACTCGGAAACACCTTTCGCATGCGCAGTTGGTCCGTTCAAGACATTCGCATTTCTTCAAGTACGGGTATCATTAGATGATCTATCCGAAAGGGACTTGCCGCCGACCTGGAGCCTACCTGGAAAACTAAAGATGGCTGCCTCACCGTCGTCACATGTGTCTAGCAGGCAGTTAGCCTGCGGACTGAGCCATGGAAGAGAGTGACGTAGCAAGCGACTTCTGGCTTTGTCACTGCGTCTCTTCTATTTGCATATGCCTACGAAGGAATGCACGATTTCATTTTGTGAATGGGGAAATTGGTGAAATGAAATCGAATACATCTACTTTCCCGAGGATGATGTATGTCAGGGATCTTTGCCCATGTTCTGCCGCGAATTCACCCAGGAAGCACTGGCGAGCTCTCATGAACGGGTCACCTACATTGCTGTAAGCGAATGTCCTCGATACCTTCAGTGAGCTGACTCGACTCATAACCTGCCTATAGAGGCATATGATACTAGGAAGATAGGTTAAAGTGAAGTAAGTATTTAAACACGGCGATCAGATGCCCAGACCCAGTCATGGCCCAGTCGTTTGAAGTTGTTTGGAACTCGTTTGGCCAGTGAGCGCGATCGGGCGCTGTCGCCAGATGACAACTGAGGTCACAGTAGCAACAGTCACTGTAGCAGTGAGTTGCGTGGGTAGTGAATGTCCGTAAGGTGGGGTCCGCATCGCATCAGTCCAGATGCATGAACACTGAATTCATGATGCGGCGTTAAGTATTCGCACTTGGACTTCAATATTCCTTCCAGCGACATATTAGGTAACGACAGGTTCTTTCAAACGTGCCTCCGTACCTACCTTACCTCTAATACCAATACCACCTGGCAAGTACGTCGTCTAGCGGAACTAGGCCGACCAGCATCATCTCCTGCACCTTGCCTACCTCACCTTCATCGTCTTAATCGGCTTTCTCAAGTTCCACTGGCCGTTTCTTTCTTTCTTTTTTTTTTTCCTTCGTCGCGTTCATCAATTCGACTTCATTCGAGGTTTCAGGTTCCTTGACATCACATCCATACCTCGCCTGCGTGTCCCGATCCGGGTCGGCTGTCGCTTGCCTTCCCGCATGCTCACTGCACTTTTTCGGAGGTGCTCGTTCTCATCCTCCTTGCTGCTCTCGGCGGGAACCACCGAAATCGTGGGGTCTGTCACTCGTAGCCCCTCCAACAAGCCCCTCCACCAACCTGTCGAGCAGCCGACTGCCACCCCGTCTCCTGGCGCCAACACACGTTCTCTCTCCGATCACTGCGTTGTCCGATTTCTTCTCTCGTCGCTCGGGTTTCGTCCTTCTGCGCATCATCATGGCCTCCAGCTTTGCCTCAAAGCGCCTGGCCAAAGAGCTGTCAAAGGTATGTAGCCTTCCAGCATCGCAATCAGCCTCAAACCCTACCTTCTTGCGCGACTGCGCAACATGAACCGATCTGACACTGCCTCGCAGCTCCACACAGGCTTGCCGCCCGGTATTGACCTCATCTCCGCCGACAACTTCGAGGAATGGTTCATGGACATCCGAGTCCTCGACGACAACCCTCTGTACCGCAACGAGATCTACAGACTCAAGTTCAAGTTCTCTCAGCAGTACCCCATCGGTATGCGCCTTCCTTACGCATGCCTCCTACCGCTCAAGCTGACCACCCGTTCAGAGCCGCCGGAGGTTACGTTCGTCAAGACGACCGAGCGACCGATCCCGATGCATCCCCACATCTACTCTAATGGCATCATTTGCCTCGATCTTCTTGGCAACCAAGGCTGGAGTCCCGTGCAAAACGTAGAGAGCGTCTGCATGAGCATACAGAGCATGTTGACCGGGAACGAGAAGAACGAGCGTCCGGCTGGCGATGACGAGTTTGTGCGGAGCAACCGTCTGCGACCAAGAGACATCGACTTCTACTACCACGACAACACCGTTTGAGGCATAGGGACGTCATGTGCGGCAAGCTGTAAAGGCGTTGATTTGGATTTGGCATAGGAGACCCTGGGGGAGCCGAGTGTTTGGAGTTTTTCTTCTGCGCGGGGCAAGAGAATATCAGCATGGATTTGGTCTTCCCATAACTTTTATGGGGCGGCCCTCCAGAGAGAGCATCTGGGAAAAGTATTTCGGAAGCGGTAAATAGCATATCGTCCGCGAAGCCATACTGATGGCAAGGTGGACGTTTCAGTCGTCGCGTGAGACGATCTATATCTTTAAACATCCCAAATGGCGGGAAAACTCTACAAAGAATACAGAAGACAGCGAAGAGGTCATTGGGGCCCTCTTTTCCCATACAGTACTTGAGATCAAAAACTGGCTCTGAAAGTGCACATGAAGTTCCAATGGTGATCGCCATTCTGCAGCTCAAGAACACACCCAAGACGGCTGCCCCGCTGGAATTCTCCGATAAAGCTCAGAGATAGCGAACCTGGGGATTTGGACGTCGCAGGCACCCGCTGGGGCCCCGCTGACGCAAGCGCTGCCAGCAGTGAGGTGTCCCGTGCTGCGCCGTATCTAATCTTCGTGGTACCTTAGCTCCCGAGCTCGCTTCCTTCTTCCCCGTCAACACCTCACTCTCTTAGCAGCGGTCAGTCTGAGCTGCCTTCGACAACTTGCTCCCCATCGCATGGAGAGCTCAACATGGCTCCTCGAGCTGGCTTTAACACAGACCAGATAAAGGACAAAGCTCGCAAAGACCTCCTTTACCTGCTCGAGGCTGTAAGTAAGGCATTCCGGGTTGCCTCACAACACCTCGCCAGAGCTAACCCACCTGCGCAAACAGGTCCGCGGGAAAAAGAACCTCATCCTCGAGCGCAGTCTAGCCGGTCCGATCGGTACCATCGTCAAAGTTGCAACGCTTCAAGAATACGGCGTGGATAAGTTCTTCTTCCTGGAGAACAAGAATGCGGATACCAGTCAGCGAAACATCATCTTCATAGCTCGTGGGGAGTGCGCGCACCATGTGCAAACAATAGCAGGTGAGTACTGCTCAGATAAACAGGGCCTAGAAGAAGCTTGGAAGAATCTATACGAGCCTTGATCACGCGATTTCTCATCATCGAGGAAGCCGGGCGATAGCTTTTTCTCGATGCCAGGTGAGCCGTGCAGCGTGCTAACAGCTCTGCAGAGCAGATCCGACGCTTACAGCGCGAGAGTCAAACGGGCCATGAGTTTCACATCTTTTGGGTCCCAAGGCGAACCCTCGTCTCCGACAAACTACTTGAAGAGGCTGGCGTCTTGGGAGACGTAAGCATTTCGGAGCTTCCTCTCTACTTTTTCCCTCTGGAGAAAGATGTCCTTTCGCTCGAATTAGACGACTCGTTCCGCGATCTCTACCTCTCCAAAGATGTCACTCCGTCTTTCCTTCTCGCCAAAGCTTTGATGGGAATCCAGCAGACTCAGGGCTTGTTTCCCAGGATCATCGGCAAAGGCGACAACGCGAAACGAGTGGCCGAGCTTCTTGCTCGCATGCGCCAGGAAGTGCTCGCCGGCGAAGACGCGAGTGAAACGAATCGAGCCGGTTTGACACCAAGCACTCTAACGGAGAGCGTCATCATAATTGACCGCGAAGTTGACTTCGTCACTCCTCTGCTGACTCAGTTGACATACGAGGGTCTAATCGACGAATTGTTCGGGATCCAGAATAACCAGGCCGAAGTCGATACCACTGTGGTTGGCGCCCCATCGCAATCCTCCGCCACCAGTGCGCAAGCAAGGAAACGGAAGATTCAGTTGGATTCATCAGACAAATTGTATGAACAGCTCCGAGATACCAACTTCGCCATTGTTGGAAGCTTGTTGAACAAAGTTGCTCGCCGCCTGCAGAACCTGCAAAAAGACTATGAAGGAAGAAACAGTCAAAAGTCGATCGCCGAGCTCAAAGATTTCGTCACTAAACTGCCGGGATACCAGGCGGAGCAGCAAAGTTTGAGGATTCATACGGGATTGGCAGAGGAGATCATCAAGTACACACGAACTGACCAGTTCAAGGGGCTGTTGGAGGCTCAGCAAAACTTGGCTGCGGGAGCGGACCCATCGACTCAATTTGAGGCCATTGAAGAGTTGATTGCACGGGACACGCCGCTCCCGGAGGTATTGAGATTGCTATGCATCTATTCTTGCATCTCAGGCGGAATCAAGCCGAAGGAATTCGACCAGTTCCGGCGGCTGATACTGGAGGGATATGGATACCAACACATCTTGACTCTGAACAACCTCGAGAAGCTCCAGCTGTTTTTGTCACGCTCATCTCCGTTGGCAGAAATGATTCCCATGGCTGGATCATCTGGCAGCAACACTGGAACAAAGACGAACTACACCTATCTTCGCAAGCTCCTTCGACTCATTGTCGACGAGGTCAAGGAAGACGATCCGAACGATATCGCATATGTCTACAGCGGATACGCACCGTTGTCGGTCCGTCTTGTGCAATGTGTTCTGCAGAAACAATATCTACTCCAGGTCACTCGAGGCAATGGCGCCAGTGGCTCGTCCGGCTCATCTGCAGCTCAAGGCTGGCACGGCTTTGATGAAGCTGTCAAGCACGTTCGTGGACAGACGTTCTACGAGCTGCAAAAGGGCGAGGAAAAGGCCGTCAAGGCTCGTGCACTCCTCTCAGGAGGAACAGAAAAACAGACTGTATTTGTGGTGTTCGTTGGAGGCATAACGTTTACGGAAATCGCTGCTTTGAGGTTCATTGCGAAGCAAGAAGAAGGTAGGCGCCCACATCGGATCTGAACCGCGACTGCGCTCATAACTAACGATTGGATTCATAGCGCGGAGAAACATCGTCATCTGCACGACCTCAATCATTAGCGGAGACCGGATGATGGACGCAGCGATCGAGAAAGAATCGTTCGCTAGAGATACTGCCAAACCTGCGACTCCAAGCCAGTAGATACCAGGTGCCGCGAAGGATGCTTGACAGGAAAGAGGTTGAAAATGCGGCGTTAGATAAATCTTGCCTGGCGGGAAGAAATAATTCAATCTCGATAGAGAGTAATTGCAACCCGTACCTGACTTACCTGACTATCTTGAAAATGAGGTAGTCATTTGACAGCACCTGAAGTCAGCATTGGCAACTACTAGTCATGTCAGCCACGGGAAGGGACGTGGATTCGGGCGGGTGCGGCTTATCACGTGACCCACTTTGTGTCTATGCGCCTCACACCCTCGACGTCCTCCGCTCGAAAGTCGAACGCCTGCACCTTCAAGCGGGTCATGTATCTGACGAGTTCGCCTTCATGCATAAGACCTTGTTTCCCTCAACAGAATTGTCTAGGACAATAGGCAGAATCCCATGCACCTATTTCAGGAGCTCCGCGACTCGACATACCGATTATCGGGACGTGCCAATTCAACATCGAGGACAGTGCGGCCGGGGTGGTGGCGTCTCCGCAGCCAAGGTCGGTACCTCACATCTGTGTCTTCTCATATCGGCCGATTGCCAAATGAGAACTTAAATCAGCTGACTGCCTTTAAACAGAGCGACTATCCAGGTGCAACTGAGATATTGTAACATGGTGTCGACTCAGATTTAGTTCCGTCACATCACCCTCATCCGGGACTTCAGGCCGAGCATCTCTCATCGTTGACGACTCGCCTCCACCATTATTATACCCACCCTCATCACCGAATCCAATCCGAGTCGACGATTGAAACATGAGAACAAGCTTGAGGTCTCGTGTGAAGCAGGAATCTGGATTTGGAATGGGATCGTTGATGGCTTTTTCGAGCCAGGACTCACGCATATCAAACTTGCCGCCTTTAAGGGCCAATGCTCCCTTAAGTCGAATATCCGCATCTAACCTATCGGAATCGACATCGTCCCCATCGAGTCGTCTTTCTTCAGAGGCTGTGTCTGAAATTGCGCCCGAGATTGTAGTCTGGACGGAAGACATGGATCTGGATGACCCAAGCCAGGATGAGGCAGAAGTTACCCCTGCTGCTGCATCCAACTATGAGTAAGTCGATCCTGCGACCTTCTTGAATAGACGCTGCGACTTGATGTTGGCAAACGTAGTATATGGCTCACTGACATCTGCGCAGCACACCTATGGAAGAGGATACTCCATCGGATACTCTTCACATCGAACCACCCGATGCCGTACACGAATCGTTCGAGTCGCCGGCCACAAATCTTTCGGATAGGCAGTCTGAGCTGTCGTCGGTGCCACCGTCCGTTTCTAGTAAGGCAACAACTCCCGTAGACTTGGACGGGCATCACGAAGTCTCTGTGCCATCGACGGAAACCGAGACCCCGCCGATCCGCGAACCTGCGCGACGTTCTTTCAACGTGAAACCGAAGTCTTCTATCCCATCGCATTTGACGAGCTATGAATATGCAGGTCAATGCATTGAGGCGGCCGAGTCCTCGAGGCTTAATCCTTATGCCCTCCATCAGGAAGAATATCAGATGCTGCGGCAGCATATTAGTCATGTCCAAGTGACAACGTATCTCAACATCAGAAACGGGATTCTCCGATTATGGTACAGTAACCCGCGTGTTGCAGTAACGAGGAACGAAGCGGTCGGCTGCGCCAACACCAGATGGTTCGACGTGGCAAGCGTCTGTTATGACTGGTTGTTGCGGCGCGGCTACATCAACTTCGGCTGCGTAGAATTTCCAGCAGTAAAGAGCACAGAAGAAAAAGAACCGGGATCAGAATATGCACCAAAGAGAAGAAGGATAGTGGTCATTGGTGCCGGTATGTCCGGCCTGGGTTGTGCGAGACACATAGACGGTCTAATCCGCCAATATTCGGAGCAATTCCACGTTCTTGGGGAAGAACCTCCAGAAGTCATTGTTCTCGAAGGTCGAGGGCGTGTCGGCGGTCGACTGTACTCGAAAGAGTTCAAGTCGAAACCAACAAAGCCGCAGCCAGATTTTGTGGGGCAAAGATTCACAGCAGAAATGGGTGGCATGATTATTACAGGATTCGAACGAGGCAACCCGATGAACGTCCTGGTACGAGGGCAGTTGTGTCTACCGTACCGCGGCTTGCGATCAGACACTACCATCTACGATTCTAACGGGAAACCAGTGGATTTGGCGAGGGACCAGCTGGTCGAAAAGCTCTACAACGACTGTCTCGATCGTGTCAGCGAATTCAAGTTCAAGTCCCAACCATCGAAACTCATTGAAGGTAATAGGGACTTGATCAACGAGGGTCGAGATGCTGTCAGTGACGGCCACAGAACCATCCAGCAGACCGAAGAAGCCGCGGCGGCTCTACCTCACGCACCGCCCGTCTCGCAGCAGAATGTGCCGGAGCGTGTCAACTTAGTGCCCGTCTCTTCTGACAAGCTAACAGGGCGCGTCCATATGCAACCGGGGACGCCGGGGATCCTCAAGGCGGGAGAGAAGGCCAAACTCATGGGATGGACCCTGAAGAACGGATCGACCAATGATTCCAACGTCGAGCTTAGCGATGCTACGAACTTACCCGATGCGACACTGGGCTCGGTATTCGATGAGGCCGTCACTCAGTATCGCAACATCGTCGACCTGACGGCTCAAGACCATCGCCTCGTCAATTGGCATGTCGCCAACTTGGAGTACAGCAACGCCACGAACATGTACAATCTTAGCTTGGGCGGCTGGGATATTGACGCAGGTAACGAGTGGGAAGGCAAACACACTATGATTGTGGGCGGGTATCAAAGTGTGCCGAGGGGCCTATTGCATTGCCCTACACCTCTGGACGTGCGAACAAAGTCTGCCGTTAAGAAGATCACCTATGATACCCAAGAAAATGGCCGGGCTACTGTTGAGTGCGATGATGGAACAACTATCGAGGCCGATTACGTTGTCTCGACGATCCCGCTCGGCGTATTGAAACAGGGCAACATTCAATTCGACCCGCCCTTGCCAGAGTGGAAGACAGATGCCATTGACAGAATTGGATACGGAGTCCTCAACAAGGTGGTTCTGGTTTACGACGAACCCTTCTGGGATACTGAGAGGCACATCTTCGGGGTGTTGCGAGACGCACCAAACCGCCACAGTCTCAACCAGATGGACTACATTTCGCGGCGAGGACGCATGTTCCAGTGGTTCAACGTCACCCAGACTACGGGTCTGCCGTGTCTTGTCGCCCTGATGGCAGGCGATGCCGGTTTCGACACGGAGTACAACAGTAATGATAGTCTCGTCGCCGAGGCCACGGAGGTTTTACGGAGCGTTTTCGGCTCTAAGGTGCCGTTCCCTGTCGAAGCGATCGTTACGAGATGGTCAGCCGATAAGTTTGCCAGGGGAAGCTATTCCTCTGCCGGGCCAGATATGCAGCCCGGAGACTATGATGCGATGGCCCGCCCCATCGGCAACTTGTTCTTTGCCGGAGAGCATACAATAGGAACGCACCCAGCTACCGTTCACGGAGCATATCTGTCAGGACTGCGCGCCGCATCGGAGGTCTTGGACTCGATGCTTGGCCCCATTGATATCCCGACTCCCTTGGTTCTTACCAAAGAAAGCGCCTCAAACAAGCGCAAGGAGATGGAAGGGCCCAAGGATCCCGAGCAGGCACATTTGGAGGCTTACGAAATAGCACTATGGGAACACATCAAATCCAAAATCGGCGAGGCACCTGCCGAGCCGCCAAAGGCCAAAGGCAGCGCATTCAACCTGTGGAGCAGAGCCTTCTTCGAAGTCGCCCGACAGAAATGTGAAGAAGAGCGCGCGCATAGAAAGAGCTCCAAACCCAACGAGGTGCGCGTCATGCTATCCAAGATGTGGAGGACGGCCACGCCCGAGGAGAAGAAGCCATTTGAAGATCAGGCCGTCGAGCTGAAGGCTGCGCATGCCGAGGCCGTCAAGGTCTACGACGAGAAACTGGCGCAGTGGAGTAAGGATTATGCTCAGCTCAACGCGGCCTACCGCGAAGAGCGTCCGTACGTCCCCTTGAAGGACGAAACGGGGGGGACGGGTACTCCCAAGGATGGCAGCGCCAACAAGCACCGCCGGACCAAACACGTCAGCTATGCCGAAAGCGACGGTAGCGACGTCGAATTTTGAGCGGAGCTGGCGCATGTTTCCCCGTTGCTTGGGCGGTTTGTTGGTGAGGCTAAAAGCATGGTGGTATGCGTGGACTTGCTTTGGTAGCTACGGTGCTTTTTTGCTTTTTTGTTTTGTTTTGTTCTTTGCCCCTTGGCAATGAAGGTGCCCGGCTGATTATGCATACTGGTCGTTTTGGCGTTGAGAGGGAGTAACTGCTGCATATTCCCCCCTTTGGTTCACCCTGGCTCCTCTTACACTGAGGGAGACGGGTCAGTAGGCGCAATATTAGTTAGTTGGCCCTTTGTACATTCCTCCAAAGGCGTATACAGCAATCGACCACTTCGTCTAGAGATCTTTACAGTTGTGTTGGCTGTGTGTGTTTCCTGTCCCTGCTAGCATTCTGCAATCATTCGTTCGTCAGATGCTATGCCTGTTCATACAGGTTACGGTCGACGTCATCATCTGCTAGGTGGGGTCGTCATCAGGAAGTACGTGAGAGTGAGAGCAAAGTCCGTCTCTCGACGCAATCAAGCACGAGCGAAGAGGGTCACCGGTTGTGTTTTTAAAAGACAAACGGTTGAAACAACTTCCATCCATGTTCTAGATCAGGATGTATTCGCGAGGATTTGGTACACTGAGGAGGGCAATAGCCGCCCTTGGTAGCTTGATACAAAGGGAAGAGAGGTAGTAATCATCTCTATCTGATGTGTTCTTTTGCGGATCCCCTGCTTTACATGTCCGCGGAGGCGGTAGCACCAGTGATAATCTCGACCAGCTCTCCGGTAATGACGGCTTGACGGGTACGGTTGTAGAGAATCTGGTACCTGCTGATCATGTCACCGGCGTTCTTGGAGGCGTTCTGGGAAGAATTGTCAGCACATGATAGAGACAAGGGAGTATGTGGGGGGAGGGATATGACGTACGTCCATGGCGTTGCGACGGGCAGAGATCTCGCAAGCGTGACCCTCGGCCAGAGCCCAGTAGATGGAGTTGGCAAGGGCGTACTCGCGGAGGTTGGGGAGGAGCTCCTCATCGACCTCGAAGGCGGAGAAGTTGGCTAATTAACAGTCAACACGCCGTGACACATCACACTATATCAATACATGGGGAGCTTACGGGAAGCGGCAATGGCCTCCTCGGAAAATGCCTCAACAATGGTGGCCTCGTAGGTCTGGGCGTTGACGAACTTGTTGTGGAGGATCTTGATGGAGGAGTAGTCGCCCTCGAGCTGGACGACCTGGTCGGCGATGGCCTGGGCATCAGCGAAGGTGGGGATGTCCTTGCCGACGCCGGCGAAGCTGAGCTGGATGTCCTTGGCGTTGGAACGCGACAGCTGGGACTTGCACTTCTCGCCGAGGATGACGAGGTCGAGCTTGACGTTCTTGTCGTTGAACTCGCGGCGGATGTAGCGGGACAGACCGGAGTGAATACCACCGCAGAGACCCTTGTCGGAGGAGCAGACGATGATGAGCTCCTTCTTGCCCTCGCCCTCGAGGGGCTTGGTCTCGGCCGACTCGAAGACCTGGTTCGAGGTGGCGCCGTAGACGCGGGAGTCGGCCATGGCCCTCTGAGCACGGTTGAGCTTGGTCGAGGCGACGATCTTCATCGTCTTGGTGATCTTCTCGATGTTGCGGATGGACTTGAGGCGGCCTTCGATTTCACGCAGGGTCGCGAAGGTAGCGGCGGTGCTAGGCGCGCTGGCCGTGACTCTAGATGCAGCAATATCGCAATCAGCAATTACTTCTTTCCATTGAATTTTGCCATAGTCCCCCAATTGATGTCCATTTTCTCGATGCCGCGTGTCGTTTTCGGTCGGTGGTGGTGGTCGATCCAACGAAATAGTCCTTTCCCTCTCGTTCCCTTCCTCCGATTTTCCGAGCTCAACAATGTGTGGATTCCGACTTACCGCGAGGGAGCCGCAGCCGCAGCTCGCAGAGCTGGTCTCGCCGCCCGGGAAAGCATTGTGAAATGTCGAGAAATTAGGAGATCGAGGCTCTGCCGTTTGTGGGGATCAATTGATCACGACCGCTTCGAGACCAATTGATTCTGGCGATGCTTCGGGGGATGCGAGATTGGTAGGTAGTTCGAGCAGTTTTCCTTCCGAGCAGTCTTCGCACCCGGCTCTCTCCACAGTGCTTTCCCGTTCGGTCGGCTGCGGTTAAACTCTGGTGCCGCTAGGTTGCTACCCTCCTGCCCGGTCGATGGACTGGACCTGTTCACTAGCCTCATCCCGTGTGCCCGTCTGCCACAGTGACAACGGAAGCCACGGGCCACTTGTTCAATCCCGTTAATTACCTTACCTAAGACGCTTGCCCAGCCACGACATTTTGGCTCCTCGATTTAGCCGGAAAGAGCACGTGAGGGTCCATACAGCATTCCGCTTACTTCATATTTATGTGCTGAAAACCGCAACCTAATAAGCCGATTCTCGTCTTAACGGGGCCCTCATTAACTCTGCTGGAAGGTGCAGTATCGCCGATTTCCACCCTCCCAGGCTCTCGCTCTTTCCCTCGATCCCTCGTGAAAATCTCGACCTCCCGCGCCTTCCTCGACTGTCAGACGTGGGTTTCTCCTGCGTCCAATCCTATAAGTGGCGGCAATTCAATCCATCAGGCTTTTGCCTCTACATCTACGCGATTCTCCTGCGCGGATCGGCTTCTACAACTTTTTCTGCTCCACAAGGCCCCGGTTTTGGACTTTGCGATTCAGATCTTACTTAACCGTCCATAAACGTCGCGAACCGAGACCTTTCACCATGAGCAGCTCCGACGACGACATGCCTCTTGCGAGGTCTAACGGACACAGTAAGTACGCTAAGATCTTGGTTTTGCGCTTTCGGGCGCCTCACCCTTCGCACCTTCCCGTCCTTTGACGTGTCACTTTTTTTTCCAACCTTTGCCAGCCTGACTCGTCGCGTTCCCAACTCGGCTTCGGCAACCTCGAGAAAACTTAACCACTAACTTACTCTTCACAGTCTCATCCTCGAGAATTTCCAAAGCCGAAGACAGAGCTATGGACCGCGCCGCATCCAAGGCCAGGCCAGCCCCGCCCGGCCTTTCTGTTCGCAATGGACCCATCGACGACGAGATGGACGTCGATGGTCCTTCCACGAATGGCGCGAAGCGAAAGTCACGATCATCACTGCCCAAGGTCAATTACAAGGATGAATCCGAAAGCGATGACGATGTTCCAATGGTAGGTTACACATGGCAGGCAGCAGGTGGCGGAGTCCGAGGCTGACGACAGACTCAGGCCAAGCGCCAAAAGAAGCAGAAAGTCGAAGAATCCGATTCGGACGACGAACCTTTGACCGCCAGACGAGGCAAGAATCTGCCTCCTTCCTACAAGGAGACAGCTATGCTCGACTCATCCGATGATGACCAGCCGTTGGGCGCCAAGCTGGCAAAGAGGAAGGCCGACATCGAGAAGGCAGCCGTCAAGGAGGCCCGCAGCATCCGCGCCAGTGAGTCGAAAGTCAAGAAGGCGACACCGAAAAAGGCGATCAAGGACGAGTCCGACGACGATGAACCTCTGGCGAAGTCGGCTACCAAGAAGCGTCAATCGAATGGTTCTGCCAAGAAGAAGACGAATGGCGTCAAGGCCGAGTCCGACTCCGACGAGCCCATTGCGTCAAAGGCCAAGAAGGCGGCTGCTAAACCGGCGGCAAAGGGCAAGGCTGCTGCGCCCGCGAAGGGAGCTGCGAAGAAGGCTGCTGCAAAGACGAAGCAGGAGAGTGAGGCGCCCGAAGATGAGGAAGGGGAGGAGTACGAGTGGTGGAATGCGCCCAAGAAAGAGGACGACAGCCAGAAATGGACGACTCTTGAACACAACGGCGTTCTCTTCCCGCCCGAATACCAAGCACTCCCCAAGAACGTCAAGCTGCACTACGATGGCAAGCCAGTTAATCTCCCCATCGAAGCTGAGGAGGTTGCGTGGTACTTCGGATCCATGCTCGGATCGAAGCACAATGTCGAAAACCCGGTCTTCCAGAAGAACTTCTTCGAAGATTTCAAACAAGTCTTGAAGGAGTCTGGCAAGCCTGCGACAGACAAACAGGGCAACAAGGTCGACATTAAGGATTTCGCCAAGATGGACTTCAATGCCATGTGGGAGTGGTCAGAACAACAAAGTGCCGCCCGCAAGAATCGAACCCAAGCAGAGAAGAAGGCTGCCAAGGCCGAGAAGGATGAAATGGAGGCACCGTTCATGTACTGCAAGTGGGACGGTCGCAAGGAGAAGGTCGGCAACTTCCGTGTCGAACCTCCCAGTCTCTTCCGTGGTCGTGGAGAGCACCCCAAGACTGGAAAGTTCAAGAGGAGAGTGTACCCCGAGCAAATCACGATCAACATCGGCAAGGACGCCAAGGTTCCAGAGCCTCCCAAGGGCCACAAGTGGAAGGCAGTTGTCCATGATAACAAGGCTACCTGGTTGGCTATGTGGCAGGAGAACATCAACGGCGCTTACAAGTACGTCATGCTTGGTGCTGCCAGTGCTATCAAGGGTCAGAGCGATATGAAGAAGTTCGAGAAGGCTCGTGAACTGAAGAAGCACATCGACAAGATCCGCAGGGATTACACCAGGGATCTGAAGAGCGAGGTGATGGCAGACCGACAGAGGGCCACGGCCGTGTACCTGATCGATAAGTTTGCTCTCAGAGCAGGCAACGAAAAGGACGCTGAGAACGAGGCCGAGACCGTCGGTTGCTGTTCGCTCAAGTACGAGCATATCACCTTGCGGGAGCCCAACACAGTCATCTTCGATTTCCTCGGAAAGGACAGTATTCGTTTCTACGATGAGGTCACAGTCGAGAAGCAAGTCTTCAAGAACCTGAAGCTCTTCAAGAAGCCACCCAAGACCGACGGTGACGACATCTTCGACCGACTCACCACGAGTCAGCTGAACAACCACCTCAAGAACTACATGCCTGGGCTCACGGCCAAGGTTTTCCGTACCTACAACGCCTCTTTTACCATGTCGAATCTTCTGCAGAAGCTGAAGGTCGAGAACCTGACGATCGCGGAGAAGGTGAAGCTTTACAACGACTGCAACCGTGAGGTCGCGATTCTTTGCAACCACAAGCGTACCGTTGGTGCCGCACATGAGGCTCAGATGGAGAAGCTCGGCGACCGCATCAAGGGTCTTCGGTACCAGCAGTGGCGCACGAAGATGATGATGTTGGACGTTGACCCCAAGTCGAAGAAGAAGAAGGGCGCAGACTTTTTCGTTCGCCCTGAGGAGTTGGACGACACTTGGGTCCTCGAACACCAGGCTTTCTTGGTTGAGGAGCAGCGCACGAAGATCACCAAGAAGTTCCAAAAGGACAACGAGAAGCGTGTCGCCGATGGCGAGAAGCCCTTCCCTGATAAGGAGCTTAAGGAGCGCCTCAAGGCTGCTGATGAACTTGCCGCCAAGTTCAAGAAGGAGAACAAGTCGAAGAAGGTTGAGGCCGAAGGCCGCAGCCCCACGGTCGAGAAGCTCGATGAGCAGGTTAAGAAGATTGACGAGAGGATCAAGACCCTGGAACTCCAAGCCGCCGACCGCGACGGCAACAAGGAGGTTGCCTTGAGCACCAGTAAGATCGTAAGTCGAATCGCCTCCACCTCACAGAATCAAGCGCTAATAAGATACAGAACTACATCGACCCTCGCCTGACTGTTGTCTTCTCCAAGAAGTTCGACGTGCCTATTGAGAAGTTCTTCTCGAAGACTCTCCGTGAGAAGTTCAGCTGGGCCATCAAGTCCGTCGAGAACGAAGAATGGGAGTTCTAAACCCGACATTTCTTGACCTGAGCAAATTGTGCTCAGTTCAAAGTCAGCTTCACACAAATTTCGCTGCTGTATTTTGTACCAAAAGCATTTCAATTTTTAGCATTTCGACTCCAGCGATAGGCCCCTAGGGGTCCGCGAAAAGGACTCTTGAGATGCCTCGAATTCCGCCGGCGTTAGGCTTCAGGGACGCGGGAGAGCATATATCGGAGGGTGGCACAGTGATGCGACGCATGCATACAGCGAGAGACGACACAGAGAGATATACGGAGCTTTTGCCTGAGAAAAGGTGGCTTGGAGACTTCTTCGCCGTCCGCTCATTCTTGCTATAGAGCCAGATACACCCACAGGAACCTAGATTACCTCAAGTAGTTAATTAAACCAATAAGCGAGTAGACGAAATGTCTTTGCGTGATGTCAATCGAATCTGAGCCGCTGTTGTTGAGAACCGACTGGGGGCTAAATTCGGTTAGGTTTGCTTCTATCGGACGAAGACTGTAGGAAAGCTTTTACACAGCAATCCGAAACTAAAAAATACTGCTTCGCATTTGAGAACTGCAGAGGTGAAAGGCATCACTAATTTCACATCACGGGCGAACAAAAATCAAAAGTAATCGACGTTGGCCTGATTCGAACAGACGCTCCCGAAGGAACAAGATTTCTAGTCTTGCGCATTAGACCACTCTGCCACAACGCCGGATGATGAATGACGGTGCCTTATTCTGGCCCGAGTTGCTTGCTGTGATCGGCTCCACCCCATTGTCAGCAGCACCGCTCAGTTGTCCTCGGCGTCTTTCTTTCACTCCGTGGTTATAAATCATCTTGTGGTCGGGTATGTTCTATTTGGACCGCCTATGATACAGTGTTTCTATCATGTACAGACGATGATGCCTCCGTGTATTTTCGCCGTCCTCATGGCTCTAAAGCAAAAAACGCCGTGACTATGCAACCTCCGGGTCCTCTCCTCGTGGGCTTCCGGGCCCGTTTTCTAAATGTGTTTCCCAAGACCAGTGCGTATCCATTACATTTCATAAACTAAACAATCGAGATTTGCAAATCATCCTTCCCCCGAAAAAGGAAAGTAGTGCCTCCTACCGCCCAACCAGGGCGACAGCACCAACGATGAAGGACAGCAACAGAACGAGCTGCGGCCTCACTGAGTTGCCGGCGTCGGGTATAATCTTGCCCTCGGAGGTCATACGCCAACCCTCGGGGACCGAACCGCCCGTCGGCCTCGCGCTCGCGACCCATGGCCACCCGGTCTGCGTGAGTGTGGCGGACGCGTCGGAGCCGATGCCGCCCGCCGGCACGGTGGGGTAGGAGCCCGTCTCGGCGGCCGCGCTCGCCGTGACGGTGATGGAGCCCGCGCCGTTCAGGTTGCCGTTGACCTTGCCGTCGACGGCCTCGATGGAGCCCCAGTTGCCCGAGGTGTCGGTGTACTTGTATTCCTTGCCGGTGGAGTAGTCGGTGATGGCGACGTCCTTGACGACCATGTGGAAGGGGCCCTTTGAGAAGTCGGTGGGGCCGCGGGCCCAGTCGATGGTGCCGGGGGCGTTGGCCGGGTCGCCGCCGGACCAGGCGCCGAACTTGACCTGCATGGGGGACTGGGGGTACTGGTTCGTGTCGGCGTCGGCCTCGGTGAGGGTGCGGACGACGGTGCCGTCGACGGTGAAGACGATACGCTCCGAGGTCCAGTCGATGGTGTACTTCATGAACTTCTCCTGGTTGTTGTCCGTCTTGTGAAAGGCGCCGCGGTTGTAGGTTGTGACGTCGCCCTTGCCGAAGTAGTTGGACTGGACCTCGGTCGGGTCGGCGCCAAGCCACTCGAGGTCGATCTCATCGAGGGTGTCGGACTGGAGGACGAGGGAGGAGACGATGCCGGCGCCGGTGGCTGCTTTGAGGGTGATTTCGACGCGGCCGAACATGATGTAGAAGAGGGACATGAGCTGGGGCGCCTGGCCGGAGGAGGCGACGGTGAAGGTGACGCCGTCGCTACCGTAGGTCGGGTTGCCGGAGGCGGCGAAGGAGTTGACGGCGCCCTGGGTGAAGTCGACGTGGATTGACATGCCGAGAGCGGTGTCGGCGGGACATGTTGCTGAACAGGAGATCGTCAGGACTCGCTTTATTGATCAAGAGGCGTTCGTCGTGCGACGTTGACTTACTTTGGTGGAGGGGATTGCAGGTAGAATATGTCTGCGCTGAGGCTGTCGTGACCAGCGCCGCGGCCGCAGCCGCAGCTGATGCTATCCTTCTTGAGAAGAGCATCGTGTGTATGTGGTATATGAATTGTCACACGGCCGATTTCAGCTGAACGAAGCCAGGAAAGTCTGTCGAGACAAGTGGAAGCAGAGTTCTCTCACTTGAAGAGATTCTCTCTGGAGTCGAACCACCGGCGGGTGGGGGATCAGCGCGACGCAACGGTGCCCGGCCAAGGTAGCTTTGGGAAGCAATTGGCGACGTCACAGGGAAGCGGGCAAGGATCCGTGTAAGCCCGTGGTACGTCGGACTTGTCTGGTAACACGGGAAGAGCAGAAAAGCAACACACACGCACACGCACGCAACGGGCACACATAGCAGCGGTGAATGGGTTATATGGACATGGTCTTCAACACGACCCGTCCAGCCACTGGCAGGTGCAGTAGCGTCATCGGGCCGTGCAAAGGGCAGTTCCGGGTTTGCGCCCAACCCATGTTCAAGGTGGTAATGTGCCATGGCCGGTGGGGACCTGGCAGCGTATGCGTATGGGCGGCCGAAATTACAGGATTAGAGAAGGAAAGAGAAGGGAAAAAAATCCAAGATCTTGGGTGCAAACCGTTGTGCTAGGGCGATGAATGGCCTTGTTCTCGGTGTCCTTGGGGCGCGCAGAGACGCGGGCGGGTGTTGTTTGAGCCCATGTTCGTTGTCGTTCCAACTCGGATTGGCTTTCCGGGGTGGGAAGAGTTGGGACGAGGGGGTTGGGATGAACCGTGATTGGTCAGGTCGTGGCATAAATGGAGTGGCTGGTGTTTGCAGGTGGCTGGGACCGAGTGAAATCCTTGCCGCTAGACCCTCAAGACCTCGACGAGACCCTCAAGACCCTTCCCAAGAGACGACAGCAGTAGCGCCAATGCTCGTATCTTCGATGCTCCAGGATGGGATCCTCTTTCTTGGTTTCGAGTCGGCGGTACCCAGCAGCCGGGGCTGATGACGAGTGCGGATTCGTACATCTGTCTTGTCTCGGACGCAGGCACAGGAACCAAATGGTGGCAATCCATCGACACTTGCCGGGAGCCGTTCAGCTGGGGGCATTTCTTCGCACTCTGTTCAGCTGGGTTTTCTTCGGTACAGAGTAGCCGTGCGTTTGAAGGAGTGAACCCTTTTCTTCAGCTTTGGCCGGTGTCAGCTCAAGTTCAGCTGTCACGGTCCAGACGCATGGTTCGCCCATGCTGAGGGCGAAAGCTAGTAGTCTGTACGGATATACCGGGGCCGAATTGCGATCCTTCAATGATCGTTACTTAGAAGTCTCTGATTCCGTTGCCGCATCTCGCTCGGCGCGTGGGCTTGCATCCGTACCGGGGCCGGATGGGTCCCCCGAGTGATAACTCAAAAAGGGTCCCACACGGAGCCGAACCCGACCGGCCCCCCTCTACGGAGCCCCCTCACTCGCCGGCTCATTGCGCAATGCCTCCGACGAAGCTAGCCATCCTGCACGCCTTTAGCATCAGCCATCTCGCAACCGCTCAGAGGCGGCCAGCCGCGGTCAGGACCCCTAATTACCTAAAAGTTACGGGCGAATAGTAGCACAATGCGGGGGCATGGGTACCTGCGGGTAGCTGCGGGCTGCCCCACCATTACGATCACCCGCTCCCACCTCAGTGTCAGATACGCCTTATGCTCCTTTATCTTGACGCATGCCAAAACATCACATACCCCTCCTATCACGGCCTAGACTCTCATTAGACATCTTGGACCTCTGGCACAATTTATAAACTTTCACAAAGGAGCAAGACACTCATCATGTATTCAAGAGCCGCTCACCGAGGCCTCAATGGCTCTCTATCACGGGCCCCTCGTCGTCCCTTATCTTCATCTCAACTTACAGACCTCCGGCTCCGGAGCATGGCCCCCGTGACACACACAACAACATCGACACCCTCTTCTCAGCGCCATTTCAACTCGAAATCCGCAGACAGGTCCGTCGCGGATGCTGTCCCTATCGAGAGGCAGGCTACATTCGAGAAGCGACAGCAGCCATCTCCCTTCGATGGCGTCCGGGAACGGAGGGCCAAGGCCGGCAAGCTGATAGCAGGCGTGGCCGCGGCCTCTGATAGTGATATGTTCAAGGCTCCTGTATGAAGAACACTCATATCCTCCCAGAGTGTCCGTTTACTGACCCAATTGCAGGCAGTCGGCAAGCCCAAAGCAAAGCGATGGGACCGTAAGCCCTCCTCTCCTCCCTTGCCTCACTCACTCACTCACCCATCACAGACCACCTCTCAGCTGAGTCTCTCTCACGGCACCCGTGCTCTCTGAAACAGGCCGCCCGCCATCTCAAGAAACCGGGCCTCATCTCCCTCGGCGGTGGTCTGCCGTCCAGCGCCTACTTCCCCTTCGCCGAGCTCTCCGTCCGGGTCCCCACGGCCCCGCACTTCTCCGAGGCCGAGACCCTCTCCTCCGGCCAGCTCCTCACCGTCGGCAAGTACGACACCCGCGACCCGGCCAAGCCCGACGCCGAGTACGACCTCTCCATCGCCCTCAACTACACCCAGTCCACCGGCTCCGCCCAGATGATGCGCTTCGTCACGGAGCACACCGAGCTCGTCTACAACCCCCCCTACGCAGACTGGCAGTGCTGCCAGACCGTCGGCTCCACCGCCGCCCTCGAGCAGACCCTCCGCATGTTCTGCGACAAGGACCGCGGCGACTCCGTCCTCACCGAGGAGTACAGCTTCTCCACCGCCCTCGAGACCATCGCCCCGCTCGGCGTCAAGGCCGTCGGCGTCCCCATCGACGCCGAGGGCCTCCTGCCCGAGGCCATGGACGACATCCTCTCCAACTGGGACCCGGCCTCCCGCGGCGGCCGCAGGAAGCCTCACCTCCTCTACACCGTCCCCTCGGGCCAGAACCCCACGGGCGCCACGCAGTCCGCCGCCCGCCGCCGCGCCATCTACGCCGTCGCCCAGAAGCACGACCTCTACATCATCGAGGACGAGCCCTACTACTTCCTCCAGATGCAGCCCTACGCCGGCTCCGCCTCGGCCCCCGCGGCGCCCCCGCCCGCCTCCGTCGACGACTTCCTCGCGACGCTGATCCCGTCGCTCCTGAGCATGGACACGGACGGCCGCGTGCTGCGGATGGACTCCTTCTCCAAGGTCCTCGTCCCGGGCTCGCGGCTCGGCTGGGTGACGGCGTCGGCGCAGGTCATCGAGCGCTTCGTCCGCCACGCCGAGGTCGCGAACCAGGGGCCCTCGGGCTTCTCGCAGGTCGCCGTGTGGAAGCTCCTCGACGAGACCTGGGGCCACGAGGGGTACCTGCAGTGGCTGATGAACCTGCGCATGGAGTACACGCAGCGGCGCGACTGGCTGCTCGCCGCGTGCGAGAAGCACCTGCCGCGGGACGTCGTCAGCTGGACGCCGCCCGCCGCGGGCATGTTTGTGAGTTTTCTCTCTTCTGGCAGTGTTTGCTTCTAGAAACGATGTACTGACTTATACCAGCTGTGGCTCACCCTCGACCAATCCCGCCACCCGGACGCCTCCTCGCGCCCGCTCCTCGAGATCGAGGAGGAGATATTCGACTCGTGCATCGACAAGGGCGTCCTCTGCGCCAGGGGCTCGTGGTTCCGCACGGAACAGGACACGCCGCTGAAGGACCTCTTCTTCCGCGCCACGTTCGCCTCGGCCAGCGAGAAGGACATGGACACCGCCATCCAGCGTCTGGGAGCCGCCATCAGGGAGAGCTTCCGTCTTTCTTGATCCTTTTTTTTCTATTTGCATGATGTTTTAGCATGTACGGTTGATCTTCTGCATATTATCTTCTCGCGGCCCATGGTTGGGATGAGAATGGCACTCCTTGCATGATACGACAGGGTTTGGAGACATGGCTTTGTTGGACGCCATATCTTGAACATGGTCACTCATCATCACTGCAGTTCGGTGGGATAGCTGACAGGGTAGAGTAAGAAAAGAGAGTTGACGTGAGAATTGTTCATCTCTACATAGCTTCTTTCTTATAGCGACTGGAATATTTGCTACCTCGCTTTCTGATAAGCAAACCACCCAAGTAAGATTAAGTCGCGCCGATGTCAGCGCGTCGTCCCATATCGTAATCGTACGCCTGAGCTCATTGAATACCGATCGGGTCCTTTCCAAAGCCCAATCACGATAGCCTGCCTGATATCCCGCGATACCAATCAGAGGTTCTGAAAGACGCCATCTTCTTTATCTGATAGCCGCGAGCCTCGTTTTCATATGTCGTTCCCGCCTGTCGAGTCCGTAAGCACATTAGCCTCTTGGCGGAGCGGGAAGTAGTCATGAGAAGGGGCGCAGCAGCTGCATGAATAACATGACATGCTCGAAAGCTACATCGAGCTTAATTCGACCCCAAGGACCTCACTGTCTCTTCGTTGTCAAAATGTTCCTCGAACTCAATGACGTCGCAAGAAACGCTCAGCGCCTTTCCCATGAGGCCTAGTCCTCAAGTCGACGTTCATTCCTGCTTCGGGCCCTTGTAAAACGCAACCTTGACTCCCTGACCAGGCTGCAGCACGATCTCGGCCTTGAGCATGGGCTTGCCGCCGTCGACCTCGTCCATGAAACTCTCGACCCTCTCGAACCGCTGGAACAGCCGACACAGCGTGTACCCCATCTCGGTGAGCGCGAACTGCTGCCCGATGCAGATGCGCGGCCCGCCGTTGAAGGGCACGTACGTCCACGGCTTCGGCTGCCAGTGATACCACCTCTCGGGGCTGAACTCGCTCGGGTGCGCGAACTTCTCGGAGACGGGCGGGTACAGGTCCTCGCGCCTCTGCATCAGCAGCGTCGAGTACCCGATGGGGGTGTCCTTGCACACGGCCAGGGGCAGGGTGCCGTCGGGCCCGCCGCCGACTGGCAGCGTGGTGTCCTTGAGGGCGAGGCGGACGTTGAAGGGCACGACGGGGTACAACCGCAAGATCTCGTTCATGACGTTCTGGAGGTACTTCATGCTCTTGAGGTCGGCGTAGGTGGGCTCGCGGTCGAGGCCGACCTGGTCGACGATCTCGGCGCGCAGCTTGCGGACGATCTCCGGGTGGCGGCCGAGCTCGTAGATGGTCCAGGAGAGGGTGGAGGCGGTGGTGTCGCGGCCCGCCAGCAAGACGGCGACGAGCTGGTCGCGCAGGACGGTGCGGTCGCGGGTGAAGCTGGCGAGCTCGTGGAGGAAGGTGTAGCCGTGGTCGGACTTGGACTTGGAGGCGAGCTCCTCGGGGCTGAGGCGCAGGGCGCGCTCGATGAACTTGTTGACGAAGGCGTTGATTACCTGGAGACCCGCGCGGAAGGAGGTGCGGGGGACGAAGGGCTTGAGCTTTGCGGCGCGGGCGAGGATGTTCTGGACCCGTTGGACTTCGTTGAAGGCCTCGGCGAACTCTTGCTTGATTGTTCTGCGGGGTGTTAGTCTGCATAGGGGTACTGACTGGCATTTGGGACCTACGTGAGAGACTTGACATCTTGGCCAAGAAGGAAGTCGGTCGCTACGTCGAGTGTGTAGCGGAAGAACAGCTCCGAGATATCCATGACCTTGCCGTCGGCGTTCATATCAACCACCTGGTCCTCGCCATCGAGAGCACCGCCATTGGCAATCGCCTTAAAGAGGGTCTGGATGTGCGTCTCGAAGCACTGCAAGTCGCTTACACGGTCCTTGACGAATTGCGGGCGAATGAGCTGTCTACTGGCGTGCCACTGGTCGCCGTCGGTGGTGAAGATGCTGTCGCCCAGAAACTCGTGCCATTCCTCATGGAACGGCTCTCCCTTGCCGTAGTCGGAGAACTGCGTGGCGAGGATGGCCTTGATGTTCTCGGGCTCGGCGGTGAAGACGATGCGCATGCCGAGGACCCTCTTCTCGCCGGTCCAGCCCTTGACCCTGGACAGCATGTCGAGCCAAAAGTCGACATTCTTGTGCGTGACGGCCCCGCGGACCGCCTTGAAAACGAAGTCGATTCCTGGGACAGTGTGAGCGGGAGGGGATGATCTTCTACAGCGGGGGAGTGCCTCGAGGAGAGACCTTCGATTTCATTCCTGAAGGGTCGTAAGAAGAAAGAAAACCTACCGCCGGGGAGATGGGCGTTGAGATTTTGGCCGCGGGTGCCGGGGGCTAGACGGCGCAGGCGTACGGCCTCGTCGAGGCGCGAGACGGCGATCCATAGCCACCATGCCACTACCGCAAAGACGGCGACGGCCTTGACGGTGACATATTGGAGGGCTGTATCGACCAAGCCCATGTTGACTGCTTGGATACACTACCGAGCTAGATTTCGTATGACCTGGGTGGTGAAGATCTCGGTGAGGAGTGAAAATTAAAGTGTCGTCTAAAGGCGGGATGGAACCGTCTTGTGTCTGAGAGCGTAAGACAAGCTCGGTGAGACGGGGTGCGGAAATTGGAGGTTTGCTATATTTCCTGTTGCTGCGTTACCAGGCCAGGAATGAAAGAGCCACCCCACCGGAAAACAAAAAAGGGAGTCGAGGAATTCGAAGGTTGAAGAATGATATCACGAAAGCGAGAAACGGAGAATCGGGGTAAAATTCCCAGCGTGGGTAAACCAACGGAACGGAAGACAAGACGTCTGATGATATGGGCACAGACGAAGAGGATCATCGGTATTAAGTATGTATCGACTAAGCTAAAAAAGAACGCCAATGCAAGCAGCGGACAGGCACCCTCACGACCCTCCACAACCCTCAACCCTTCACAGCTACCTACCTAGGTCTCAAGGATTGGATTTCGATACTTTCTTACTGCTCGATCCCCACTTGTAAGCCCTGGTCCATGTTTCCCTGCCGCACTTGGACTACTTTTGCGTGGTCCTCGGAAGCGGGTAGGCGGACGCTACGCTACCAACACACTAGAATACCTAGGTAGGGTAGACAACAGGAAAGAAGGAGAATGGACGACAAACGCGAAGGGCATCCCGCCAAGAAAGAACCCAGAAGCAAGATCGAATCATGCGGCAGGTGGGTTTTGCCCGCTTACCTTTTACTTCACTTCTGCTGTACTGCGTAGAGGTATGTTCTGTCGTCCGTCCGCGCACCGCCGAAACACTTGCCTTTCTGGCGTGTTAGCGGCCGTGTGAACCACATGGCAAGCCCCCCCTCCTCCTCCTCTTCCCCATCTGGTGTTTCTTCTACCCGTCGACGACGCTGCGCCGTATCACACGGGGGTAACGCACACTCGGATATATTGGCATGGCTGACCTTGCACCGATCTGCACGGCATATATACATACAAGGCGGTGTACATACCACGTACAGTCCGTGGCAGGCAACGGACGAGACAGCAGGAAGCAGGTTCGTCGCACAGCACGAACGGACATGGCAAGAGATTTTTCTCGTGATGCTTCGGTGGGGAGCTGAAGATGACTGCCGGCGGGAGCCGAACCGCTTGGCAGTCGCTGCAGACCTCGTCACTTTGATGTGATCAGCTCTCTCGTCCATCATCTCGTCTTGCTCCCTCTTCCCCCTCTCTGTCTCCAACGTCAGAAGCCAAACACAGCACACCAACACCGATGTATGGGTTACAAAGTCTGCAAGGGACATGCCCATGCCGAGGTGCGACAACAAGAGGGAAGTCGCAGACGGGCATGTGGCAGGTTTTTTCTTTCTTCCAAAGTTCCCTCGCTCTTCTGCTTCGCTCCCGTCCTTCAGAGATGAGATGGTTTGTCATGGAGGAAAGCAATTGGACGAATGGCGAACCGAGGAAATGGGCCATTTGGAAGCTTCCAACACCTAGCAGGGATATACATCGTGCGGGATCACTCCGAAGCACTGTCTGATTAGCGCAGATTCGACGTGCCTTAATGCCCTAAAACACAGTGCGGACTAGGTCCCGCCGCCGCGATCTGAATACCCAGAAAGGGAAGGAACACTTGGCTTGCTGCCGCCCTCCGCCATCGACCCTGGCCTCACCCCGCAAAAGGATCCCTCCCCCGGCTATCATCGCCCACCACCTCCGCCCCTCCCGGTCAGCTTGACGCCTCCAACACTAGCATCTCTCGGTGTCCGAGGAGGATTACCAAAGGCTTCGGTTGATTGGTCGTGTGTATCAAGTCTCGTGTGTCTGCTTGTAGATGATGCCGTCTCGCAAGCGAACCCGTTCATGCGGGTTGGATGCGGACCTCAGCGTCTGGACAAACTTCCAGGTTCCTGGACAGCGCCGGTATCCCGTCCATTCCAGCAGGACCTCCGGATGAACCCTCGTGCCAACGGCGAGCGGAGCGGCCCTGACCGCCGTCGGGGCCCGTCTACCGCGCCGACTGGCTACACGAAACCCTGAAAGTTGAAGCCCAACTAGCCATGTCATGGTACTATCATGAAATCGTATTACTGGCCGACGAGGTCGTTACGTCGCCTAAGAAATGTACAGAAGAATATTCAGTCCTGTCGGGACCCTTCACCTCGTTAGGCCTAGGTTCCTGTGAAGACGAGCTGCGGCGTCGTGTGCAATTGCTCCACTCCATCACCGCCGACGGCTTCTACGTAATGCTCTCAAGCGATAGTGTAGCCGCACTCGCCCGCGTCTCCTTGCGTACAGAACGGCATCTGCACAGGCTCCGACCTGACTCCTCGAGCGACCATTCTCTCTCTGAACTCGGCGAGCCTCGGTGCGGCGTCGTACTGGCTTCGGTTCTGTCCCGACGCATCCTGGCGGCCCGACCAGAGGACCTCGCCCGCTGCACTGGCCCGAGGCCACAAGATGCCGTCTATGCTGACCGGATCGATGGACTCGCTCCACGCGGCAACTTCTCCTCCCAGCACGAGCTTGGCCTCTTCCTCCGTCAGATTCGCCCTCGGGTCATGCGAGTAGACGAGCCGCCATCCCTTCGCGGGAGAACACCAGTCGTTGAACGGGAAAAACTGTTCAAAAGATGCGCCGTTGTCGAAGTTCATCCAGTGGCCACGGCCGCAGTCCAGATACTGCAAAAGTCAGCCTTGAGTCTCTCATCTCGCTTTTACAAAGCATCAACTAACCCAAAAGTTGTAATTGCTGTCAATGACTTTGTGGCCTTGCCTAGTCAAGTTCTTGACAGCTCCGTCTCCGAGCCACGACTGGATGACCACGTCGTCTCCGAGTGTGATGTTCCAATCGAGCCTGATCTCTTCCCAGACAAATGGCACAAGCCCGTGCTTGCGGATTCGGGCATGATTCTTGTCCATGAACTTCTGGAGGAGGGGCTGCAGGACCTCGGTCGAGTTGGACTTGACACCACTGTCAAGCATGGAGTCATTCTTGTTCAGTTCATCGCCACCAGTGTGGAAGTATGCCGTGTAGGGGTTCACTCTCGGCAAGAAATCGTCGAAAAGCTTGTCGAGGAAGTCGTCCACCCGGGAGTCGTTCATCTTGAAGGCACCGCAAGGCGGTTCCTGGCACCACCACTGGTATGGCTTCTCGTTGTACGCCACAATCAGTTCTGGATACGCAAAAGCGACCGAACCAGTGTGGCCGGGCATGTCGATTTCAATAATGGGTTCGATCCCGCGGTGGACCGCATACTCCTGGATCTTCGCGAGGTCTTCGGGTGTGTATGAGAGCCCCTTCTGGTATGCGCCTTTGGCGGAGAGATCAGGCATCGCCGGAATGTCCAGTGGCCACGACTGCGAGTCTGTGATGTGAATATGGATTCGGTTCAGTTTGTTCCATGACATGGCGTCAATGACCCTGAGAACATCCTGGACGGGGAACCAGTTGCGAGCCACGTCGATGAGAATTCCTCGATGGGAGTAAAGCGGTTCGTCTTCAATCGCGATTGGCGCGAGTGTGGTGTACCATGAGGTCCCGGAAGTGTGCTGGTAGAAGAGCTGAGCGAACGTTTCGAGTCCCCGGAGGACACCGGTTGAGGACTTGGCCGAGAGTGTTGCCGCACCGTCCTCCGTGATGTTGAGAGAATACGACTCGTCGACCTCGCCAGCGAGAGGTTTGAAGGTGTTTGGCTTATCTTCTCCCGTTTGCGTAATCTGTAGTGACTTTACCGCTTTCTTACCCTCCGCGTTCAGATCCGGCTCGAACTGGCTGTTCTTCGGGTGGAATTTCCAGGGGACGAAGTTTTGCTGGAAGATGGCGGCCATGGCGCGCGATACGCCGCCCTGTACGATGTCTTTGCTGCTGAAAGCCGATCCTGAAGCTGGGCTGTACCCATAAGTATACGGCAGCTGCATGTTAAACAGATTCTCAGTATGCTGTGTCTTGTCACGGGAATCAGAATCAGAAGGAAGCCAGCGTACAGATCCCCCATTGTATGTGATTTCCAACGTTTGGGTTATGAACAGAACATCTTTGCCGGTCGAGAGCTTCTTTGGGGCAGGCCAAATGCTGGCGCTGACCTGGCTCAATGCGAGAGAGAGGAACACGAGAACGAGTGGGGGCAACATGTTGGGCGTTGGTAGGTAGTGGAAAGGATGAATGGGTATAGATAAGGGAAAGAAACCCCGTTGCTTCGATTCTCGAAGAAGAACAACTCTGGGTCAGGGCTGTTGTTTATAAGAAAACCGTTACACGAGGATGCAGGCGGTGTCTCTTGGACCAGACCCCTTGAGGGCAAGCTTCTCAGCCACGACGAACCAGGCGTGTCTCGTGCTACCTCGAGCTGCAGCGACAGAAAGACAAACGAGAACAAAGCAGCGATCTGCTTGTAGACCGTTGGATCCTTGCTCCTGTGTGCAGGTTCGGTAGGCTGAGGCAATGCTGGTGGTTGGGAGTAAACCCCCAATTGACTGGTCGCTGCGATAGGTTGGCTGGGTCCAAGGCGCAACGTTACGTCAAAGCTCGAGGACGACTTGAGTCCGCTCAACAACCAACGCTACGCTGATGACGGAGGGGCGGCGAGTTATTGTACGGATTTTCGAGAATAGGGCAGGCCTGACAGTGTCGCAAAAAGAAAAGAGTTTGTTTCCTGCCGGGGGACAGGAGGGCCTTGATATATCGGGCGAGGACTGCAGTATGCAGGGCTGGGTTGGGTAATGGTACGATGCAATATGTTGATCTCTCCAAGTGTCCGTTCGTAGTAATCAAAGACGACAAATTAAGAGGCAGGACCGGGTATGATTCGTCGTCGCCTCCAGTGTGCAAGGGGTACGCCTATAGCAGACTTCGAGGCACAGGGTAGACGACTGCGGGAGGACAAGCGGCTGTGCTTCGATGTCGACGCCAACGCCACGCCAGGGACTTGACAAGCTGAAAGGCCGAGAAGTCGGTTTGGGGGCTGCGGTGGCCGGCGCGAAGGTTGGGACGGATAGTCGACCGCTTCGGCCTTCGTCTTGCTGCAGACGCGGGACTGTCAAAGAACTGGCCCGTTGAACTGCTTTAGCGGGCGAATACCGATCACTCGATAATCAGATGCAGCTTGGTGAGAGTAAAGATGGTGGCCTCAACAGGTTGTCGCAAGGAACAGGACGAGTATTGTGAGCGGCCATTGGGATCATCATCCGACCCTGACCGGGCAATGCAGCGAAGGCGGAGAGGGGAAGAACAGGGAACAAGAGCGACGATAGCGATTGCCAAGAAACCAACGAGCAAGTAAGCGTAGCCAGCCGGCGTGGCGGCAGGGGGCGGGGAAACGGCACTAAGACCCAGTTCAACTTTAATTGCCGGCCGTGGTGATGATAAAAAAAAAAAAGCCCGACATGCAGGAGCTGTTGAGAGCCGGAGTAACAAGTGCTTAGAGGCATTTGGCATGCTAATTGCATATGTAGTCGGCGATGGCACTGGCTGCCTGAAGTTACTCGCCAGAACCATCGGTTGAAAACCGAACATCTGTATAAAACTTACAGTCTTGATCGTGAAAGAGGATGTATGAACGGATATCAACGGAGAATCATCTCATGCGGATACATAGTAGACTTGAAGTGGTCACTCGACCATTTGCGGCAGCCAAGAACCCAACGTTGTCAGCCAAGATCGGGGCGCCAGCTTGCAGACCGGCATCGAAGATCTGCAACGTAAGATCCTTATCAGCTCTGATAGGTCGACCGAACATCCTCCACGATGATTGCTCCGGTCTTGGAGGCTGATGATGGAATATGGGCTGCTAGTGCCAGGACGCGGTTGCAGCATGTAGGTCTCATGCCTGCGTTGTAACATTTCATTGACAACGTTTGAGGTTGATTCGTATTTCAAGACACCATCGCGGAAGCAGCCAGAGAATCCTCCCACGCTTAATCACCTACCTAGGTACCTTGACGTGCCCGAGATAAGGTAGTTAGTGGTTCGGCTTCCATCTGTACTGCGGTAAGATCATTGCGCGCTGCAACTCCCGTCGACAGTTCAAGAAAAACGTGATACAAAGCCTGTTGGTTTTAAGGTGCCTCGGTAGGAAGGCAAGGTAGGAGGGCTCTCACACACAGGCCTAAAACAGGCTGTGTTCTGCAGTGGCTCGTTGAGCGGCCGGGTACAAGAAAATAAGAAAGCGCCCATTCTTTCAGTTAAGTAACTATCGTATTACAAAGCTGGAAAGTCCTGGATCGTTTTAGACGAGTCGAATTACTGATCTCTTTGAGATGGCAATCCCTTGGCTTGTCAAGGGAAGGAGGTCAAGCAGTCTCTCAGAATACCGGGGCAGTGAAAGATGCAGGTAGGTAGCTAGGACGGTGACTAAGGCAAAACCGTTGCATGCTGAATAATACCCGGTGGGTCGCCACATCCAGACCGCAATCTTCCAAGTGAGTCACGTGCCTCCCCCTTCTAGCCAATCACAATCCCGAAAAGATCTTCTGTGGATCAGACAAGAAGTTGTGGTGAACCAGTCTTTCCTAACCTTACTGACCTACCTTAACCATTTGCATCATCACATTCTTTTGTTGCTGCAAAGAAAGACCGGCGGCAACAACCTCACCCGACGACTGCTAGCTATCTATATACCCATACCCAGGCCTCAAATTCCGACACGCGAACTTCGCATCGATACCCTGCAAACTTGTCTGGCGCGCTCGCTGCCTATACTTGCCACTTGCCGGCTACGCGTCTCTTCCTACCGTCGCCCTCATTTCCCGATCACAACCTGCGATCGCATTCGAAACAAGACGCGACTTTCGCCTCCTTGGCGCTTTCCAAAATGACGGTTCAAGTCGTTCTAAACACCCCGCTGGCGGATTCCCTGACCAAGGCCATCCAACCGAAACTCGTCGAAGCGGGCTGGGCATCTGACGATGGAGAGCTTGCCGAATACATCATTCTCATGCTCGTCAACGGTCGGACACAAGACCAGATCGCCCATGAGCTCGCCACCGATCTTCTCGGCCTCGACCCTGCCGATCCCGCCTGCAGCGACTTTGCCAGCTGGCTATTTCAACAAGCAGAACAGCTCAACGCGCAGTTGAACGGCTCTCAAGCTGAAGGGAGCGATGCCATGGCCGGAATGACCCAGCAGGATGCTTCATCTGGCGATATGGACACCGATATGGGCGCAAATGACGCCAACGAACTCAATGCGTATGTTTCTCATTTCCCAAATCCATCCTGTTCATGAATTAACAAGGTTCAGTCCAACTGGCCCGCGCTCGATGCGGAACGGTCCCAACGCTCGCGGAGCAGGACGCGACAAGCGCATGCTTGGCCACATGTCCAAGGCTATGGACAGGTCAGGCGACTCAGTCCTCCACCGCACTCGCGGCAACGATAGAATCAACTCTCACGGGCGTGGTCCCCCTTCCGGCCCGAGAGGCGGCATGGGTGGACGTGGTGGCCGGATGAACGGTCGCGGAGTGAACATCCAGGCTGGTTTGAACGCGATGGCGGGCATGAACGGCCAACAAGGACCTCCCGGAATGAACGGCATGAACGGCGGTTGGGGGATGCCCGGCGCAATGGCCGGAGGTATGCCAGGAGGAATGCCCGGACAGCAGCACTTGGATCTCATGGCGATGATGGAGCAACAGCAGCAGATGATGAACCAGCTTCAACACCAGCTTATGAACCAAGCAGGTGGCCGTGGTGGGCGCCGTGGTGGCAAGTCTCTATTCGATCGAACACAGAATCGCAACAACTTCAAGAATCGCCAACCCAACGACAGGTCAGACTCGGCCATGACGGAAGGTGGAGCTGAAGGCGAGGATGTCGACATGGGACAAACGAAACGCGACCCGCCCAACCCGGACGACACGGTGTGCAAATGGAACCTCCAATGCACCAGGAAGGACTGCCCGTATGCGCATCAGTCTCCTGTGGCGCCACCTGGTATCACTATCGACCTTAACGATGTCTGCACCTTTGGCGCCGCTTGCATGAACAGGAAGTGTGTCGGTCGCCATCCATCCAAGGCTGCGAGACTTGCCCACCAGGGCGAGCAAGACTGCAAATTCTTCCCCAAGTGCGCAAACCCGAGATGTCCGTTCAGGCACCCCGATATGCCATTGTGCCGGAACGGAGGCGGTTGCACCACACCCGGTTGCAAATTTACACATGTTAAGACCAAGTGTAAATTCAACCCCTGCATGAACCCTCACTGCATCTATACCCACGAGGAGGGACAGCAAGGAGCCTTTAAGGACAAGGTCTGGACGGCGGATGACGGTGATCACGTTAGCGAGCGCCAATTCGTCGACGCAAAGGCTGATCCCGAGGTGATACTCCCCGAATCCGAAGCTGCCGTCAAAGAGGAGCAGGGCAACTTTCAGGAGGAGGTCATCAGCTAGAGAAAACGCGGTTTATGGCTATGTGCTTTCTGGGGAGGAGCGACTTGGGGCACGATGGGGAGACGAACGTGTCTGGAGAGAGCGTGGTATCTACAAAAAGGAGGCCTAGGCTGGCCGGCAAAGGAGCAGCGACTTCTTGTATGATAATTGGACGATGATGTATGGCCAAAGCGGCAGGGCACATTCGGCGTTGCAGGTGCGATTATTCCTATGTTCATGTATAGAGGTGGCTTGAGGCAAGCCAAAACACCCCTCAGAAGGCACCAAGATTGTGGCCTCGAGAGCGTTGGGGCAAGCAATGCATTTGTTATCTGGCCTCATACTGGGTCTTGGACATGTTCCTTCGTGCATCACGTGTGTTGTTACTGATTGCCATTTCCAGCCTTGTGATGTTCCGGACTTTCTGAGGTACGGGGTAGAGGTATCCTCCGGTAAGAACTAAGTAAGGTAGAAAAATCACTTCAAGTAATCAATCCGATGTTTGTTAACGAAAGATCGCGCCGACGTCGTCGATCCAGGTGATGTTTGTTCAAAGTGCCGTCGGGGTGGGTCTTCGAGGCCCGTAGCTCCAAATTCGCCGGGAGGCACCTCATGACCCCTGCCCAAAACTTCCACGTCGTGACGCCACTCTGAACCAACAGCTTTCCCACAAACACGACTTTTCTCGCGTGCCATTGCCATTTTCAATGGTCTCTAGGACGGCCGACGATGCTTTCATGGCTCTACTGAGATCTTACCACTCACAGCGCTTTTGCCGCGCCGCGGCTCTCGGCGCCCGCAATGGCGTTACGGCATCGTCGCGATTCTCGACGTCTGCCCTCCTCCCCGCCGCGAGCCCGCCGCGCAGCAGGATAGAAACGTCGGACGGTAGGCAGCCTCGCTACAAGCCTCCGCCGCAAGCTGCCAGAAGATCCGCCCCGAAATTCGAGCTGCCGCAGGAGGTTGCCATCGTCGGTGCCGGCATCACCGGCCTGACCACGGCACACTACCTTGCGAAATGGCTCCCCGAGACCTCCAACATCACCATCTACGAAGCCGCCGACCGCACCGGCGGCTGGATCAACACGCAGATTGTCGATATGGAAATGGGCGGGCATAAGTTTCCCGTGCGCTTCGAGCGCGGCCCGAGAACGCTGCGCGGCATGGGGAAAGATACGTTCAGATTCGACGATCTCGTGCTCTTCGACCTTGTTTGTCACCTTCCCACGAGAGAGTTGTCGCCACAGCTGACGAAGACTTCAAAAATATAGATGCGAGACCTGGACATGATCAAAGAGTACCGAGGAATCCGGTCCCCGCCTCGATACGTCTACTACCCCGACCACCTGGCCAAAATGACACCCGGCAATATCTTGACCGAGCCGGTCTTCAAAGGCGCCATTCCGGGCTTCCTGACGTTTCTATATCGCCGCCATTTGGCCCGCAATGGCAAGCTGAAACTCGAACCTGACATGTCCGTCGCCGAATTCATCAAGTTGACTACGGGGCGCCCGGAATTGGTGGACAACATGGTCTCGGCGATGATCCACGGAATCTGGGGTGGTGACGCCGATAAGCTCAGCATGCGCAGTTTCATGCCCGCACAGTGGTGGCGTTTTGGCTACAAACCATGGGTTTCCGACGACGAACAGCGCAACATTGATCCACTCCTCATAACACGGCAGGAGAAGGGTCTGATAGATTCTTTGGGCGGAGATGAGGAGTTGAGGAACTTGCTTCGGACCGCACAGAAAGACCAGCTTGTTCAGTTTAAAAACGGCATGAGCAGCTTGCCAGACACAATTGAGAGAGAATTGCGCAAGAGGAAGAATGTTCATTTCAAGCTCGGCGAGCCCGTCTTGGATCTAAGGTACCACGAGAAATCCGAAAGAGCTGTGGTAAGTAACCCTTTCTTGCATACTGCGCAGCTGCCACTGACACTCCCGGCTCAGCTCTTTTCAAAGTCGTCCCCCGAGACTCCCACCTTTTTCAACAAGATCATATCGACGACCACAAGCAACGCACTTTACCGCATGACAGGCGGTGCCCTTCGCTCACTCGCCGGCTCTCCTAACGTCTCGATCATGGCCATCAACCTATGGTACCCTGACCCGAACTTGAACGCAAACCACAAAGGTGTCGGCTACCTCGTCCCCCGCTCGGTCGATAACCCCGAAGGCCTGCTCGGCGTCTTCTTCGACTCGGACGTGCTCCTGCGCGCCGAGGGCGAACCCGAGGGCACCAAACTCTTCGTCCTAATGGGCGGCCACCACTGGGCGGGCAAGCGCAAACCGCCGTCGGAAGATGAGGCAATCCAGATGGCCAAGTCCGTCGTCGAGCGTCACCTCGGCATCCCCGCCGACACGCCGTGCTGGTCAATGGCGCACTACGCGAAGAACTGCATCCCGCAGCACCACGTCGGCCACTGGGAGCGCATGGACGCCGTCAGCACCGAGCTCGCGTTCTGCTTCTTCGGCACGCTGGCCGTCGCGGGCGGATCGTACACGCCGATCGGGGTCACGAGCGGCATCCGCGCCGGCTACGACATGGCTCTGCACATCGCCCGGTCGGCTCAGGAACACGTCGGCGAGACGGGCCTGGGGCTGTACCAGGAGGCGACACCCCAGTTCTTCCTTGCGTCTCGGCGGAAGATTCACCAAGTAGGCCGTGACATTTCGCCCGAACCATCGCTACTGCGGAGCCTCTTCCAGTAGACGACCTACCGGCAACGCCCTGCGCGTGCCTTGTATAGATATTATTGTACCATCGCGGCTCGGGTTATCTGCGTGTATGGAGAAGATGTGTGTGCGAGCTTTTTAAAACTGAGGAAAGGTCGATGCGGTTGTAGACGAGCATGTCGCGCTCCGCGTGTGGACGGATGCAGCGACTAACACCCCTGTCTCTTGAATTATCATGAATCACATATACATCACATGCCAAGCCCAGTTCGTCTTGGTAGAATTTACAAATTTATTGGAGGTATCACTGCGACCATCTATTGGTCGACGTCGGCAGGGCGAGAGCGCGCGCTGCTGCTGCTCCTCTCAAGGGCACGATTACCGCCATGCCAGTTCAATCCATCTCCATGCATCCATCCACACACACGCGTCCTGTATACCCAGCCCTTTGGTATCACGTTGTCTGATGACTGATGATGATGAAGAGGGAGTAAAAGTAAGAAAGGAAGAAAAAGAATAATGTGACATCGATACCTTGCAATAAGGTATATGCTTTTTTTTGTTTTTCGAACCACCACCTCGCCGGCCGCCTAGTCGAGCACCAAAGGCGCCTGCTTGCTACCCGAGGTCCTGTTGCTCCCCTGGCTCTGGCTTACGGAGGTGGGTTGCGTGCCGAAAGATTGGCTCGCGCTGAAGGTCTGGCTGAGCTGCGTCGGGGCGCCATCCGTCGAGGGCGGGCCGTTGGCGCTCACCGAGGCGGCGTGAGTCCTGACGGCGTCGTCTACTCTCGTGAGGAGGTCCATAGTGCTCGGCCCGGGCCGGGACGCCGCACCGGTGATGAGTCCCCTCCAGCCATCACCGTGGGATTCCCAGACAGGCTTGATGACCTTAGCGAACTCGTCGTCGGAGCCGGCGGCTGCTCCGTCGCCCCGTGCGCGGGAGAGATGCCACCAGATCTCGTTGCGCCTCACTTGGGTTCTTATATCCAAGGCGAGGATCCGCGGCTGCCCGGAGGCGCTGGGGAGCGTATACCGAATGCAGATCCAGTCTATCGACCTTGCAAAGACCTGGACGCGCCCCTGGTTCGTAGACTCCAGCGCCTCCCATTTGGATTCGATGGTCTCGAAGGTTCTTAGGATCGGCAGCAGTAACGGCATAAAGACGATAATCGCTTTGAGACCGTCCTGGGTGTTGACCATTTTAACGAGCAAGTCCAAGACTCGCAGATGTGGGTTGCCCTTTTCCAGAGAAATGCGGACGTCGCTCTTCGAGAGGTCGAGGGTGGCTCTCCAGCGTCTGGGCTTCTGGGCGGCATTGCCCTCTCCAGGCATGGCAATATCGCTATATGTGAAGACGACTTCGCGAAGACTCATCCTCTCGCACTTTATAGAACCTCGGGCCTTGCCCATAGCTTCCAGAAATCCGACAAGTCGGTCAATAGACTTGACGTGCTTGGTAAGCGTGTCAAGAATGGGGTGGCCAACCTGCTGTCGGATACGGAAGATGAATTCACCCTTCTTCGGGCTGAACGACACATCGCGGTCAATACGCCCCTTGAGCAGTGCAAACTTTGATTTGTCCTTCACCCTAATAATGGCGTCTACCACGGTGTTGAGACGAAGGTTTTCGATCATCTCAGCTTGTGAGGTGGCGCTGTCGTCTCGAGCAGGTGTCGCATGAGGTTGAGGTTGTAAACCCTTAATCTTGATCTCGATGTGATCCTGCGCCCACGACGAAGCTGATTCCTTGGATGCGTTCGGTGTTTCTTTGGAACCAGACTGTCCGCCAACGTTGGTCGGGCGCAGGAGTTGCGAAAGTCTGTAAAAGACCGACGGTATTTGGACTTGCTGGGGTAGCGAGTAGTTTGTTGACTCCTTTGCCAGATGCTTGATCTCCTTAAGATGTACGTTGTGCAACTCGGTGACATGTGTGATTATGCCGGTTACAAACAGTGTCAAGTTGCTCCAGAAAGCGTCGTCTAAATCAGGCTGGCCGCGGTTAAGCGGTAGCCGAGAATTGAATTTGATTGGGCGTGCTGGCGTGTTGCGGTCGCTGTGCTAGTTAGTATCATAAAATGAGCGTTTGGCTGGGGAACTCACATCTGAATCAACCACCACTCGTCGCCAGCGAGGCTCAAAGAAACCATCACATGCCAATCCTGGTCCAAGCCCTGTCGCTGGAGCCAGATCGTCTGGAAAGCCTCGCGGGTCCGGATGAGCTGCTTGATATCTTCGCCGCCAAGTGGACTTCTACACGTCTTCCAGCCAATGCTTCGGCCCCTTCGGTTGAACTCTTCCATCACGTAACCCCATCTGATATTTTCAAGGCAGACGACGCCGTCCTCTGCTGGGTCTTTCCCGCCGTAGTTGAGACGGTTTTCGCCGGAGAGTGCGTATTTGGTGTGGGGTTTCATTGCCGCGAATCCTGTTACCGGCTCGATGACTAGAGTAACACTTTCTCGCGAACCCAGTTGCATGCTTAAGAAAGACTCCACCGGTTCCGTCCGTGAGATTTTCAGAGTCATGGACGACTCTCTCTTCTCGAACCGGGGGTACGTCAGCAGCTTCTTGTGGATGGAAGAGAGAATATGGTCCACGTGTCTCGCAACAGCAGTCTTGAGCAAATCCTCTGCGGAGAGGTTGTCGACATCGAATGGGAGTAGGACATCTTTAACTTCTTTGTTGTCTCGGTACCACCGTGCAACCAGGCGACTCGAATGCTTCGTATCCGGCTGGCCGTTGGTTTTCTTGGCACTGTTAACCGCGATCATGACCCAGCTCTTGGGTCCGGCAGGTCCGTATCTAGTTGTCCAGTATTGAAGGGCCAAAGCTCGGTTCAGGGGTTCCACCACCAGGGTTCCTGTCCATGTGCTGCGGCTCAATTCGAGAGCTTGTCGCTTGAGCTCATTGATCTTGTGTGTGAGAACGAACTCATGGAGGAATCTGTAGCATCCTTCCAAACCGTCTTTGCCGAGGATCTCGTTGACTTGCCCTTCCAGGAAGGACACCAAGCCATCCGAAAGCTTTCTGGCAGATGGCGAAAAGGCGAATCGGAAATCGATGAACCAAAACTGTTTTGTGAAGTCCTCGTCGGCAATGGTCAAGTCCACCTCGAATTCACCCTTCACCTCGAAAGTGACTCTGCCGGAGTGTATACTGTAAGTTCTAAATTGGTGCGGAATCTTGTCGTAATCGTCAAGATTGAGGCGCAAAGACAGCATCGTGTTCAGATCATCGATCCACTTCAACTGCTCTTCCGGTGTCAATGGCGGCGGTGGGATGTAGCCGGGCTGCGTCGCATTAGTACAAGGGTCTATCCATTCCTTTCACGGGTCTTACCTCCGGAACCCAGGTTGCTTCTCCAGTGGTGAGAACTTGTAAAGCAGTCTTCAGGTCAGGGTTGGGTAATCTTGCGCCAATAAGGCCTCTCTTCAAGTCAATCAACAGGTCCTGCGCGAAATCGTATAATACCCGCTTGGAATCGATGTGGGCCTTGATGTCGATGAGTTTGCTGACTGCTTCCGCGTTCTTGCTCCAGTCTGTCATCACGAGGGCCTTGACCCATTTGGCATGCGCATCTTGCGCAAACTTGAGCATGAGCATCTTCTTCCGCTTGTTCCCCTCTGACATATCGTCAGGTGCTTCGTTTCCATGCGGTGTGTTGCCGTTGACTGCTGGTGGTGCCCATTTCACAGCTGCCATCTCCATGATGACCTTCTGCAGATCCTCGTGTGTCCGTTGCGCAAGGCGCGAGACGATTGTCGACAAGGGAATGTAGCCCTGAGTGATATGAACGATTTCGTCCGGGAGGTCGTTCATTCTCGATTTCGGTTGCATTGTGAGGCCCGTATTCATTTGTGACTGTTGCTTCCCTTGGATGTCCGCAACGCCGTTCGGCATTTTCCCCGGGGCGTCGGCGGGTGCCTTGCCCTTGCTGGGCGACAGTTGAGCGTCCATTGCTGTGCCGTTCATGCCGTTCATTTTCAGATTCCTCTCATGGTTCGAATGTGTCCCGTTCTGGCCTCCATTCTCCATGTTGACAACACCAGGCATCGGGGGAAGGCCCTTCCCTACCTCGTTACCTGCCTCACGACCGTCCCCCCGAAAGATCAGCCGAACTGCTTCCTAGCCGGCGAGGGAGTGACTAGCGGTCGTCTAGGACGTCGCGCCAAGTGAGCGACCGAGGGTAGTCAAGGGCTGATCCCAATCCGCGGAGGATGTGAGAGGGGATTCAGTCATCGGCGCCGGATGCGCAAGTCAGACGAGTAGCGCAATCGCATCAACGGAGCAAGTGGGCCTGGAGAGTGCGACGCGATTCAGTTTTGATTCTTTCTTGTCGGCAGTATCTCGAAGTCGGCAGTCGTGAGCGTGGCGTCGTGGGAACGCGATGAGACAACGTGATCTGGGGCGTTGTCCTGGGCGGCGATCGTCGATCGGGGAAAGCGCGATGTCGGCGTCGCTTTGGAGGATAATCGGAGACTCTAAAGCGATTCGGCGGTCGATAAATCGAGTTGAACGGTCGGACAGAATTTCGTTGACGTCGGGTGCGCCTTAAGGCTTGGTGGTTGGCCGTCGGGGATGGGTGAGAATGCGGTTGCGATGGGAAGAGCGTGCAGCCAGCCAGAACAGCAGGGCAGGAGGTCAAGGTGCAACCCGACGGGAGCCTTCTCTTTTTTCCTGGCAAGCGCCAACCAGCGGAAACTGCCTGGTAAGCCAAGGCTCAGCGGAGACACGTGACGCGTCCAATCATGTCGGCATGGAAACTCCAGTCCAGTACGTACCGCGCCTTAGGTGGTGCGGTGTACCTTACCTAAACTTACTCTGTACCGCCTGGGCCGTACAGCATAAATTAACCTTATCTTATCAGCTCAAACTTTGGGACGAAGGGCGAACATCAAGAACAAGAACAATAATTAGACCAAAAGACAACGGGCAAAGCGAAAACAGCTCTGAGCAGGACCCTCAGAACAAAGAGTGCGGATGTCATTGATGGCGGCTGCAAAGGACAGCAACCGGTCATGGTCTCTCAATAAGGTAGAGCTCTCATTGCTCCTTGTACAGAACAAGGTACTTCAGGTTGCCACGGGCCACAAGCTCATGTTGCCAGCCGTCGGAGCTTCAACATACAAGGGTTCGAAATGCCTTCCAAATGGCCCTCGGTTTTTCGAAAAGATTCTATACAGATGGGTCAAAAAACAGAGAAGCCCTGCTGCCCTGGACAATCCGGATGCATACTCGCTCCAGAAACCGTCCGAATGTGTCAAGTGTCCCAAAATAATGACGTTTTTCTCAGGTTTCGACCAGCAATGACTCGCTGGTCCCCGAAAAGAGCTTCCCTGTCGCCAAATATTCCCGGCAATTCCAACGCATCATCTGGTCACAGGAGTAAAAGAGCTTGGGAATCGTGAGTCTCATTGAGTTTTCTATCCACCCTAACCCGGCCAAGGAAAGCGAAATAATTCCATCATCCAACCAGTTTTCACCCTAAAGTGTCCCCTCTGGCTTCCCTTGTTTATGTCTTCTTGATGTCTATGCCCTCCCTTCGATGGATATAATACGTGGCGCTCGCGTCTTAGGGCGGCGCAGGGGATATCGCGGATACAATGGCCGAGGTGTGTTTGTTTTGTTTTGGAGTCGGTGAGGTAGGATTTGCTCAACTGCTCGTGACATCATTTAGAATCAATTCTTCATCTATGTAAAAGCTACGCTAAAGCGCGCCACACTAGCAGAACTTACAACTTGTTGGGAGCCTGAGCAGAGGTGGTAGGCCACTGGTAGCCAGCCGCATCACTGAACTTGTAACCGTAGCTAGAGGTGAAGTCGTCGAGCACGGCCGGACCGCGGGAGCCTGCATTCACATTAGCAACAAAGCTTGGGAAGTGATCAGTCACAAAAGCTCACCATAGGGGTACTCCATGGGGATGATCTCCTTGTTGTCGTCAAGGTAGTGGAGCAGAGGGGTGAAGATTCTCCAGCTTGCATCAAGCTCGTCGTCACGGACGAAGTTGGAGTGGTCGCCCTTGAGGCAGTCCAGGATGAGAGACTCGTAGGCCTCGGGGATCTTGAGGTCGGAGAAGCGGCGGCGGTAGGTGAGATCAAGCTCGGTGACAACAGTCTGCATGCTGAGACCAGGCAGCTTGGAGTTCATCTTGACGTAGACACTCTCGTTGGGCTGGATGCGCATGACAAGCTCGTTTCTGGGAATGTCCTTAAAAATACCAGAGGTGACGTCCTTGAACTGGATGCGAATCTCGGTCTTCTGCTCGTTGAGGGCCTTGCCAGCCTTCATGATGAAGGGAACACCATCCCAGCGCTCGTTCTTGATGTAAGCAACCATGGCGCAGAAGGTGGGGCATCTGGAATCCTTAGGCACAGTGTCGTCCTCCTTGTACGACGGCTTGCTGCCATCAAGAGACTTTCCGTACTGGCCGATGATGACGTTCTTGGGCTCAATGGCGGGCATAGCGCGAAGGACGCGAACCTTCTCGTCACGGATGTCCTCGGAAGCGAAGGAGATGGGGCGCTCCATGGCGAGCAGGGTGAGGACCTGGAGCAAGTGGTTCTGCATGACATCGCGAATGATGCCGAACTCGTCGAAGTAACCGCCACGGCCCTCAGTGCCGAAGGGCTCCTTGAAGGTGATCTGGACGTTGTCGATGTTCTGCCTGTTCCAGGTAGAGCCGAAGAAGGAGTTACCAAAGCGGAGAATGAGGATGTTCTTGACCATCTCCTTGCCGAGGTAGTGGTCAATGCGGAAGAGCTCGTCCTCCTTCCAGTCGGGCTCAAGGGACTTCTGGAGCTCGCGAGAGCTGGCCAGGTCCTTTCCGAAAGGCTTCTCGATCTATTTCACGCCCGTGTTAGTGAATCTGAGCTCAATTGCGTCCAAAGGACCACTTACGACAACGCGAGCAATGCCCTTGGTGGGGTAGCAGCACTTCTTCAGGTGCTGAGAGACGATAGTGAAGACACTGGGGGGAAGCGCCATGTAGAACAGGCGGTGGGTCTCGGGCTTGCCAGCCTCGAGCTCCTCGAGGTGGGCGTTCAGGTTGAGGAAAGAATCATCGCGGTCGTATTGGCCGGAGACGTAGGTGCAGAGGTTGCAGAAGTCGTTGAGCTGCTGCTCAATCTCCTTTGTGGGGGTCTTCATGTAGGATCTGATGCGGCGGATGTACTCGTCGTGGTCCATCTTTGTGCGCGCATATCCGACGATCTTGATGTCCTTGGGGAGGAACTGGTTTCGGTACTATTTAGGCCGGTTAGTTTTGCCAAGTCTGAGGCATCGCGCAGAGCGGGTAGAAGCAGCTCATACCAGACCGAACAGCGCAGGGTACTAGAGAAATGTCAGCGGATTGTCGCGTAATCAAGGAAGTATTATTTTTGGTCGCGTACGGTCTTCTTCTTCGCCAAATCTCCGGAAGCACCGAGAACAACAATGACGGTGTTGTCCTTCAGCTCCATGGAACTGTGAAGCGCGTAAAAGTCAGTACGAAATAGCTCTCGGAAAAATTCATACTGCGTCCCCAGCGATTGTTCGCTCATCACTAGCGGTGTTGCCGCAAGCCGGTCGCGATGCTGGGCTCGAGTCCGGAGTCGCAAGAAGGAGAGGGCAGCTTGGTGGGGTTGGAAGGCGGGGTGACATACGCTGCGGCGGAGCTAAGGTCGGCCATGATGACGATGTCGGCGATGAAGCGGCGCGACTATGTGAATTCTGTATAGGAGGAAGGTGAGGAAGAGAGGTGAAGGAAAGGCTTATACAGAAAAAAAGCCAAAAGTTAGCAAGCAAAAGGGCAGAAGGGCGAGTTGGGAAGGTTTTGGAAAGAGGTACTGGGCGGAATCCGGGACGGATGGATTGGGGTATTTAGTAATGACGAAGCACAGATGAAGGTAGGGGTGCGCCGTGAGGTATGGGTACGGGCGTGGATGGGGGGAAAGGAGGTGTCCAGGGTATTGTTGACGGGTCGAGGTACAGACGGAAAGGGCAAGAGCCAGCCCAAAAGATACTTGGCCCGAGAGCGGGACACGTACCGCTTTCAGTGCACTCAGGCGTGCGAGATGGGCGCAAAGTGGGAGCAGTGGGAGCTTACTCACAGCCAGATGGCCTTAATTGCTGCTGCTTTAGCGCCTGATGTACTCTACTTGGGTACTTTCGTCAGGTTCCGCCGCCGCGCTCGCCTTTTTGCGCCTCGAAGCGAATCAGTCAGTGGGTAAGCTTCCCACGATAGGTAAGTGGGTAGGTGAGAAGCAGGTGAACTCTGGTCGGTAGGTTGGTAGCACAAGTCGTCTTCCTCTTCTTTTTTTTTTTTTATCTTACTACCTGGCCATTTGTGAGCTTGCCGAGTCCGCTCCTTCTCAATTCATTGTCTAGCACAAAGCTGGATGTAAAGAAAATCACGGTGAATTTTTCCAGCAATTTTTGGTGCGGCTGGGCAAGTCCACGCCCCTCGTCGCAGTCACCGGCCCTTTTCACCTCGAATTTGGACTCGGCCTTGGGACTCGGGACTTGGACAGGGTTGATGTCAATGGAGGGGAACAAAAGGAGGGGCACTCTTCGGTGTTGTCGATAAAATGTTGAGTACTGCCGGAGATTCTCACTACGTTGTCGGCCTTAAGCCCGCCGCTCATCAGCACCAAATCCAGAGGAGCCAGCAATATCCGTCAACCCAAGTCGCCAACCTAAGCAGAAGTCAGAGCTTCCTGGCACAGCTTCACTCGCACAGAGTCAGTCAAGCCGCAGTGATTTGTCCGGCGCTGACGGCATGGGCCTCGGCAGTGGGCAATTGGGTTGGACGTAACAAAGCACTTCCCCGTCACTAACTTGTAATCAGTCTGGTACGGATACGCCGTGAGACCTATTACAACTCCCCCCGCCGGATCAGATGGAAGCCACGCCCTCGCCCATTGTGAGAATTTCAAACACTCTTGGTGCGGATGTCCAGATGCCTGCCTGCATCGTCACTTTTTGGATGAATGGGAACTCTTACGCAAACGTCGATCACATCTACCTCTGCCCACACTTTATCCCAGCTCTCTAATCCAAGATTGATAGCCAGCAAGTCATGTAGGTGTGAATGTACTGTACTTCTGCAACTGCCAAACAGCAAAGCAGACCCTAGTCGACTGAATAACACCTAGGCGAGATCGGGTGCCTCGACTGAAGAGAAACTAAGGCACCTCCATCTGCAAGCTGCAGCAGAATTGTTGGACTAACCGCCTGTCAGAGCGCCCATCGGAGCTCCATCAAAAAATAGAATAGAACATCAGAGGAAGAAGGGGAAGGGGGTGAAGGGGGTGAAGGGGGAAAAAATAGAGCAGGAGCCCTGTGCCTGTGCCTGTGCCTGTGCCTGTCCAACTTCATCCCAGAAACATAGACAGGCTCCAACAGACACGCAAACTGCTTGACAAACGTGCAGGCTGACGCCCCTGGGAGGCTGGGACCAGGCAAACGTGCTTTCCATATGACCTCAGGGCCCTCAAGTCAGACGGTCAGCAAGGGCCCAAAAAGGGTCCAACGTCAAAACGCCAACGTCCAACATCTGGATGTCGCGGTGCTCTTCCTTGGCCTGGGCTCCACGATCCAGTCTCCGGCTCCAGCTGTTGCGGCGGTACTCCCAGACTCGCGTCCCCATCTTCCCAAACGCCGGACACCACCGAGCCTCCCGATCGGACTTTGGCTTGAGATTTGTGAGATGGGCCTGGCGACCTGGGCTGGGGGCTTTGGGCCTTCGCTGCCGCGATGTTGCGATGAGAAGCGAGGGAAGCCGTGGGAGCCGTGGGTCTTCAGCCAGCCTGTGTGAAACGGGGCTCCGTAGCACCAGACAGCTTGTCACTCTGACTCTGACCTGGACTGTCGGGTCCAGTTCCATTGGAGTCATATCTGTCGGGTCTGCAGGGCGGATATGCGCCGTCCTGCGGTCCTGTGCTTGGGAACATTTTCCTTCTCTGCCACTTTTCCCCCCATCAACTCCGATGTTGTCACCGCGGGGGCGTTTTAACAAGGCTCCATGGGACAGCAGAGCTCCATCCTCATGCCGGTCCGGCCAATGCAACTGTGGCATGAACCTCAGCTGCAGTTTGCTGGAAATCGGCAGAGTTTGTGTTCAGAAATTGCCGCAATGCCCACCCTTTCGAGGCGTTCCAATCGTTGCAGCGAACAGCGAGGTCGTTCATTACCACAACCGCAAGCTAAGCAGAAGCTTCCGTCTCCGGAGTCGCTCTTCAACGCCCCCCACGGATCGGTCCTTCTTGACCCAGGCTCGCAACCACGATATCCGAAGCTTACAAAACCTGCCCGGCCGGATGTGTGTATTTTTTTGACGAGCTTGACGAGGGAGAAAAACAATCAATGAGACATTTCTTGGTCGGTCTCCCCTCACAACCACCCTCCGTCTCGTTCACTGTCGTCTTTTGCTCGTAACAACTTGTTCCTGTTCAGGAAATCCCGCGAGATTTAGGCTTGGGACGCCGGACCGCCAACAGAGCCGGCCCTGCAACTGTCTCATAACTCCGCGGGCTCGGCGTCCAAACTCCCACGGCCACCCTGAAAGATTCTGGAACTCCGGTACAGCCGCAGTTGTGTTTCCGAGTTTGCGTTTCTCTGTTGTAAGACGTGTAGGTAATCTTGTTCATCTCTCGACAACTTTACAATTTATCGGATTGCAATTCCTGTTCGGTATACAGATAGATGAGGCTCAACGGCAGGCGGCAAGTGGGAAAGCCTCTTGGTCATGATGCGGATATTTGTCATTGACGGACTTTCTCTCTGTCGACCGAGGCGAGGCGTCTTGTCCCTGGCGGAATGCAAAACTTCGGGCGAATAAAGGTGCGAGGGACGACGGTGTGGGTTGGATAGCGGCAGAGATGCGTCCAGGCGATGACTGGGTCCGGTCGGCAGGGCCATCGACCCCGAATTGACCGACAAACTCCAATTCAATGACCCACGTCCATCGCCGTCTTCGGTGTGAAAGCGCGGAATAGCGGAACGTGAGCACGCCGGGGCCAGAAATCCGCACCTCGGCCCGTCTCACGTAATCAGGTAGACAGCCACATGAGGCTGAGGCGGACGGACCCACGGCCGGGCGGGTCGCTCGCCCCGGGTGTCGGAGAGACGTACTTCCGTAGCGACCCACCAACCTTCGTCGCTTGGCCTAGGGCACACACAAGACCAATTTTTTGGATATCCACCCCACTCCGAAGCATTCAACACCGACACGACGACAATCACGGATTATTAGTCTTTTCGCCCAAAGACAATCCTCAGCTTTTCCTTTCTCGAGTCCCTTTTGGTTGGAGCGAGGAGAACTAACACCGTCAAAATGCCTTCGGAAGCCGGTCACAGATGTAAGTTTATCTGCCTTTCCCCATGCACCCAAAATATGCATATGCGATTTTTCGCGATTTCGATATAGACCACAGCCGCGCCGCGCCTGCCTGAATGACATCGCGACGATTTCAAGATGTCAGGGGCTTTGCGCTCGCGAAGGATCGCATCAGTTGGGTGTTGGTCAATCATTATTTGGATTTTTACTGACTTGAGTTTCCGCAGTATACGTCAAGTAAGTTTACTTCCTCGAACTCCTATCCGCCGACGCCGACTTCCCGATGGACGATGCGACGAATCGCCAACGCATGTCGACACACGAAGACAACCGCGAAACGGAATCGCCGCGAACGCTCTCAGGCCCGAAGGAACCCGATGCTAACGATGCCTTTTCAGGGGACGTCACCTCAGCTACCAGCGTAGCAGACACGTCACCCACTCCAAGACGAGTCTGATCAAGATCGAGGGTGTTGACGACACCAACGCCGCCAAGTACGCTCGCCGCACATCCTACACCCCGCGAACGAGATAACTAACGGGCAAATTAGCTTCTACCTCGGCAAGAAGGTCGCCTACGTCTACAAGGCCTCCAAGGAGATCCGTGGCACCAAGATCCGCGTCATCTGGGGCAAGGTCACCCGCCCTCACGGTAAATACAACTCTGCCAACCGATCCCACAATCAAGAACGAACCCTCAAGGCTAACACGATCATCACAGGCAACTCCGGTGTCGTCCGCGCCAAGTTCACCAGCCCCCTTCCCACCCGCTCTTTCGGCGCCTCTGTTCGCGTCATGCTTTACCCCTCGTCGATTTAAACGGCTACCCCATTTGGACGGAGTTGGTAGTGAGGATGGATTCTGAATTGGTTGCATCGGTCCGGGCAAGGACAAGAGCATAGCACCCTTGCTGCTTGCTAAAAAGGGCATCAAATCAAACTCGTCAAACCACCACATGAGGCGAAACGCACCACACACCCGCGGGAATCCCAAGAAACCACCCTCGCCCTTTTTCCTCCCCAAAAACCCCCTTTTTCGAGACACATGGGAAATGACTTCTGCGTGACTTGAAAGCCGGTCAAAAAGGAGGGAGCGTTGTGTCGTTTTTCTTATTCTTCCTATCGGGAATGATGACGAGTAGCTTCATATCAGGGGGGCTCGAGGACGGGGAAAAGAACACACAAAAAAAATCAAAACATACTTGATTTTTGCTTGGCCGGCTACAACATACGCGATACGATGAACGGTAGATCGGGCGGCATTAATGTCAGGGTGTTTAAAAAGACATGGCTCAGCGACGGTATTCAATGGTTTTTTCTGGGAACCACACTAGTCCCTCCCCCCCATGCTTGT